GGCTAGGCAAGTCAGAGGTGTAAAAATTAAATAATAAAGGGCCTAATATGCTGCCTTGGGGGACCCCACGCGTCACGAGGACAGGCTCAGACCTTGCTCCCTCCACCTCCACAATTTGGATTCTTGATGTCAGATAACTGTCAAACCAGAGGCAGACCTGCTCAGAAAAACCATAATACCGCAGCTTGGCCATTAATAAGCTATGATTGATAAGATCAAAGGCCTTGCTATAATCAAGTAGGATCAGACACGAAATCAGGGATTGGTCGGCGTTTAAAGATATATCTGTGGTGATTTTACTCAGTGCAGTTGCGGTACTATGGCCTGCCCGGAATCCAGACTGCACTGCTGGCATAATATTTCTATTACATATAAAATCATTTATCATGTCTGAGACAAGTAACTCAAGCATTTTGCCAAGGATTGGCAAGATGCTAATGGGTCTGAGTTCATTAATAGTACTGATCTTAGCAGACTTTGGAAGAGGCTTTACAATAGAGGTTTTCCAAGCAGTGGGAAATTCCCCAGTTTGCAGAAATCGGTTGAAGAGATTAGTGAGTAATGGCACTATAAAGTCTAGGCTATAAAGTAACATATCATGAGTTATATTGTCAATTCCACTGCATTTAGACCTAATGTGTCTGAATGCGCGATAAACATCAATTTCGGTTAAGTTCTTAAAGAAAAATGAGTCATTATCCAGTCCTGCAAATTTATTACCATTAAAAAAGTCCAGAGTTGCATCATCAATTGGAGCAACCAGCTGACAGACACTTGCGAAGTGGTTGCTGATTTCGTTTACATCTTTTAAGTGATTAGGAATTTCTATGTTATTATTGCAGTGAATATTCCAGTCGTTCATTTTTGACCAAGTTCTTTTAGGATCTTTTTTAAGTTTATTCAATTCGAATGACATATAAGCCTTTTTTTCACTTCGAATGGCAAATGAAAGATAGTTTTTTATATCAAGGTAATAATTTTTGTGTGCTTGAGATAAGGTTCTTTTATATTTGTTATAAGCATTTCGTTTTAATTTTATGATTTCTTTTATAGTATCAGTTATATAGGGTTTAAATTTTCGTTTAATCAAGACAGTTTTCAAAGGTGCAAATCTGTCAAACTGTCTGTACTATAAATATAAAAAAGTAGGCTTAGACTTAAAAACTTCATAATTCAAAAGAAAAGCTTAATTAAGAATTAGGGTTGAAGATGTTGCAATTATTGTTACACGAATCCTCCCTGTGACAAAAGAGCCAGGCAGGCATTGTGATTATTAAAGATGTAAGATTTACACATGCTGGAAAACGCATCATATCTTTTTATGTTTTTCATCTCTCTATTAGGTAATAGGTTATAGATTTTTGGCGCCATACCGCTGACAAATCTCTGACTTCGATCCCTTCTATAAAAAGGCACAGCTATGTTTTGATTACAAACCTGTCTAGTCTGATAATTATGCGATATACGATTTTTATAATTATTATTTTTATAAATAAAAAGGCAGCATTTGTGGAAATACAACATGCGCATATTCAGTATGTCACTACTATACAATTGATAAGTTGGTTGCAGTCTACTGGTGTTAAAAGCACTGAGTGCTAAAATTTTTCACTTTTAGTGCGTTTGTAGAAAAAATAGTGTATGATATTCGTGCTAAAAGTAATTTTATTTGTTCAAAGGGATGGAACACTCTGTCACTTTTAGCACTTATATCATAAATAACTATTCTAGAAATGTGCTATCTGCTGGACTGATTTCCTTAAGATTTCCTTTATTTCCCTTGATTTCCCCATAATCTCCCCTGATAGCCTTAGATTTCCTCAAATTTCTTCTTGATTTCCCCTAATTTGTACACCAGAATTCTTTTGCAATTTACCCCTGAGGGCTAAACTGCAAGTCAGTTTTTGTACACCCCATTGCGGTTTTAGTAGAAATCAAGGATGGTTTTCCATGACTTCCCCTGATTACCAGTAAGATTACTCAAGAGTTCTCCTGATAACATAACTACAAATTAGATTCCAGAACTGTAAAATTCTGAATTCTCTTTTGAGAAGAATCTACAGTTTCTAAAATTTTGAATTCTCCAAATTTTTATGATTTTTTGTAGTCAAAATAGGTACTTTAATTTTTTTTAAATTCTGGGTCTTTTTTTTGCAAAGGACCCTGCCCAAAGTATACGGAAATTGTGTTTATGTCAGAATTGGCTGAATTTTGTAATATAATGTAGATAACGCCTTTCTGATTGAAAGTTACCATTGCACCAATCCTGAAAAATGCCTCCACATCTCGGTCCACGTAGCACACCACTGCACCACAAGTTTACCTATTTGCGCTACATTGAACGTCCATTAAAATATCCAAGCGTTTTACTTGCTACCTATGAAATAAATTTGCTCAAAAAGAAGTCATTTTTCAGGATTGGTGCAATAGTAGCTTTCAATTAGGAAGGCGTGATCGTTATTATATACAAAATTCAGCCAATTCTGACATACTTAAACACAATTTCCGTATACGCTGGGCAGGGTCTTTTCTTGATTTCTTGATTTCTGCTTCTTTTACATTAAAACACAAAAAATTTGCATCACACCATGTCTTAAATTTGGTATAATTCGTCTGAGATAATCTCCTTCAAAACCTTCGGGTCTCTATGAAACCAAAGGGGTGCGATGTCATCAGCAAAGCTAGTGAACTTACATTTAACTGGTAACTCGAACAGGTCATTAACATAGATCAAAAGTAAAATAGGTCCGAGGACTTGAGCCGCCTTGTAGTACACCTGTATCCTCGCCTGTATCAAAAGGTAAAGATGATGACAAGGAATTGTTATTTTTGACCATTTACATTCTTCCTGTCAAGAAAGAATTGAAGAATATTGACGAAACGCCCCTAAAGCCATAAAAATATATTTTGTCCAGAAGCAAATCATGTCTGACACAACTGAACGCTTTTCAGGTCAGTGTTTGTACACCAGATTGTGGTTTTAGGAAAACTCATGGATGCTTTCCAATGATTTCTCCTGACTTCTTCTGATTACCAGTGAGATTGCCCAAGAGTTCCCCTGATAACATTGCCTCAAATTATAAAAGATTTTTGAAAATTGCGTGTGCGTTAGATCCTAGATATTGACTGATCTCCTTAAGATTTCCATTGAGATCTTCAAGATTTCCCTTGATTTATTCATGTTTACCTTATGATTTTTCCTGATTGCTTTCGAATTTGTACACCAGATTTTCCCCCCAGTAGCTACCTTACGAGCTACCTTAGTACTCAAATGATGAAGTTTCAAAAATTGAGATTTTGCCTTTAAATTATCATTTGAGGACCCTGCAACTCCATACACAATACGTGCAGAATTTTGCAAAGATGAGTAAGGAAAGCTATAAATACAAATACAAATAGTTTATTTCCATAGACTATACATGTTTTGGAATTGTCACAAATAAAAAAATCCAAAAGTAAGGGGGTAAAAGTAAAAGTAAGCAATACAATGATAATAATAGCACTAAACATCAACATCAATATCGATAGCATATCCAGTCCTATCCAGCGAAAATACATCCACATATAAGAACAAAGAAAAAAGTACAAAAAATACGGAACACCTCTTGCTGCTTTAGAAAACAACATAAAGTACTCTCGCAATGAATAAAAAGGGTTGGTAATCAGTATGGTCTTCAGTTTCCGCCGAAAAACGCACACAAAATTGGCGTTTCTTAGGTCCTGTGGTGGGTGGTTGTAGATTTTGAATGATGTTATCATAGGACCGTCCTGGATCTGGTCAGTCTTGCACTGGATATGTAAATAATGCTTGAGTTTCTTGTCTGGTACCTGTTCACGTCCCCACATGTGATGTAACTGTGCCGGCTTTCAAAAACTTTACATGCAGTCTGTACAGGTTTATGACTGTAACTATACTTTCGGCCTTAAAAGTTTGGCGACAGGACTCTCCAAATGGCAGTCGAAACATTGTCCTGATTATTCTTCTTTGAGAAATCAAGACCCTGGCAATATTCGTGGAGTTACCCCAGACAAGATACTGCTCAAAATCGAGAAATGCCCTCTAGCGGCTAAACGGTTGAAGATATCAAAATGCGGATTGCACCAATCAAGATTTCATGAAATTTGAGTCTCGGAGTGGGGGATTAATTTTTTTTGTATCTTGCTCAGAAATTGACGTTTCCTATTAAAACCATCCAAATTTGGACACCCTGTACAATACGCAAGCTATCGAACGAGTATTGTTGAAGGTTTCAATCATTGCTGTGGCAGTTTCAAAGTGTCCTTCAAGAGATGGAACACCATGCATTGACTGTGCCTGCTTGCCAAATTTCTGGTGCACAAACAGTGTGACACCCCCAGATCTAGAGTCTCTCCTGGAGAAGGTGGCTACTGAAGTGTATTTGCTAAGTACAAATTGATAGGCCTCGTCATCTGTGAGCCAAGTTTCCGTGATACACAGGATTTCCGGGTATTTCTGATAGTGTAGAAAAAATTCCAGTTCAAGAGATTTGCGGCGGAGGCTACTTGCATTCAGGGGCCCAATTCTCGTCTCAGGGAGAGGAGAGCTCCCCGAGAGAACGAATTTTTTGTCCTTGTCAACATAATCGAAAAGTGAACAAGAATGATAAGGACGAAAAATTTGTTCTCGGGAAACTCTCCTCTCCCTGAGACGAGAATCGGGCCCCAGGTTAACAAGTCTAGTTGAGATTTCCCTTGAGTTCCTGAAGATTTCCCTTGATTTCCTCATGATTACCTTATGATTTCCACTGATTGCCTATTGCCTTATTTCCTTAAATAAACTAAAACACCATTTAATGACCAAATAGAGAATTAGTTGTTGGTTGTGTAAGAATGCTTGTGAAATCCAATTTTTGGAATAAATGTACAAACATGTAAGAATGAATTACCTCTGAACATAAAAAGAACTGATTACTTTGCTAAAACTTGAAAAGTCAATTAAGTAATTTCTTCATAGAAGTTTTTTTTTTAATTAATTTCAGAAAAAATGTCTAGAATACCAGATTGGATCATCATTTGTGGAAGAAGCAAGAGACGAAAAAGACTGCATCCTTTTGCAGCATGTTTTGAAGATATCTGGTGAGACATACATTAAAATATTCAATATTGTAAAAAAAATATTACAGATTGTATATTGAATTCTAATTATAAAATCGAATTTAATATTTGATTATCAAGTGGTATTTTATTCCTTAATTTTTCTGTAGTAGATTTTGATTGATTTTTAGTTTGTTTTACACATACTTACCTCTACTTTTCATAGGTAATGCCGAACAAGATTTAGCAAAAGAATATGCCGAACACGAAGCCAAAGTGGAAGAAATGGTTTACGGTCCCTTACAAAAGGTGATCGAAAACGAACTGCCCAGTATTCTAAAGCAAAAGCACAATTTGAAAAAATATTGCCTGGATAAAGATTCGGCCAGTAACAGGTATCAGGCTACCAAGAAAGAGACCTTAAAAGAGGACATGGAAGAAGCGGAAAGTAAAGTGGAACAAAGCCGAGATGCCTTGGCCATAGAAATGTACAACTTATTAGGCAGAGAAAACGAGCTGTCTTCTTACATTTTACAATTGCTCAAACTGCAAAGGGGCTACCACGAAAGTGCCTTGAAAAATTTGGAAAATATTATACCTCAACTAGAAAAAACTATTGGCGATAGTCCCGTTAAAAGGGTATTTGGTGTATCTTTGCAGGAACACTTGAGAGTGAATGGTAGAAGATTGGCTTATCCTTTAGAAATTTGCGTTACTGCTTTACAAGAACATAGTATGAGCGAAGAGGGATTGTTCAGAATAGCAGGAGGATTATCTAAAGTTAAAAGGTTAAAAGCTGCAATTGACAGTGGATGTTTTGCTTATTTAATACCTGAATATAAGTACGTATGATTTAGTTGAATTTTTCTCAATTAATTAAAACAATATTTTTCTAGTGATCATCATGTTCTTGCCAGTACTTTGAAATCCTATCTAAGAGAATTACCAGAACCCTTGTTGACCTATCATTTGCACAAAGAGTGGGTGCATTCGATGCAATACCCGGATAATCAAAAAGTAGAAGTAGTTAAGCATTTATTGAATAAGTTACCTCAAGAAAACAAAGATAATTTAGCCTATTTAATACAGTTTTTGGCTAGGCTAACCGGTCACACTGAAAACAAAATGTCTTCCTCTAATATAGCCATAGTTATGGCACCGAATTTACTTTGGAACAAAAATGAAGAAGTAACTACTATTGTCAATTTTTGGTTATTTTTTATTCAACTGGTTTGTTTTAGATGAATGTGAATATGGGTAATTGTGTTACAATAAATATGTTAGTGGAACTATTGATAAAGGAAGTCAATCAGTTTTTCCCTGATGAAATTACAGGCCTTCTTACCATTGCCGATTTATATCAGGATGAGGAACTATTAAGACATAATGGTAAATAATTTTTACTTATAATTATCTGGCTATTCAACTTTTTGTTGGAGTAGTGGTTCCTTTTGCCTCAGAAATCTTGTATGCTTTAGTTTGGGGGTATTTAAAATTCTCAACTCTGAGGAAGGGCTACTTTTTGAAGTTAAACCTACCACATTATACTTGCAATTAATAATGATCAAATGAAAACCAGGTTAATTATCCCTTGTAGGAAAATTCCCTCTAGATCATACAGACGCGACCAGTACAGAAAACCTAGTAGACAGTCCGAGGCCCAATCTACGTAAAAAGAAACCGGCTGCGCCAGTACCACCCAATGCAACCAATCACCGAAACGAGTTTGATCACATGACAGATAAACTGAGCAACAGTTACCCTTCTGGGAGTTCTACATTGAATCGACCTCCAAAACCGAAAGAACCTCCCGCCAAAATGAGAACCAGTACCGGAGTTAATACAGAAGAAAACGACCTTAGTCTGTCAAGGAAAAGAAGTTTTTCCAAGGACGACATCAAATTAGTTAATATTGCAGCCAGTATAAGTCAAAATGTTGTTCAATCAACTGTTGTTGCTCAACCTCTAGTCAGCAATGATGTCAGTAAAGTAGGATCAAAATCTCCTCATACTGTACTGGAGGAACCTGAACGTAATTTTAAAACTACAGTGACGCATCATGTTGGATCTTCTGCTAATGAAGGTATAATGATTAGTTAAATTATTTTTGTGTGACTATAGGGATTTTTTCTAGAGTCAAATTCAATTCCAAAACCGGTAGCAGCTCCAAGGCCGTCTCTTTTGTCTGATGAACGTACTCCATCTGGAAATATTTCACGCAATCCTTCAATACGCTCGATGAGCGGTAGCGACATTATGAGCAAATCAAACAACTCGGCTGAATTCGGTGATGTCCAATTGAGACGAAAAGAGATGCTGAACAAACCTGAAGTTCCCGCTAGGCCTTCGACTTTGATGTCTGTAAAGAGGTAATGACATTACTAATAATAATCTTTTTATTACTAATCAAGTGATGGTCCTATGGTTTAACACTACTAACATTTCTGTATATTCAGATCATCTATGGACATTGATCCGACGTTACAAAAGACACAGTGTTCCGTTTACAGTGTTGCCAACAAACAGCAACCAAGTATAGTTAATATTCAAAATAGGACTGAGAAAATTCAGTTGGGACATGACGTTATGATGGCTGAAAAAGAGAAGTTTTTAGGTAAGTACACTTTACCCCTATACTTTTTTTTTCTGCTAAAATAACTAAAACAACTTTAACCCTATTATCAGTAGTCGAAAGATGCTTTGATTAATTTTCCTTGAAACTTGCACTTCACTTTACATTGGAGTTTTCTCTGGCCAATTTCAGCTGCTAGTAATTTTAATTTCATCATTTATTCTCAAATCAATCTGCTGCAATGTCGTATTTTGAAGCTTCATCTCTACCAAGAATCTGTTAAAGTTTGAGAAATCATGATTCAAACTCAGAGAAATAAAGATGTACATAGAATGTTGTTCAACACCTTTCCTCATTAGAAATCTTGGTTAGGCCCATATTGTCACATAAAATATCATGTTTTGGTTTGAACAAGGCTACAAGTTCTTTTGAAGCTTCGCTAGCTGCAATGATCTCCGCTTCAGTTATAGAAATGACAATTGAAGGTTGTCTCTGACTCATCCAGGATATAGCACCTCCAGCATAAACACATACCACTACTGTTGTGGAGCGTCCTCTTTTAATATCCCCTCCATGATCAGCATCACTAAAACCTTGTAGGTAACCTCTTCTGGTTCTTGGCCTATAAGTGATACCATAATTGAGTGTTCCTTGAATGTAACGGAAAATTCTCTTTACTTGGACAATGTCTTTGTGAATTCGATTTTCCAAACTCCTTGACGCCACACTGACTGCGTATGAAATGTCTGGTCTTGATCCTGACATCAGATGAAGTAATGCCTCTCTATATGAAAAATTTGATATTTCGGCTGTTCCTGAAGGAGAATTATCCTTAACAATTGGAGTTTTGACGGGTCTGCAATTGTTCATACCAAATTTTTTCAACAATTTCTTGGCATATGCATTTTGATTTATGATAACTAATCCATGCTTTAACTTCATGATTTCCATACCCAAAAAATATGATGCAAGCTTTATCGTGACTTAAACTCTATCTGTAGTTGTCGTAAAAAATATTTTTTCATTTCCTCATTGATTCTGTGCCTCATTGTTTGAGGCTAGTAGACCTTTGTCCACATATAAAGCTAAAATAAGAATTTCTGTTCCTTCTCTCATGATGAGACATGGATCGGCATCGCTATATTTGAAACCAAAGGATAGAATGAAATCCGTTATTCTTCTGTTCCAACATCTAGGAGCTTGCTTAAGTCCATATAGGCTCTTCCTTAGATGACAAACCCTATCTGTATCATCATTGAAACCCTCTGGCTGTTTCAGGTATACTTCTTCTTGAAGCTCGCCATATAGAACTGCTGTACATACATCAAACTGGCTTAGACTTAAATTTTCACTGGCAGATAGATTCAAAACAGATCGTATTATAGCAAATCTAGTAACTGGGTTAAATGTCTCATCATAATTTTGATATTCCTTCTGTGAATAACCTTTTGCGACTAGTCTGGCTTTGAATTTATTGATAGAGCCATTTGGATTGTATTTTAACTTGTACACCCATTTATTTGAAATAGCCTTCTTACCATTGGCTAGCTTTCTTAATGTCCAAACTCATTTCTCTTCTAAAGACTTCATTTCTCTTCCCATAGCCATTTTCGAGTTATTTGCTCTATTACTTGTCATAGCTTCTCGGTACGTAATTGGCCCATTTATTTCCATAATGTCTGCAGCAACCATCATAACGAAATCTTCAAACTTGGCAGGCTTTTGTATCTCATTTCTATCTCTTAGTTGTCTACTCGGTACATTTGGGACTTCTTCTGAAATGTCATTATCTGGTGATTCTACTAAAATGTCAGAATGAGTGTCAGAAAAACTGTGATTCCCCAAACTATCATCTTCTTCGCCGTGTTGTCCATTGTTTTCTTTAGTTTCTTGTTCTGGAGTATCTTCCCTGCTCCTGACAATCTTACAAATATTTTCTGAGAAGTTCCAACAGAGTCTCCCAACAATGGCAACGTTGAAGTTATGAGTCTTTTCTTTTTCTTCGATACTAGAATTACGAGTCCTATTCAAAATATACGCCGATGTATTAATTATTTCAGTCCAAAAAAGGTGTGGAAGATCTTCATTAGTATGCATGATGGATTTAGCAGTTTCAACGATAGTACGATTATCTCGCTCTGCACAACCGTTTTGCTCTGGTGTATAAGGCATTACGACTCTCTGTTTGATTTCACTTTCCTGTAGAATTTCGCTCACTTGACCATTATAAAGTTCTCCACAATTTTCCGAGAGTAGCTCTTTCACTGTATGTCCTACTGTTTTAACTTCAGTTAATATAATTGTCAGTTTTTCTGCAACTTCAGATTTTTCTTTCAGAAAGTAAACATAACGATAACGACTGAAATCATCCTTGAAGAGCACGAAGTATTTGTAGTCACTTTTGGATTTTTCAAAAGGCCCACAAACTTCTGTGTAAAGCCGGGTTCTCACTAGGCCATTTCATGGATCAGTATTATTGAATCTATAGGATTGAACATAGAATGGAATGGAAAATTTGTTCACATGTTCCAATAACATTTAAGATCTAGTGTGTTTTAAAAATGGCTGCAAAGAGGAAAATTCTGCGTGCCGGTGTTCCTATTTTCTGTGAGTATTTAAAAACCTCGATAAAAAATAGGAAAAATAGAAAACTTCATCGATGGTGGGTTAGACCATGGATAAAACAACGTATATATAAAGGTGCTTTTGTGAAGCTGATAAAAGAATGGGGAACAGGTGACCAGGATGCTTATAGGAACCTCTCAAGAATGACCGAAGAGAAATTTGAAGAACTTCTACAGAAAGTATCACCCTTGATACAGAAAAAAAAAAAATCCTCCGATAAGGGACGCTCTTTCAGCAAGACTCAAATTACAAGTAGTTTTAAGATATTTAGCTACTGGAGATTCTTTTCCGTCTTTGGGTGCACTGTACCGACTGCCCAAAAACACTATCTCACAAAAATTTTAAATGTAACGAGCGGTTTGGTTTTGATTCTAACCTCAAAATAGTCAAAATAGACACACTGCAGTTCAATGCGGCTGAACAAGCTCGTTCTCACGGTCAATTACCGTTTAAGCGGGGTTCTCACTAGGCCATTTCAAAGAACAATATCATTGAATCTATGCCATTGAAGTAAAATAGACTTATGTGAACATCCATTCAATGATATTGCTCAATGATTTTGCGTTTCAATTAAATTGTAAGGCATTTCTACTTTCAATGGATCAACGGGATTGATTCAATTAAATTGAACGGTAATTGACCGTGAGAACGAGCGTGTTCAGCCGCATTGAACTGCCGGTGTGTCTATTCTGACTATTTTGAGATTAGAATCAAAAACCGAACCGCTCGTTACATTTAAAATTTTTGTAAGATAGTGTTTTTGGGCAGTCGGTACAGTGCACCCAAAGACGAAAAAGAATCTCCAGTAGCTAAATATCTTAAAACTACTTGTAATTTGAGTCTTGCTGAAAGAGCGTCCCTTATCGGAGGATTTTTTTTTCTGTATCAAGGGTGACACTTTCTGTAGAAGTTCTTCAAATTTCTCTTCGGTCATTCTTGAGTGGTTCCTATAAGCATCCTGGTCACCTGTTCCCCATTCTTTTATCAGCTTCACAGAAGCACCTTCATATATACGTTGTTTTATCCATGGTCTAACCCACCATCGACTAAGTTTTCTATTTTTCCTGTTTTTTATCGCGGTTTTTAAATACTCACAGAAAATAGGAACACCGGCACGCAGCATTTTCCTCTTTGCAGCCATTTTTAAAACACACTAGATCTTCAATGTTATTGGAAAATGTGAACAAATTTTCCATTCCATTCTAAAGTTCAATCCTATAGATTCAATAATACTGATCCATGAAATGGCCTAGTGAGAACCCGGCTTAGGAGTTCTCCTGGTACCTTTGCTATTTCTCTCGTTCCAAACTTTTTCTTGTGCATTTTACCATAAATACAACCCTCACATATTTCGCCATTAAGGTCACTTTGAGGTCAAACTCACGACTCAAAATCTCTGATGTGTCGTTTGTTACATGGTATAGTTGCAATAAGTTATTATTTGAAACTATGTTGATTTGAGCTGTTTCCTTTGGCTTTATGATCTACAATGCTAGTTTGTACAGTCCTCCAAATCTACTTCTTTCGCCTGTCAGTATTGTTTTACCACCAACTATAAAACTGCATTTTTTAGTGCTTGAAGTAAACTTTGATGTAGGTTGTAAATGTTGTGCGTGTAAAACCAAAAATAAATTCTTTTAAATCAGAGTAACGTACCCGCGGGGCTTTTCACCCAAGGAAATCGGTGTACAAATTCCTGGAAATACTTGGAAATAGCTAGAAATATTTGGAAATACCTAGAATTACCATGAAAATACCTAGAAATAATGAGAAATACCTAGAAATACTTGATAATACCTTGGGAAATACCTAGAAATAATTGGTAATATGTGCCAAATGATGTGAGAAAAGTATGTTTATGAGCTTCCTGAGCGCTGCTTTTTCTCTTAAATTACTTTTTTTTGAATTTTTACAGTCCAAGTTTGTTTTATTTGATTGTGAGAACCTTGGTGAGAACTTATTGGAAGGTGCCTAAGTGTGTACAGGGTGTCCCAAATTCGAGCAATATCATCGGGAGATTGGAAACGGTAAGAGATATAGGGTTGGTTAAATTATGGTAAAGTTGCGCAAATAATTGTTTGACAAAATACCGTTTTGAAAATTTAAAAATTCCAAATAGTTCTAAAAATATTGGGAATAATCCGAAATTTTACAGTGTTTTTATTTTTTTCTGAGCTAATTTGAAAAGATATCCCAAAATAATTGTCACTTTATCGTTGCCACTTCTTCTCCTCCACAAGATGATATTATCAAATTTAAAATCCGACGTTTTGTCTTTGGGCCACCATGATCATTCATCAACTTTATTTTTTTAAATACGACCCTGGATTTTTTATTTCAGATTTTTAGAGCTTCCGATGTCCCAAAGCCTATGATATACCGCATTTATTCGAAAAAATATTTTTTTTTTTACTTTTTAGTAATTTCCTACCAAAATTCTCTTCTCTGTCTCTAACACATTTAGTTCTTATGGAAAGGGCCAATAATATAAATTGAGATATGAATTTGTCGAATAAGTGCAATATGTTATTGGTTTTGGGACATCAGAAGCTCATAAAATCTAAAATAAAAAATAAGGGCCCATACTTTAAAAAATAAAGTTGATGATGGTGGCCCAAAGACGAAACGTCAGATTTTGAATTTGATGGTGACATCGTGTAGAGGAGAAAAAGTGGCAATGATGAAGTGACATTTATTATTTATTTTGGGATATCTCTCCAAATAAGCTCAGAAAAAAATAAAAACGCTTGTAAAATTTCGGACTATTCCCAATATTGCCGGAACTATTCGGAATTTTTAAATTTTCAAAATGGTATTTTGTGAAGCATAAAATTGCGAAACATTGCCATAATTTAACGGACCATGTATCTCTTACTGTTTCCAATATCATAATGATACTGCTTGAATTTGGGACACCCTGTATATATTTTAGGTGCATTTTTCTTATTTATGTTTGGCAAATAAATTTCTTTGTTGTGTAGAAAATTGTTTCTCAGTGTATTAAAAATAATTTGAAATTTAAACATTTTTTGTCTTTGTCGATTTGCTGGTCCATTTATGTGATCTCTCCAAAGTGACGTCAACAGGCGTGCATACGCAAAGCAGTTGTAGACAAATTTATGGGAGCGTTTTGCTAATCCTTCGTGAGTGTCCCTAAAATTTGATACCCCATAATATGTGTTTATTGACCCCATGCAGAATTTTTCTTTTTGTCCACAAATACTAAAAATGTTTTAATTCGGAAATTATCCCGCACGACGGATGGGAATTTGGTTTTCCCGGACTGCGTGTGATAGAAAAATACTTGGAAATACCTGGAAATACTTGGAAATACTTATAAATACTAAGAAATACTCAGAAGTACTTGGAAATACTAGGGAATACTTGGGAATACTCGAAAATACCGTGAATATTAAGAAAAATGGAAATCCGTGTACAAATTTTGGTAGGTGAAAAGCCCTTCGAACGTACCATACGTCTGATAACGTCAAAACATCTTTTCTGTCTTGAACTTTTGTTTGTACCAGAATGTTTCCTTTTCCAACTGCTCTAACCGTTTCTCCATTCGCTGTCGTTATGGTGTGCGTATCTTGAAAATATTCGAATGTTTCAAAGATATCACCTCAATTTGTAATATGACTTAGCCCCATAGAAGTAGCCCCATTATCCACAAACCACCTATTCTCCTCACATTCGCTAAATAAGACACTACTCTTGTTAAAGACACTAACATCATGTTTGTATCCTTATTTTTCTGTGTTTTGTTATTTCTTGAATTTGGGCTTTCTGGTTTTGAAGGTCTACCATTTTCTTTCCATTTTATACATTGTTTGACCTTATAACCTATTTTGCAATATTTGCAAACTAGTTTTCTCTTATTGGCCGAGCTGTTTCTCTTTTCTGCAAGTAACGCCTTCTGATGACTTTCATTATTCTTGTCTGATAATGCCTCCTCATGAGAACAAATTTGATTTGTTAAATTGTCTATAGTCCTGTCAGATTTCGACATTAACATCCAGCTTGACTTGAAGGAGAAGTAGTCTTGGGGTAGAGTTTCTAAAATCTTACAGATCAACTGCATTCTTGTGCTTAGACGTCTGCGTTGCCATATCATCTTCAACTTTCTTCTGATAGTTAAAGACTTCTAAGCAAACATTATAAGTTTTGTCCTCGACATTGCCATTAGAGAGCCTATTCAATTCAACCCACACTTCTTTTGCTGTAGAAAACCTCATAACTTTTTGTAAGGTATCTTGTGTCATATTTATCATAAGAGCAAGAAATGCATGACAATCTGCAGTATTGAAACTCACCAGGCTTGCCTCATGCGCAGCAATTTCAACTGCTAATCCATTTTTTTTTCAAAACTTGGAGCACCAACTTTCCTTCCAAAATATCAACTACATTTGGAATACCTCTTAGAGGAATGTTCATTTTGTACTTCCATGTGGTCCAATTAGCTTTACCTTCTAGTAGTCCTATACGAACTTTGCTTGGATCTATTCTTCAAAGTTCAATTACTACTCTTACATACTAATTCAACCCTTGATATTTTCAATTTTTCTCGCCTTTTTTAACGCTCTGCTACCATGTTAAAGTTTCAGAAACCATGATTCAAATTGAGAGGAAAATACGAAATATATTTGACACACTTATACAAAAGTGATTAAAAATTTGGTACCCAGATAAATTATCAATGGCCCCATACCTGCTTAAAGTGGTGTTAATCAATCAAACCACTCTGTCAAAGTGCATGGCTGAAAGACGACTATGCTGTTTAGATTTAAGAAAAGTGCAAATTTTTGATTGTTCTATTCTGGTTTCAGGTCACTTCCCAGCTCCCCGTGCCAGCCTCGAAAACAAATTCAATGACATAAATTCGAACAGGGATCGATCAAGACCCACATCCACATCGGGCGATATGAAACCAACAATACCACCAAAATCGCCGAGTCTAAGTAAATCGAATGAAAAACTAGACATCGCACGCTCAAATGACCAACTAGAAATGCTCAAGCCTCAGGACGATAATTTATTCGATAAAATAATGACGTCAAAGTCTTCGGAAAAATTGAACGAGCTCAACGAGAATCGGTTTTTGAACAAAGCTAGTCATACCAGGACACGTTCGGACGGTAATATTATGGAATTGGGGTTACTGCACACGCCCCCTTCGCCTAGGAGTTTGAACAAGCCCACCGAACCGCCTCCGCCGCCTCCTGTAATTAAAAAACCCGCACCTGAGAGTACAGACTTCTGAACTCCTTCCCAAAATGTGATGCTAAACTTAGTGAGAAATCATTCTATTATTATTATTATTATTATTTGTAGATTTTTAAATCTATTTTTTTCTTTTTTTTTTTGACTGAACAAATAATTTGTTTGTTTGGATGAATTAGTTTTGACAATCATCTCAAGCACAAAAGGACTACGGAAGAAATTGATTAGTCAAATTTAAATGTGTTGATAATAATTCGTTAATCAAAACAGCAAATTTGTTGCATTTTCGTATATTTAGGTGAAATTTTTAAAGCATTTTTGACACAAAAGAATTAATTGTTTTTTATGTTTATAATACTCGAAGGGCTTAAATTGATGTTTCAGTTAAACTAAAAGTTTAACCAAACATTAATTTAGGATCACCACTGAAAGTATCGTGTTTTCGTGTTTATTGTATAACAATCAGCGGTATTTTTGTTTGTAAGCTTTTTATATTATTAAAAGAGAGAACCCGATTTTTTTTTAGCCAGTAAAACTGCAATAATTATTAACTGTTTATACGCCTATTACAATAAAAAAATCTTATTTATATAGGGACGACTTTTGAATGAAACAGCTTGACTTCCTTTATCCTTTATTAACAAAACAAATCTTATTTAATATCACATAAGAGTGCCACTCCCCTCAAAGTCCAATGTCGCGGATTATGATCAGTTTCAAAATCAATACTACCAACGTATTTCTGATCAGTTCTTTGCGGTTTACGATAAATCGGACACTCGTACAATTTCGGATCTTTGCCAGCAGTTGTATTGATAGCATAGATGTAGATCACTGGCATTTGTTCGTAGAGCACTTTCGGTTTGCTCTCGATTAATTTTCCAGTGCGCCTGTCCAGACCGGCGCCTTCCAAAAACAAACCGTACACGTAAACACCTTCATGAGGACCTTCTTTGACGTCTTCTTTGTTGTAGCGGGTCACAAGGTTTTGAAGGACCACCGAGTCTAGAGCCCAACCTTTATGAGCACGTGTGACGTCCTAAGGGATTGTAAAAATAGTTAATTTATATTTTAATAATTGAAAATAATTTGTTACTTGTCTCATGGCTGTCAAGAATCCTTGAGGATTGAAAAAGCCAGTCATCCAAAAAGCGTTGGGTTTGCCTTGGTTGCACCAAGTTCTAAATTGAGAGTCGCGTTCTAAGAGTTCGGTATACCAAAAGCCCAATGTAGCAGACTCCCACGAAATCTACAATTTGATTTATGTATTGACAAATTTTCGTGGATTTTAAACGCACCTTTTGCCATTTTTCTGGAATCCTAGCATCGTACATAGCGTCCAGAGAATCTCTCAAGTTTTGGCTCATCACTATGGTACCGTCGATGGCTAGTTTTAAATCTGTCAATGTGGATTTTACCTATAATGAAGCCCATTTATTTATTTTGATCGATTATTGAGTTATAAGTTACCTCTTGTATAACTTTTTGAATCCTATCAATTTCCTGCCTAAGAAAAATATTCATTGGTAATAAAGCTCCCATTCTAACTAGAGCCTCTTTAACTTCAAAACTATTGTAAACTTCTGGTAGTTTATCCAACATATCGTCAGCTAAACAATAAACCACACTTTCTCTAGTTTCACCACCTCCACCGCCACCTTCTTTAGGCTGAACACTTAAGATTGTATCCAAAATACCTTTTGCAGTATTTATTTGATAAGTAATGTCAGCGTTGCCATGTAGTCCAAATACTTCTGGAGTATCTGTAGAGGGTAGCCCATTGATATAGTCGATGTAGCCTTGTAGGTTACGAGTCTGTGGAACTTTGTAGTTTTTGTAGAATTCGAAACCCGGACGCAGTAAGACGTCACAAAACCATACCTTAAAAAAATATCAGAAGAACTTAATATTATCATGATTAGTTTCCCCTCCACCAAGTTATTGAACAATTTCATGATAGGTACAACTTGTCAAATATAGGCAGAGATGGGTGGGTAGGTAACGAATAGAGATATTTTTTCTATCTCTATTGACGTTTTCTCTCTATTGATTTAGAAACAAGGGAAGAAGACTGCAAGTGCCATAGCGGTAGGTATACCGATCTCTATCCATTACATAGTCGCAGTCCTGGTGATTTTACTACCCACGTAGTAGTGATAACGCATTCTTCACGTCAAATATACGCAGGAGACTTGGCAATTTTACCATCTGCGTAGAAAACCGAGTGAGAACGAATTTTTCCTTTATTCTTCAATCTTTATGTCTTGTAACATTTGAAATGTCACAAGAACATATTTAATTGTTCTTAATTAATTTCATATATTTTGGACTCATTTAAAATCTAAGAGCTCGCGCGTTCCTACTCCCATAGACTTCTACTCCTTATGCCTTTACCTGCTCTAAATTTAAAATACTATCTCGTACACCTGGCGACATCTATGATTCCTCTGACTAGTTTCCTGACCTAATACCGAAAATAATGTTATCAAAAGGTGGTTTCGGTCTCCTCACTCCGTACACTTCGAGTGACTCCATTCGCACTCCAGCTGTTCGGGTACTGCTTTTTACCATATTAGGGTTAGTTTTATTCACTCCACTCCAACTCCGAACCTAACTAGAGTTATTTTTTTGAAAACCGGTAGCGCTGTCATTTTTATAATTTTGACAGGCTGGACAGAGGAAGAAAGACAGAACCACAGGGCTGCGTTCAGATTAAACGTCGGTTGTCGCCCGAGCGCGCTCTGACCGTTCAGATTGCTTTGAGTAAAATTTACCCAGCCGTTCAGATTGTCAGTAGATTTTTACTGACGACACCCCGACGCACACTTTTGCATCCCATAAAATAGTAAGATAAAATTTGCCCCGCATGCGCGTTTGTGTTATGTTTATGTTCTAACCAATAATAAAGGCAAATATTGTAAATATTATTGTTGGGAGTTATGGCGAGTTTATCCAACAAATAAAATAAAATAGGAAATAAATTAAAATAAGAATTAAGGGTTAAGAGGTATTATTTTAAATGTGATAATTCTACCAAAAAAATCAAAATAAAATAAAATAAGAGTTGATTATCTTTGAATTTTCTTTTTTCTTATTTTACAAAAATGTTAGAATCACGAACACAGTGAATTTTGAACAAAATCAAAATCAAAGCATCCCATAAATAGTGATGTTATGAGGAGAGAATGCGTCTTGGCCGTTCAGATGGGCGAATCGCCAGGCACACTCGGAGTGCACTCTATCGGGTACGCTCTGCACTGGACGTCGCCCAGACTCTTCAATCTGAACGCGCCCCAGGGGTACTTAGGGACTTCTTCTTTTCGATTTTGTAGTTAGACTGAAAAGGTCGTCTCTGGAAAATCCAAAAACTTTGGTTTTCATTCTTGGCCATCGAGCCCAAAATTATATTAATTTAACTAGCCAGAGAAGTGAGTGATTATGTCAGCTGGAACGTTTCCTGAAAAATCAATAGATTGTTGATTTTTGTGTAAATTTTTGAAAGTCAGGCTTATTATCGGCCGCTCAGGCAATTTGGGAGAGTATTAAAAATCCACGCCTACACTTGGGTGAAATTTGACAAGTTTGAGACCATGCGGTACTGCATTTCCAAAGTAAGTCTGGGCCCCCTCTACAAGGAAAGTTGTGTCCTGTAAGAGATTGATCCCCGACCATTGGAAGATTGCCTTCCGTCAGTTTGGTGCTTCTGGATCTCAAATTTATGAAAATTTCCAAGGATTTCGTCCAGGCTTGTATAATTACTTACCTATGGGTCCCGTTTATGTGCCTTATTAATTACAGTTTCTTGATTTTATCTCTTTTCTACTGCTCCCTATCGATTACCTTTGTATCTTTATAATATTAATTACTGTTAATTATTATTATCTATTCCTTATCGCTTACTATCGATTAGCTTAATTAATAGCTAATTCATCTAATATCTAAAATTCTCATGTCACAGTTTTAGTTACCTTCGTCCTCCGAAACGGCTTTACCGATTTTTATGAAATTTTATATGTATATTCGGTAGGTCTGAGAATAGGCTTTAAGCTATTTTTCATACCCCTAAGTGATAAGGGTGGTCCACCCCAAATTTTTTAAATTTTTTCTTGCTTCTCACCACAACATAACTCAACTTATTTTTGTTTATTCCATTCAACCGTCGTAACAGTATTATCTTATAGCATTTTCGGCTTAACTGCTCTCAGATTGGGCTCTATTTGGGCGGTGACGTCACATATCTCTGCGGAAGTGCTCCGAGAGCGATTATGATCCAAGCGAGGCACCCTATTCGAAATCAATAGCCAAATGATGTAAAATTTTAATTTTAGGTGATTTCTGATCCAGAGAGTTTTCTTCAACCAAGGCTAAATTCACCATTGAAAAAAACTGAATTTAATTCATCTACTAGATAGGTTAACACAACATTTAATAGGTATTTATTAATTCATAGGCGGTACGAAGTTCGCCGGTTCAGCTAGTAACTGTATAAAATCAATTACCGACTCGTATTTTAGTATTTAGCTAGAATAGCTAACTACAAATTAAATAAATTGTCCCTTCGATTAATTGATCATTATCATGATTAGATTTTTACTTTTATTATTGCTTTCTCAATAATTATTTATTTCCAATAAGTATGCATTATTACAATTATTATAAATTTTGTTTCCTCTATATCGAGTACTGATCGATAAAATATGGGTGGGTTCATTAATCTTTAAAAGGTTGATTTGGCTTCTGATTTCAAGTCAATGATGTGGTGTATTTGCAGGGTGAACTAATGTAGAATCTTTAGGTAGTCAAATTTGAGTTTTATGGTTACCTATTTTGAACTTTAAAGGTAAGAAGGTAAGAGCTCCTCCGGAAACCGTGAATCCTTGATTTCATGTAGCAGGTTTTTGATATTTATAACTGCCTAAGGATTATTTATTACCTTTCTGCATTGAATAAATTGTTTTCTATTGATTTGATTGACTTTGAGTCAAAAATTAAAGGTTAATGATATTGTGACTCCATCATTTATACTTAGGTAAATTTTATCATGGGTATCTATTGATTGTTTTTAAATTTCAATCTTATTATACTTATATTAAATTTTGCTTTTAGAAAGCTGCTTAAAGTTTTTTTTTAAAAAAAAAGACTTGGATACTAGACAATAATTTTCTTTAAATCAAAAAAAAAAGTTCGCCATCTTGTCACAAATTTTTAATGACATAACATTCGCCTTCTTGTCACAAATTTTATTAATGACATTTAATTGATTGTGTTTAGAATTCCAAAGCTTGTGTTTTTATTGAATGGGTTGAATGTCAGATGGCTATTGGATTTTGGATTTATTTTACCGTTTCAGATTTTTTTGAATTTATCTTTTTAAACAATAACTAATTAATGGAATAGTGCCTAGTTTGGCTATTCCTTGGTAATCAAAATTATTTATACAAACTAGTGGCGCCCTCTCTCTACTGTACCAACACCAAGGACCACCCCAAGCTAAACAACCACTGAGCAATAGTGGAGCACAAATTATGAACATTCTTTTGTTTCGACAAAACAGCGTTACAGTCTCTAGATATGTTTGACAAGTTGTAAGTAGATCTGAAATCTGAATGCCCCTGACACCAATTTTTTTTCTATGTATAATAGTAGATTATACCACGAGTCAATAATGATAGCTATTATTCCCGAGGATTATTACGAACTGAGCCGCGTTAGCGGCGAGGGAGTAACATTCCGAGGGAATAATAGCCATTATTGCGAGTAGTATACTCTACTTTATTTACGACAAATTAATTTATTTGAGATTTTCAATGAACAAATTTCATCCGTCTCATAATTTTCAATACAAATCCACAAGCACTACACGTCTGACACTGACACTTTTGTGGAATAATGACCATTAATCCCGCTACTCGTCATTAATCCCTGGAGGAATAACATATGTCATTATATTGCCAAAATCACAAAAATAATACGCACATTATACATTAGTCGTAAATAAATAATTTTATAAAAATCACTTTTACCTGAGTAAATGTTGTCAAAAGCCTCTTATCAAAATCATCAGTAACTCTACCGCCATATTGCACTTCTCCAAGCATATAACATACTGTAGGCCACGAAACTCCTTTCTTAGGATCCATATCGTCCAAGTGATTTTGTATGAATTGCACACTTGCAGCAAAATCAGCCTGATTGAACTCGTAAGGCACGTTCCAGCCTGCAAATTCAACAACAACATGTCTAATATCGCAAAAAAAAAAACACCTCACCTAGTGGTCCAAATTTTCGTCTCTCTTGCACTACAGTATGCAAAAAAGCCACAGCATAAAGTAAAGGAGGCCACTGAGACTGTGTGGAATAATCCAAGAAATCCTGCGTAATATTCTGGTAAGTCCTCTTCATACTAGCTCTGATCCCTTGCGGAGGTTCATTAGTAAATTTAATTGCCATCTGAAGCAAACCAATAGGAAATTGTTCATGCACTTCAGTAGTCAACCAAATCCTAAAACTATCATCCATAGTTTCAGCGTCCATTAGCATCGTCATCACTTCTGTGGCAAACGGTAACGATAAATGAATATTTTGCAGTAAAACCCAACCCCCATTCCGCATAGAGCTTTCTATCATATCTCTGGCAACTATTTCCTGTCCTTGGCCCATAGATACTGACTTCAAAGGAATATCTTTTTGTTTGGCCAAAGCAGAAATTTGTGGCGAAGGATCAGAACCGATAGATAAAATACAAATAAGAGGTGAGCCGGGTTCAGATTCGTTCCAGGTGGCTTCCAAATCCAAAATACACGGTTCTCCGTATTCGGTTCCCAAAGAATCCATGATATACTTTCTTGCCTGGGACAGAGTCCTGTCAGGGCTCCAAGATCTTATAAGTAACAGTTTCCTGAAAACGTCTAGATTTTTTTGATAACCACAAGGTATATCTTCTTCTTCGGGCTTTTCTTTTTCATACCAAACCCGCCATTCTTTTTCCGAATTCTCAATTTTTATTAAAATTTCCGCAAATACTTCTAGTTTATTAATTTCCACTAAATTAAGCCAAGTTATGTCCAAAATCCATCTGAAAGGCTTTGGCTGGACGGCGTTGAGATCCAAAGAGGCCCCGCCCTTGATAAACGACATAAATTCTTCGTGAGTTATTACAGCTTTTTGTAAGTCAATTTTCATGGCCATCATTAAGGTGAATAATGATTTGTGACGTTCGTAGAGGCTTCTCTGAGTAAACGTCCAAACCTCGTGAGTTAAATATTTCAAAATAATATTGATTCTTTCAAGGGTATTGTTGCTTTTTTCTGATTTCGTAATTGAGTTATCGAAAATAATCAAAAATTGCTTCAAAGAGTTTTGATACATTACATTAACATTACTCATTTCAACTATTAGAAAATAAAGTATCGAACCTCTTGCTGCAACAGCTCTAAATTCCTCCCTAGCAATATTAATTTTTTTTTCTGTTTGCACTGACACTGATAATTTTTGAGTCACTTCTTCTGCAGTTGTTTTAGTAACTTGAAGCACATTAATCAATTCTTCGTCGTCTACTAGAGAGCCTTCAGTAGAATTCAATCGGCTTAATAAATTAGTTTCAAGCTCTTTCATTTTCTTTTGATTTTGCATTACGGATTCAAACAAAGCAACTCTTTCTGCTTCCAAGTCGGATTTTTCCATTAGAATTACCCTGCCTAGTAGCTGATCTTCTAAACCCAGCATAGTTACAGTAAAATCAATAATAGAAGTTTTCGCACTGATTTCTGGAGAATAAGGAGGATTTGGTAACTTAGTAGTAATATAAAGCATGAAGCCTTTAAGCACGTCACACTCTTTATCTCCTACAATAACTTTCTCAATGCTGCCAGACTTGATAAAGTTCTTTTCTAATACATTATCTAAAACAGGGTCAAGTTCCACATCGATATCCTCAATTAAAAGTGGCTTTCCAAGTGACAAACAATCCTCCAAATGCGTCCTAAAGTATTTGTGATTCAAACTTGTAATTTGCAAGTTGTTGTTCGCCTCTTTGTTTTTAATCCACATTTTTCCTTGAGTTTGTGGATCAATAAGCAAAGGATACGATCTGGATTTGGTGACAATAAGAGCATTTTGTACAGACAGTTCGTCGTTGGGTAATCCCTGTAAGGTCCATTCGGATACTGTAGAACTTTCCACTAGCATATTGGTAATGTTTAAGTTGACTGTATAAGGTATGGCTCTTGATAATAATATTTCCATCCAAGTGTTCACTAAGCCTGCGCGGAATTCTTGATTGTAAGGCCCGCAGTAGGATAAAAATCCAGTAGCCAGTAAAACATCACCGACCAATCTGCCTAGTTGTTCTTTGAATTCTTTGCTTTGCTGAGTCCAGCGGACCTTTTCACCACCTAAACCTTTAATCAAAGTTGTAGCAGTATTCATTTTTCTCAAGCAAAGATTAGCTGCATCGGTGAGTCTTTGTTTTTCCATTACAGCACTGTCATATTGTTCTTTGACTTGCCTCAAAGATTGTTCTCTTTCCTCTAGCTGTTGTTCAGCCCCTGCAAGATCTTCCATTGCAACTTTTAGTCTGGCCTCTTGTAGAGTTAAGTTTGCTTTTAATGGTAAGACTTCTCTGTTTACGCTGTGGAAAAAGGCCATAGCTTTGGTCCAAGACAACAATCCTGCTACGTCACCACAAACTCTTTTGGCTGTGTCCATGTTGTAGTCTTCCATTTCGAAGTAGGGCGTTAGTAGTTCAACCATTTCGTTGTTTATGATGTCCTTGGGGTAGTTTTGAAGCTGGAGCAAAAATGTTGTTGAAGCCATCATTTTCAAGGATTCTGCCCATGAAGGCTTTGGACATGGGGCTGCGCCATCTACAATCACTTGGTGTAGTTTTCTTTGGAAGAGTATCAAAACGCAATCCATTATTCTCATTATAAGGTGCGGCGGGCGGCCTAGTTTACGTACAGTAGCTATATGGGCCGGTTTTATGGTGTTCAAAGCAGCTTCGGCTTCTTCCAAAGCAGGCTTGGCGGCTTCGAGTTTTTGTTCGGCTCGGGCTTTTTCGTCTGCAATCGACGACACAAGGATTTCAGCTTTTTCTTTGACTTTCTGCACTTGGTTTTTAACGATTTCTGCCTGCATTGCTCTCTCAGTTACCTCTGAAAATTTAATTTAGATTGTATCAATATAAGCTTATAATAATTATTACCTGTCAGGACTCTTTCTGCTCTCTGAGAAGCATCGGCCAGCTCTTTTTCCATTACCGCTAGTTCTTTTTTGAGAATCAAAACGGAAGATGAAGCTTCGGCAAGTTTTTTCAAGCCCGTATCCATACGCAAAGCTCCATCGCTCAGTTCTTTTTGTTTGTTATTGTAAATGCTCTTATATCCAGCTATAAAGTTGAGGTAAGATTTTGGAGTCACGTGAGTAGCTCTTCGGAATCTGCAAAACAAAAAATTGAAGCTAAAATTATTGCAACTTCAAAAGTTACCTTTGGAAATATTCCGTAGAAGTTACAGCTACGACATCTTGTATCGAGCCTAAAGCATTCACAAGCTCTTCTTTGACTTTATCCGTACAAGCAATTTGGAATTCTGTTAGGAAATGTTTGGCTACCAGAACCAAGGCGTCTTTAGGCCAGGGTTGGAACCAGTCGATGGTACAACCGGATATTAGGGCTGGGAACCGTAAAGCTCTGTTTCGGAATTTTTCTCCTACCTATAAGGAAAAACATTTATCAAATGTTACTTATTCAATTAATAATAAAACTCACTGGTGAAAAACAAAATACCACATGCAAATTCTGACAAGTACGATTCATAAAATACTCCATTACAACTTCCTGATTCAATGTCCTTTTGGGATTTTCCCTTTTCATAATAGGAGTCAACTCCTGGATAATTTCCGCTTGTTCGTCTTTGGTGAACAAATTGGAAATAACTCCAGAAGACAAAATATTATTCAAATATTCCAAAAAGCCTTCTTCCTTGATATCCAGATCAGTGAAAATAAAGGTAGTTCCTTTACCTTGGCAACCGCAAGACCTATAAAGCACCTTGAGATCTTCCAAAAAGTTGGCGATATTATAGGACCTTGTCAAAGTAATTTGGAAGGTCTTGTAGCCAGCAATAAACGAAGATAATTTTGTTAGGGATTGTTTGCCGCTACCTCCCACGCCTACAAGCATCACGTTGCCTCTAGGATGGCGAATCACTCTGGAAATTTTCACTAAATGAAGCATGGCGTCTGGGAAAAACACCAAGTCCATGCCAGAGCCGCGCACCATTTCGTTAAATTGCGCTAAGAACATTTCCAACCGTTCTTTTAGCTCGTCTGAATTGCTCACTGGCTCGTATACTTTTGGTAGTTCCATGTCTGCGTCTTCGCCTTCTTCGCCAGTTGGTTCAGGAGCATCTCTTTAACAGTCAATAAGTCTTTACTTTATTATCACGTTACTACTTACCGCATAAAATCAACAAACACAGGATTCGGTTCAGTTTTGCGTCGAATATCGGATCCCAAGTGGTCTTCAACTAACTGAAGCAATTCACCATTGAACCAGCTTTTGTCTTCTTCTATGGTGAATCTGTCAGAAAACACTCTGGCACATTCGTGTTTCCAAAGAACCATCATGCAACCCTCGGATTCAATTACCGTTGACAAGGTGCCAATCTAGAATATAATTTGTGACCAAATTTTTTACAATTCATACTAACATCCTTACCATTCCTTGCCATATTCTAGAAAGATCTCTTAACGAGAAGACATAGTGGAATTTGGCAGGGGTAGGCAATAGTTTCGCTCTGGTGTTCTTCCACAAAATCCTCGTTAAAGGTATGAGTTTTTTAACCAAATTCCTAACTTCTAAAGTGAAGCCTCTTTTTACGTTATAATGCCCTTGAGCGATTACTCCAAAAATTTTATCAATAGAGGCATCCACTGGTAAGGGGCAATTGAAAATGCTGAATTGCCTTTTTAATCTTGAAGGTATATCGTTTCTGCCACCTCCGGGTTGTCCCATAGCCCCGACAAACTGTACATCTACGATTGTGGTAAATTCTCCTGGTTTTTCTAAACTGTAGAAACCTCCCATGTCCATAGTTTGCCGGACAATTTCATTGGTTATCTAGAAAAAAACAAATTATTTGCTAGTGAGAGGTTTTGTGCAACATTTACTTGATCTCCCCAGCAATTGATTTCAGGCAAATTAATGTCATCGATAAATATAATCAGCTTTTTGCCATTGGGAGCACCAAAAGAATTGCCCATTCTTTTTTCCACGTAACTCTCGATAGTTTTTTGGAACTGGTAAGGAGTGGTGGCACTGGAAAAATTGAAAGCTCTATGAAGCCAAACTTCTGGGTTGGCTTTCTTCATGTAGGATTTCATCATCACCTAAAAATTTGTATTTAAAAATTGCACCACAAAAACAACGCTCTATTTATAACTGTTTTAGCAGTTCCCTGTTCTCCAATCAACATAACAGCTTTCTCCTGCTTGGCAATAGTGTCGATCAAATAATTAATCCTCACATTATCCATTATTGGTATTAATATCGTAGCAAACTCTGGAGTTGCCATCTCAGGATAAACATAATTGGTAACCAAAGTGTTCCACATTACCCAATCTCCATCAGCATTAACTACGTAATCAAAAACAGTAGCGTCAGGGTTTCTGTTGTTGTTTTTCGGCAAATCCAATTCCGTAAGGTTTTCTTTTATGAAGCTGTTGTATTTCAAACGATCTTCCGCTTCTAGATAGGCGCCCATGCCCCATGTCAGAGCAAACACATAAAGCTTAGCTAAATGTTCTGGAGTGAATATTTTACGCTCTTCAACCTTTTCAGCTTCCTCTAAAAGTTCTTCATCGTCAATATCAGATTTGGCTGCTGAAATTTCTTCTGGAACTTCAATTTGATTGGGAATCAAACCTTCAAGTAAATTGATAATTTGCAAAATAATGTTACATTCTATAACGTTCATGACTAATGTTAAGTTTTGATTGCCCCAGCTTTGCAAAGTGCCAAAATATTCATCAAAGAGTGTGGTGAAAACTTCTTGTTCTACGGGGCTGCGTTTTTTAAGCCTAGCTTTCACTATGGGCTTCCATGTTAAGCCAGAGGAACTCATGTAAACCATTCCGTTTCTGGATACTGTAGCTGGTGAAGCATTGTCAATATTTTCAGGCTCGAAAATAATTTTGCAAGTAGGTGCCATCGATAGTCTATCACCGTTGGCTAATGTTAATGTTTTATTATCATCTAATACTGAATTGAGGTTTTCAATCCAAATACTATCCACTGGACCATCTAGAACCAACCAAATATTTTCGCCGTTTTTAATTTTTAATGTTTTCCTCCACAAAGCCGAAAATATTCCATCTGTCCAGTCGTTTGTAGCCACATCCAACCTACCAAACATCTGAGCTGCTGTTATCGCTTTTGGATTCATGCGCATTTCCCTGTGAATGTTTCCGGTTTCAGTTAAAGCTCTCATTAGGGTTTGAATGCAGCAAGTTTTTCCAGCCCCGGAAGGTCCTAGAGTCATAATACCGTGACGTACTCTTTGAGTTTCATAGAGCTGTATCAATTTCAAGGCCCACGAAGGATGGTTTACTAAACCAGCCTCTTCTACTTGATGGTTGATGGACTCTTCCAGTTCCGGATAAGCAGTTTTTTCTAAGACTTGATTAGGAAACAAATCGGCTACCAGTGAGATAAACAAAGGCTCATCTTCGTCGATTAGTTTGGACAAATTCATATCTCTGAGCACTCGCATGACTATAGTACTTTCCGAGTCTCTGTTGTTGACCCTTTTGGCTGCTCCGAGACTTCTGAGCACCGACAGGATGTTTCTGAGACCAAAATCGTAGTGGACTTGTTTCGTAAGCTGTTCTTCACATAACTTGTAGAGGGTGTAGAACTTTCTGGCCAGCGTGATGTTTTCCAGGAAACCGCAACTGGCCAGCTTCACGCGTATGATAATTTGACGATCCGGTACCATCATGGCTACGGTACGGAATTGAATTTTGAGGTTTTCTGGTAGTTCTTTTCTTCCAGCATAACCCGGATTCTAATTATACAAAAATGTTTTAGTTGGGGTGAAGTTTTTACAAAAAAATTCTTACCATTGTTATAAACACTCCAAATTCTGGGCACATTTCGATAATATCGCCATCCGTAAACTGGAAACTCTTCTTTTTCTCCTTTTTGCTGGCTAAAATGACTGCAACTTGCTGGGCAGCAACCGATAATACAGGTAGCTCTATCCTGTTGAATTCGTCGAAACAGCCCCATGACCCAGATTGAGCTAGACCTTTATAAATCCTGCCGAGTCCTCTATAGTCCATTTGATCGGAACAATTAAACACCACGACGTATTTTGCTAGAGTTTTGCCCATGTCTTTTACAGTTTCTGTTTTTCCTGTACCAGCAGGACCACAAGGGGCTCCGCCCATACTCATAGCTAATGCTTGGGCTAGAGTTATATAACATCTGTCTGTTAATGGAGTTATTACCAAACGATCAGTGCAGCCTAAATATTCGTTTTGGTAGAAAAATGTAACGTCGGTGATGACGATTAGGGTTTTATCTTGTTCTTCTTTGAAGTAGAAACGGCATTGTTTAAGCCATTCAAAGTCGTTGACATGTCTGACATTCATACGGCACTGGAAAAAAGTATTTATGAAATCTAGATTGAGCACTACCATCGAGAGAGAATAGACAATAGATAGGGAATACCTTGGGGATTTTTTTTTCGCCCTTTCGAGCCCATGCTCTGCACTGAATCTCATTGCGGCCACAGAATATAGCTAATCCGCGGTTTAGCTATATATTCTGTGTTGCGGCTTATTGTACATCATTTGCATGGACTCTCCTTCCCATTCATACAAGAGTCTATTAACCTTGCGTTCGGTATTTTGCTCAAAAAGCAGAGCGTGCTGAGCGGAGCCGTAATCACGTGACCAGTTAGCGCACAGAGCAGTTGAACGCTGTTTAAAAGTGCCAGAAATTTTAATAAACGAACGCGAATGAGGCTGCACCGAGTACACTTTTTAAATAAACGAACGGTAAAGTCAAGCTCGGAGAACTCGGACCAAAATAACGAACGCACGGTAAGTGGTCGGCTCTTATCATGCATGTTATCTCAAAAACTCTTGAAATCACTTTTTAAAAAAACACTAATTTATTTTAAAATACATGTTACAATTATATTGGACATTTACTCAACTAACCTAATAATGACGACCTAACTATAAAGGCATTCCATGTTGGTTGGAGCTTGAGCACTGTGTTAGTGTTGATTGTTTTTGTCACACTGTTTTTGCTATCACATCTGATAATGATTGGAAAGGACGATGATAATGTTATGAGCCAGTAGTTTGTGTCTAGTTCTTGCACATTGTAGTCACTAGCGAGTAAGATTGAGGTTTGACAAGTCTTGGGAAGTGTCCCTGTTGACTTCAGGAGTTGGGCTTCGCAAATGACATCGCTGTCTATAGGGTATTGTAGAAGTTCAGAACATATCCTTGTGTTATTATCAAGAGGTTTGCAGTGATCCAGGCTTTGGAGTAATATGTACAATAAAGAATCGTCATTTCTCGCGATATATTTTTGAGTTATTGGTAAAATATGATGAAAACCTGTTCGATTATCCAAAATCGGGATTAGGTAGATGTGATAAAGAGTGTATATCTCAGGTTCGATAAGCGGTATTCTAAGAATAAAGAAAATATTACCTTCTGATTGATAAGCTTCTAAATTAATTATATCCAGGTATCGTGCTACATATGGAAGATATGTAGGTAAAGGAAGGGTATTTTTCGATAAAGAGCGCGATATTTCTTGTAAGGAGACGACCAAGTTTCTAGGAGTTATAATTGAGGTATGTAAGATCTTTAAACGTGCAAACGTTATTGCTTCTAGAATGTCATTAAGGGAATTTTCCAGAAAGACCTACATAGCTTTTCATTATTGATTCACAGAGGTTTAGAGTTCCGGTTTGGGTTTCGTAAAACTTTAAATCGTCCGAAATGTCAGATATGGATTCTCTGATATCTGCTATATCGATGTTGAATGTTTCTTCATCGATTTGGAGTTCCTGAATAGTAGAATTAAATTTTTTTATTACTGAGGTGGTTACAGAAATTTGGTTTTTAAGTAAACTTTCAAGTTCTCGTTCGTCTGTGTTAATTTTGTCAATACATTTATTGAAGTATTCACCATCGGTAGAGTCTAAATTTCCGGTGATTGATTTAAAGATACTTCCTATTCCGTTAATTAGTCCATGTTTGTTTCTATAGTTTGTGTCGCCAGCGATTTCATTAAGTTTCTGGTCGACTGAATCAGCAACTTGAGGTGAGAAAGGTCATCAATTATTTTGGTCAGGCTAGTGAGAATAGAATCTTCATTGTTGTGGATAGTTTCTCTGAATGATTCTATTTTATGTAAACTAAAAGGGTCAATTTATCATTTGAGACTTTTAGATTACCTTCTTCGTGATAGAATATTCCAACTGTGTTGTTAATTGGAGTCAGAAGAAGTTGAGGGGTTACGACTAGAATCAGCCCGACGAATCTAGAAAAGAATAGACTAGTCATAGAACGGCTTTAGTCTATCAAAGTAAAATTTCGAAAATTGATTTGTTTTGAGGTTTTTCACTTTCGCTGAGTTTCTATAAACTTCAATAATTTCGAAAGATCCGTTAAAAAGATTTTGAGCTTTGTCTTTTATTTGAGTTTCTTTAACATACACCTTGTCACCTGCTTTATATTGGAAGATTATGCGAGACCGTATTGTCGAACCTTACTTTCGACTTTTCTTTATGGGTATCGGTTATGGCTCGAGTCATTCTATAATAATATTCCATTCTGTTGTTGAGGTCTGCATGTATTTGGAAATTAGCTGTTTTTGATTATAAAGAGTCTCAGGGGGTCTATTCGACGTATGGCCAAAGATTAATTCGAAAGGTGTGAATCCGTGTGGCTTATTTTTGGTATTATTATAACAGATAACTGCATACGGGAGAATGTTGAATAGGTGTTCATCTGGATGTTCCGCTTTATGAACGCGGATCATCTCCATTAAATTTGTATGGAATCTTTCCAGCGATCCGTTGGATTGTGGGTGGCTTACGCTTGAAAAGGTCAATTTCATGTCGTAGAGTTGACAGAGTCTTTGAGTAAGGCGTTAAATTCACCTCCACAATTACAGTGAATTCTTAAAGGTGTACCGTAATGTTGGAAGAATACTAGTAGGGTGTTAACAATTGTGGACGCCTTTTTGTCTGAGATTGGGTAAGCTTGAGTGAATTTCGTAAGTTCATCCCTAACTGTTAGGGCGTAGTTACGCACTGGGAATTTAAAAAGGTCAATGTTTATCCTTTCAAATGGAGTTTTGGGAGTTTCAATGATAACGAGAGGAGAACTAAGATTTTTCCTACAGAATTTTTGGTAGATTTCACAGGCTCTGATGAATTTCTCAACATCTTTGGTTAAACCTTGCCAGGAGTATTTGGCTTTCATCCTCCTAACGGTTTCATTGATTCTAGGATGTAAATTTGTTTTTCCAGTATGATATTGGTCCAGGATAATTGGGATTTGGTCTTGATCTGGGGTTTTGACGATATTAGGCATATCTTAAGCTTAATGTCTTTTTCGGCAAATATAAAGGAAAATATTTCAAGCATAGGTTATTCCAGATTGTTTTTTATGCAAAAGATTTTTTCAGGGTCAAATTCGTTTTGACGCTTGAAGAGCGAGTAAAAGAGAGTAGGGACTATTTTCTCATTTTTGCAAGGAATGGGAATTATGAAGTATTTGCGTGCTTTCACAGATTTGCTGGATAAAATGTCAACTTGGTTAGGTTGAAAATCGAAATTTTCCTCGAATAAGATCATCTATAGTTTTGTAATGTAAGTCTGTTAGTTTGGTTTGCCAAAAGGATATCACAAGATTTTTGTGAGACTTGTCCAGAAGTTGTAGGCTGGAAATCTCTATCTTTGAGTAGTCAATAATTGATCTGGGTTTGTAGAGATTTACGAAGTTGTATTCTTCCTCAAATTTGTATTCTTCCTCAATTAGGGTTGTTCCATCATTGTTTTCAATTTCGACGATTGGAATTTCTTGTTGTTGTTGACTTGTAGAGGGGCGGTTTCTCATATCGTCAATATCAGGTTCTTCTTTGTTAGAAGCGAGTATGTGAATTTTGGAGCTTAAATCTGAACAATCTTTTAAGTCGTTTACTTTTATTCGAGATAGGGCATGCGTTCTTATTTATTTTCCCAGGTTTATACTCGATTCGATACCTAGTCGTATTCTTCGAGTTTTAAGCGCCAGCGAGCTAAACGACTTCCAGGATCTTTGATTGAGAAAAGCCAAGTTAAAGGCCGATGGTCTGTGATAAGGACAAATTTTAGACCAAAGAGATAAGGTCTAGAATGCTTAACTGCCCATATACAATGGCCAGTAATTCACTCTCTATGGTAATTTAGTTTCGGCATTGCACAGCGTTCGAGAGGCATAGGCTATAGGGAGATCTTTTCCTATAGGGCCTTGTGACAAAACTGCACCGATGACAAAAGCGCTTGCGTCGGTGGGTAATAGAAATGTGTCTTCGAAATTGAGATAGATCAGAATCGAATCAGAAACTACATAGTGTGTTTTTCAATTCGCTGAATGCGGATATGCATTCTGGGTTAAAGTGAAATGGAACATCTTTCTGGAGGAGTTTTGTCAAGGGCTTCGATGTTTTAGCAAAATTGGGGATAAATCGACGATAATATCCTGCTAATCCTGGAAAGGATTTAATGTCTTTTGGATTTTTGGATGTGGGGAAGTTCTGAATACAACTAATTTTTGCAGGGTTCGGTTTTACACCGTCTTGACTAGTCTTGAGTGATAAGGTGTCCCAGGTTACTTCTTTTCGAAGAAACTCACATTTGTCCGGTTGGATTTTTAAGTTAGCTTTACGGAGGCGTTTAAATACTTCGGTTAGCCTTGAAATATGTTCGTGGATGGCAGGAAAGAGTCCCTGTAGACTAAGCATCTTCCGTTTTGAATGCCGAGGAGAATATTGTCCATGACTCTTTGGAATGTGGACGGGGCATTTTTCAATCCAAATGGCATACGTACGAATTCGTAATGGCCATTTTCTACGGAAAAAGCGGTTTTCGAAACATCTTTGGGGTCTACTTCTATTTGGTGAAAACCTGAGGCTAGGGTCAAGCGTGGTAAAATATTGACATTTTCCCAATTGATCCAGAAGATCGGAAATATTAGGCAGCGGGTATTTGTCGTCTACAGGAAGTTCATTGACTTAACGATAGTCGATTATGACGCGCCATTTGGGTTTGCCAGAAGCGTCAAGTTTCTTAGGAACGATCCAAATGGTTCTCCCATTTGGATCGTTGGACCATGGAAATACAGAATGGCGAATTATGCCTTGGTCTAGCATTTTGGTAACTTTAGATTTGACTTCTTCTTTGTGGATTTGGGGGTACCTGTAAGATTTGGTATACACATTGCATTATTGGTGTCAATGGGGTGTTTAATCTCACTAGTAAATGTGAGCGTGTCACCTTCCATAAGTTGGTAGTTAGTTCTTTTCCTTCGTCGTTTGAATGTTCTGTACGAAGTTCATTTTGTATGGAATTTACCTATCATAAGTATCGTCATATTCGAGCTTAGAGTTGTTAAAGCTTAGAATGGTTTTTTGAGTTTCACTTTCTGAGACAATGGTTCGAAAGACAAGTTCGAAAACTCCACGGTTTTTTCTATAGCGTTAATATTTACAATTGAGGTTAAAAATTCACCTTGTTCATTGACTTTTACTAAAGCATTAGGTAATTTGACTTTTTCTTTTTCTCGAGAAAAGAGTAAAGCAATAAAGCACCTGTGTTGGATAGATTACACTTGAGTTTAAAAGATCTTCTCACTTCTAGCTTCTAAAGATATTTTGTTAAGAATTGTTTAAGTGTTGTTTGGTTTTGCTTTATTAGGGTAGTCATCTTCAATAACTTAATGAAGAGCAGGGTTGCCAGATCTATGAAATGAAAAAGCGGGACTGATGTTATTCAGAGGGAAAGCTCGGGATTTTTTTTTTCGGGTGCCATGCTCAAAAGCGTAAGGGGGGGAGGGGCAAGTGCCCAATGTGTCCCCCTCCTATGGACCCCCTTGAGCAAAAGCGCAAAAAACTTTTTGGAGCTACGCCCAAATTTTGTTAAGAATTCAACCAAAACTCGACCAAAAAAAAAATCTTTATTAGATTACAAAATAAACGCTTCACGACAAAACAACAGAAAACATCATTATTTATACCCTATAAATAAACGCTATACTTTTTCTATGACCATGTTATGGTTTTTGATGTTAAACTAATGTAATAGGGGTTTTCGAGCGCTTGACCGGTAATTACCATTCACTGTGGGTATTTACCAATTTAATTTAAGCGGTTCGGTAATTCGTGGTCATGACCTAAAAACGAGCCCTTGGTTTTCGTTGTGACATTGACAAGCAGTGGTATTTACCGGTATTTACACAACTTTCGACCTGTTTTTCACCTCCCACTCTCCCACCATTTCTGTTGATGACAATTGACTTACATTTGAAAAAATTAATGGTGAACGTTTCTTTTTCTTTTTTGTTTATTTTGTTATTTGCAATTTGCATTTGCGGTTGTGTTAGTCCAGTGGTCCAGTCCCAGTTTCAGTATTTTAAATTTGTAATTTAAATAATCATCATGGATAGAAGAGAAAGGTTCCAAATCCTCTTGAACTATGGGGGAAAAGATATTCAACGTCGACGATATGGATACAGCCCATGGATTATTAAATGCATCTTGATCTTTGAAAGAAACGAGCGAACCAGAAAATATAAAATTAATTGGATAATAATAAAAATATAATTGTTTGGTTAGAGCTTAAAATGTAAACAAATACAAAGGGATTAAGGGGAAGGAAGAAGCAGACAAATTTGACAAATCAAAACCAAAATGATAACCAACTAATTTTAAAGCGTTCTGGAAGTGCTTTGACCATAAACTGTCAAACAAACGTCAAGAAACTGTGACCCAGGACAACCCAACCAAGGGCATGACTGCGGTATTTACCGGTAAAGCGCTCGAAAACCCCTAATGTTTTTTCACAAGGGTTCCTACTTCGTCTAATAGATGGCGCTTGAAAACGTGGATGAAAGGTCACTGAATCCGTCGGCAATTTTTGTCGATCGGTAGCGACAAGTCGATGTCATAATTTTTAAAAACGAGGCAATAGTGTCAAATTTGATTATATCATAGACGTCGGAAATGCAAATTTAATTATTTTTATCCACAATCATCAAATAATGGCAGTTTTATCCACTCATATGAAGCGTCTAAAGTGATACTTTATCCACTAGTGGAATAAAATAACTTTATTCCACTAGTGGAATAATGAAATTAAGAAATACGAAATTTTTATTTTATTTATTGATATTAACATTACCATTTAAATTAAAAGATACTCCGTTGTTTGATTTGTCTCCTATAACTTCGTTATTGTTGGTAAAAAGGTGATAATTTCCATCAGCTTGGGAACGCACGTTTATGGGTGTTTTGGCAGAATTACCAGGAACAGGAATAATGGGTGTCTCCTCTTGTAAGGGACACCTTTTGTTTGCAATACTAAACTTATTGGAAATGGAATCCTCGATATAACTTTCAGCAACAGAGGAGCTCTTCCATCCGCCATGTGTATATTCGTGTGATTGTGGATAAAACGTTGTATTACATTGGTGTTTTAGTTGCATTTTATCCACGCAAGAATGTTTGAACGCGAGAACGAAGTTCGAGCGTTTAATTTTCTTAAGTTCTTCCTAAAACACTTATACAATAAATAACTATTAATTTCCGAGTACACGCAGGCCAATGTGACTCGTTTTGAAAAATTTTGACATCGACTTATCGCTACCTGTCTTATCTAGGCAAAATTGCCGACGGAGTGACCTTATGGATGAATCAAGACGCCATCTATAAAATGTTCTCGTTTTTGATTAAATTTATTACTATTATTTTGCTTTTATTACATTATATTATAATTGGATTTGAAAGAATGTTTTTAACACGTAAAATCCTAATCATTCATTTTTGTCACTAGATATTTTATCACTAGTGACGAAAAGTGACGAAAGTGACGTTTTCGGCTAAGGTGAAATACAACATACAACATTTATTATTAAAACCCAAGAATCGTAAACTAACAGGATTGCTCATCCTGGGAAGGCGTACGTTCGGCGGTTCTCGAGTCCACAAGGTCTGCGAGTGACGTCACCACGTCAGCAGCTAATAGTGGTGACGTCACCCGCAGACCTCGATGAAATGCTTGCGATTCAGGCTCGTTTTTTAATTTTTGCGTCGATTTTAAATGAAGAAATAGCTATTTATGTTACAACTTGTAAAATAAGCGTGTTTTTTACACTAAATGTGAAAATTGGGTGGAAAAAGCGGGAAAACCAGGACAATTCACGTGAAAAGCGGGACCTGAAATTAATAAAAAAAAAGGCGGGACCGATTAACAAAATGCGGGACTGTCCCTCCTAAGGTGGGACGTCTGGCAACCCTGATGAAGAGGGATAGTTTTGAAATTAGTTACAAGTTCTTTAGCTTTTAAATCTATCACACATTGATAATGTTCTAGGAAATCAAACCCTAAAATTCCATCGAAATCAATATTCAAGTTGTAAATATACACTTTGTGAGGATCTTGGAGGGTGAACGGTACAAGTGTTGATTTACGGATCTGGAGTTTCAATAAGTAATGTGAATTTATTGGAAGCATCATGAATGTAGTACAGATTTTTCGAATTAACAGTAGGAAGTGGGTTTAAAGAAATGCTTGTTCCGGAAAATTGAGGTTCGGATTTATGTTGTCTAGATTCAGAAGTTGTATTTGAGTCTCGATATTCGAAGTGTGATCTTGAGAGGTAGGTATTCTCTGGCGGATGTTGATTGGTAAAACTTACCAGACAACCCTGATAATTTTCAACATTCGGATCAGTAGTGAACTGTTCAGCATATTCTTTTTCTTCATAACTAGCATCTTGTTGATAATGAGGGCTTTCAGCGTACTCAAATTCGTTGGCATATGTTTCATTAGAGGAATCATTTAAAAGATAAGTTTTTTGTTGGGTTAGGGTAAAAATTGGGTTTTTTTTGAGGGGTAGTTGAAGCGTATCTTGGTAGGTGGATGCATTTTGGGATCTATTTTGCAGAACATTGGTTGTTGGTTGTTGGTTTGCGGTGCCTGAGTAGTTAGCTGTTGTCGTTTTTTGGAAATTTTGATTTGGGTATTGAGTGAAGTTTGAACGCCTGGAAGCTTGTTGTCTACATTGATTGGCTGTATGGCCAATTTTTCCGCAAGAAAAGCATTTTATGGATAATTGTGGTTTGTTGATCAAAACTTTTTGAACAGGAGGTTTTGGAGTCTTCTGATTCTCACAATAGGAAAGTTGGATTTCTTTCCTGATTCCACCTTGAACATCTAAAAGAGAGTGTGGGCTTCCAGCTCTGATAATCTGGCCAAGGCGAGGTTCTAGGCCTGTAAGAAGAGTGTTTAGGGACATAGATTCCACAAGGGTAGACTGCGCTTCTTTTTGATCTACCGTTTAAAGGTGTGGTGTCTTTTGGATAGAAGAATGCATTTTTTCATTTATTACTTGGAGTCTGTTGTAGAAAGTAAGGGGAGACTCGCCAGGTAACTGTTTGAGTCGTTGGAGGTCATGGATAAGAGCTGAGAGGTCTCTAGAATCTCCAAAGTGTAAATTCAGAAGTTGTTTGATCTCCAAATAGGAATTAGGGTTTCGAGAACTTATCAGTTGACCTGCTCCTACCTCTGAGCTTACTTTTAATGTGAATAACAAGTAAAACTTTTTGCTGCGTGGTTGCCATATTGTAGGCACAATCGCATGCATTAACAAAGTTTCCCAAGAAGATTTGATCTCTTTCAAATTCAGGAATTATCGAAATTATTTCGGAAAGTTTGTATGGTTCAACTTCCACAGTGGTTTTATTGGTTTCATTAGGCATTTTGTTGATTTAAATAAAAACAAATATTCAAAAACAAACAAAAAATATTTCGAAAGTAATTGATTGACAAACTTTTCAAAATATGGTTAATGGAAACGATTTATGAAAAATTTTCAAAATATGGTAAAATAAAACTCCGCAACTTATGGTAGATGCAAGAAAATAATAGGGAAAGTTTGAAAAATCGAACAGTATTATAAATTACATGCAGAAAAAAATAAACGAGACAATTCTTTAAGTACTTATATTAAAAGAATAGGCTCCATGGAATCGTCGTGTTCTCGTCGTGTTCACTTCGAGTTGAGATTCTTCCGTTCTTTTTCTGTTTAAAGGATAAGAATCCGCCGCTATCAGTTTAGAATATTCTTGTTCTGACAGCGTTGACAGATCCTACCGACTGCGCCAAATTGTTATCACAAAAACTCTTCAAATCACTTTTAAAAAAAACACTAATTTATTTTATGCACGATCGGGCGGTAAATTCAACTTACCGCCTGTCTCTTTTAGGAGATAAATCAGCTAGAATTATTTATTATATTCACCCAACAACTATACCTAAATACATATATTATTACCAAAATCGGTGTGGACAACCATGAAAAATATAAAAGTTGTTGATTGTTGAAAGATTTGCAAATACAGAATTTGCCAATTCAGGGGAAACACGAAGAGTCCGATGTGAATAAAACGTAATAAGTCTTTTGGGCGTTAAGTGTCGTTAACCACCCTCAACTATTGAAAACCTCCGCTGTCGCGTCGGTCTTCAAACACTCTCGGGCGGTAAATGACAGTGACTGCTCTTAATACTTAAATAACTATTAAAATACAGGTTACAATTATATTGGACATTAACTTAATAATAACGATGATGATGAATGACGACCTAACTAAAGAGACAGGGTCTTTTATATTTTAAAACATGTTGATCTGGCTGTTTCTAGGTCGGCCCCCTTAGGGAATACTTACTACTCAACTTAGAGCTTCAAAATGGTACCTACATACATGTACTTTTTCAATTTTACACACTTACCAATATGTCAAAAATATCCCTCTGATGCACATGAATGGTAATCAAAGTTTCAAACTTAGTCCGCTCTATTTTAGTAAGATCTCTAGTAGTTTGATCAATCAATGTATTTAGCAACTCTAAAAATTTATTGTTGGTGTCCGGCATCACTTTTTTATCGTGCCTGGCTTGTAGTAGAGCCAGCTCAGCGTCTCTGGTCCAAATCATTTGAAGCCCCAGCAAACCCACTTGAGCGGGCATTTTGTCCAAGAACACTAAAAGCTGAAAGTTCTGATCGTTAATCATTGAAAAAGCTGATCTGATGATTGAATGCAATGAAGCTTGCGAGGTTTGCAGCAGTTGGGTTAGCCAAGTTTCCACACTGCCTTCAGCTCTGACGGCTTTCTCCAATGGAATCATCTCACCTTCTGAAGATATTACTGCTGTAATTTTATTATACTCAATATCGTGAAACTTGACGAATCGGGTATTATCGAATATTGATAGTAAATGGTTTTGGATGGTGTGCGAATCTGAAGCTTGTCCGAGGATTTCCAATAAGGCCGGATCAGACACAAAAAAGAATCTCGGAAACATCATACGTTTACGCTCCAAATAGCCACTTAGAGATTTCTGGCAAAGCTCTAATTGTTCTTGCAAGTGAGGCAAAAGTTGCTTAAGCATGTCGTCACCGACGCAACATGAAACGACCCCGGGAGTTTCGTGTGCTCTTTGCATGATTTTTTGCCAACTTTTGTCGATTTTCGAAAACCTTTTAGCTTCTTTTGGTAGCTGCTTGGCAATGTCGCCACCAACAAAAACAGCTTCAAGGTACACCCACATATTTTGCACCAAAAGCCACCTTTCCAAAATCTCATTGGTATTGGATAAATCGTGCACCCATTGTTGGATTTGCTTTTTGAATGGTGCATTATACCTATTCGATAGTAGTGAACCTAGAACCATCAAGCTATCCTCTAATTGTCCAATAGTTTCCGCTGTGGTGTCGCCTCTAAGTAATAGCTCGCCTCTATTATTGAAAGTCATAAATGTTAGTTCGTGTACGCTCCACTCGTTTGTGACTTGTCTGAGTTTTGCTTCGATATCTTTTTCTTTCATGGCTGATATACAAATATCTTCAATGTCTTCTTTGTGGGCTAGCAAAGGTGCTTCCAGGATGTTTTTGAGGCAGAAGCCTTCACTTTCAAACTCGAATATGTGATTTAAAGAATCCATTATTCTTTGCCAATGGCGCGGTTTCATGGCTTTATTCGCCATTAGTTCTAAAAGTGGACACATATCGTTGAAATCGTCTATGGTTTTTTTCAGAGCGAAAAATGCCGGCCACTCTTTAAGGCCTTTTGGTAATTTGCGGCATCGGTTTTGGAATTCCATTAATTCATTATTGATTTCTTCGATGTTGACTTCGCCCCAAGGAATGTCGTAGTAGCTGTTGACTCGGTCAATAACGTCGTTGTAAAGTTTGTAGAGTTTTTGCAATAAGTTTAATTCTTTACGTATTTGAGCTAAATCTGGATAGTCGGTGGTTGGTAGGCCAAAAAGCTCTTCGCCGCTTTGGTAGGTTTGGAGTTTTCTCCACATGCCATCAAAACGATTCTAAAATAATTAATAATTGATAATGATTTTGATGTTATAGGCGAAAATTGTTTTACTTGAAATAATATGAGTCTATCGGAAGCTTCTCTGGGAGTTAATCCCGCTTGCATCGGACCGGCTGTTCGGTATTCGTTACAATAATCGATTTTATCTTGCCTGAAACGTTCCAGGTTATTTTTAAGGTCGCTTTGGAATTGAGGCTGCATGTCCAGAAGGTTCACTTGGACTTTGAGAGCAGTGTCTAAGAGTCTTCTCCATGTATAACGCAGACTGTCCACTTGCTCTATTATTTCTCTTTCTACGGCTACCTCGTAGCGGTTGAGAACGTTGAAAGCTTCCTGGAATTTTTTGTTTAGAATTTCATTTTGCATATTATTAGGCTGCTGCTAGTAGGTATATTCTCATAAGAAACTGTGACACCTCCCAAAATTCAAATCAACAGGAGATGTCACAGTTTCTTGCAAGACTATGCCTTTGGATTTGTTGTAGATCTGAAATATTTACCTCGATTGGGTCAATTTTCAGCTCCATATCGACTTCTTGCTCTCGTATTTTCTTCAAATTATCCATGATCATTCTAACATCGTCCAGATCGCGTATAGTCCTTTCAAGTTTTCGTTCCATTTCACTTATCACCGCATAAACATAATCCATTTCTCTTCTATATTTTTTCTTCATTGCCTGACCAATTCTGACAATAATGCAATGATGAATGATTTTTATAATAATTAAAATTTCCAATACCTGTGAGTACATGATTTAATTTCAGTGAGAATCCCATACTTTAATTTCTCAGTGGAAATAGCTAGGCAATTGGCTATAACAAACACGTTGGGTTCAGTAGTCAAGCGTTCGCTGAGCTCTTCGTGTTTGCGCAGCGAAGCTTCGAATTCGTTGAGTTGGCAGTTCAGTAAGTCACGTTGAGATTTCTCGTTTCTCCACAAGATGCTGTATGGGCGCCACCTTGAAAGAAACTGTGACATCTCCTGAAAACAGAAAAAAACGCCAGGAGATGTCACAATTTTAGTTAAGAGGCACCAGTGATTCTTGTGTGTGGGAGAGAATAAGCATTCTTGGAGTTTATCCCACGATGTTCCATGATACATTAAGTACATAAATTTGCCTTAAAAAGTACATTCAAATTACAACTATACAACAAAGTTTCTATAAATTAATGATATCCAAAATTGTGCAATAATATAATCTTCAATCTTAAATTTTTAATAGTTTACCGCTGAAAAGGAAAACAAAAATTAGTAAAAACTATTTTCCGGTAAATTTATCCCCTCTATATGTATCATTTTCCCGAATGCTTATTCTTCGCCCCCCCAAATAAAATTCATACTCACTGCACGCATGTCCTGGGTGCAGGATGTCAACAATGACAACGTCTTAATAACTTCTTTATTTTCCATTACATGATTGAAAAAGTTGCGTTGTTGCAACGGAAACATGGCCTTCTCCTCGGTCATCAGTCTGTAGAGCTTTCTACGACGCATACGAAAATCGTCTTCTTTAGTTTTGATTGTACTTTTCGAAGATTTTTTCTAGAAATCGCAAAACAATAATGGGAATCTTGTATATGTTGGTAATTTTTCTATCTACAATCTACGAACAACTAACCTGGGGTTGGATATTTCTTGACCTATTTACCACATCCATTAAATTAGCTGAAGGGCCAGCGATTTTTTTCCAGACCGATTTCTTGCTAGCTGTTGATCCCTTTTTTGAGCATGCACATATCAATAAGGTGTAATAGAAAAAGAGGAAAAAATAGGTGGCAGTCCTGTGTTTGTGTAGGTGGAAAAGTAAAACAGTAAAATTCAGTTTGAGGCTTGAAAGTAGGACTCAAAATTTAAAAATTTTGATACCTACATATTCGATTTCTGATTATTCTCGTTGCATTGAAACATAGGTACCTACTTTTACAATTATTCTTTAATTGTTCCTGGCAAAGATTTTGAAAACAACTCAAATCATACGTCCAAAAAACGTCTTTTATGTACCTTTTTAAAAAAGGCTCTGACAATCATTCAGTCAGTCAGTGGCGGCTCTTCCTAAGGTTTGCAGGCTTGCGCAACCCCCAAAACAAAAGTTGAAAACAATAAAACAGAAAAGAACTAATATTTTAGTACCTAATTATATTTTAAAAATAAATTATACCAAAATTTGGTACCTACATAATACGCGAGGAGATGTCCCGCAGTTAATTTATTGAAATAATTTGACCACTTTCGCCAAAATGGCAATAACTGACTCGCCGCCGCGCTGGATTGCAGCTCGAATGCAACCCGATCGGCTTATAAGATGGCGCATATGTGGTTGCTTATCTATGCGCGGATTTCAATTCCGTCCCATAAGCTCCAGCAGGTTGCAGGCAAAGTGCAATCTTTCTTCACTTTTTTGCGCGCATCGCAGATAAGGTTTGTTTTAAAATATTTTATTTTAGTTTGCGGTGTGGTACGTGACAAAAAAATGTTCAAAGTTCAATTGCAGAGCCATTCTGTGGTCGATTATTATCCGATAAGGCTGAAATTGGAATTGCAACCCCCACATTTCTAATATAGGAGCCGCCACTGCAGTCAGTAGATGTAGATGTAGATCAAAAATCGTGTGTAATTGAAAAATACGTGGCGGTGGCGTGTGTTAAAAGAACAGTGTGCAATGCATGGGTTTTTCTGTGTATGTGAGTCAAACAAAGACAGAGTAAAATATGTGGGTATTTAAAGGGGGTGTTATAGTAAATATATAAAAACATTCATCACACGTAAAGTTGCAGGCCACAGTGCCTACTTACTTTGAAACTGTCAAAACTTTCTTCCAAAGATGGAGGTTTAATCTAAATCACATAATTTTTTTATTGTTTTTGAGCCAATAATGTTTTCAAAAATTTATATTGAAAAAAGTAATCACCTCTTGACTGGCAGCCCATTGACCAACCCCTTTGGACACCGAAGTAATATTTCTTCCGGCCAAATTCAGTACTTCTTGTACTTCGTCCAAATTCGGTTGAATTCCCACTTTAGGAATGAGCAGTAGGGCATTCAGGACAAAAACTGAAGCTCTATCGTCCTTATCTATAAATCCAATTAACAGATTTTCAACCCAAACATTGTCAACTTACATTCAACACAAAATCTCCTCCTTAAAGCATCCAAAGATTGTCTAGTAACCTTAACAAGAACATCAATCACCTTCCTGGTATAGTACCGCCTCATTTCACCTACAGCTCCTCTGACAACGTCGTTCATAGCTTTGCTCATACCACCGCTAAACAATAAATGCGGCTTTTCGAAACACTCCCATACCAACGTCCAATCGGATTGTTGCTGGGACGAAGTATGCCCAATATCGGGCGGCTTCTCTTCTTCAGCTATAAAAACATTCTCCTGATCGACCGAGTCCGAGCTATCGATACGAGCTTTTTTGACTAAAGACAGAATTTCTTCTACGGCTTCTTCTACCATCATGCACTTTTTGTGCAGTTCGGCCGCGGAAGAGCGACAAAGTTCGTCGATTTTGTCGCAGAACTGGTCGATTTCCCACGGAGGGTCGCCGTCTTCTGGGAGAGCGTGGAGTTGGATCGTTTGCATGCTGGTTAGGACTTCTAAGACTCGGTTTATGTAGATGTCGTGGATTCGCTCAGTCTAGAAATGAAACGCTGGTTATTATATGTGAAAGATTTAGGAGCCCAACTTCTTTTCTATAACGCTTTGTTAGTAAAATTTCCAGTATTGTTCCAAGGGAGTGTACTGTCCTCACTCCCCACTGCTGTGGTTAGTGGTAGTAGATGAACTTCCCAATTGATCACGTCACGGTCCTAGGATATGCTGACGACCTCTCAGTCATCAGTGAGGGTACGTGCACCATGCACAACGGAGTTATGATACAAACTTGTAACCTGAATGACAGATCATAGCTGAAATTATAAGCGCCAATAGGTGTGCACAACGGAGCTGTGATATAAACCTAGATTCAGTCTTTATCAATGTCTTTATACAATTTCAACTCGCATTTTCTGATCGCGATGTCGGACAGTAATGACGATTATTTATGTTCGTGTGCTACAAAAGTGGTATGTTCTGCTGCATTTGTGATGGTAGCGATGGTAGTAATACAGGTACTGTCGACAACACCAGTAACGGTAGTTGTCAGTTGGCAAGGTCTGTTGTCTAGCTGCCCCTTGCATGTTGCATGGGTCTTAATAAAACAGCACGATTTAAAACACACTGATAGTTATTTTATTTATTTAATCTACGTCGGTATCATTATGACACATTTAGTATTGTCATTTGAATGTCATTAGGTCCTTCATAATAGCACTAGTGCGTTTAAGAATTCATAATAACACCCAAATTTTGAAATGAAAAATATACAAAAAGAAAGTTAGTTGCCAGAAGAACCTTTTCAATAATGCTGTCTCTATATTCGAAGAGACACTTTCGAACTCAGATTCACCAATAATAATATTATTTTCCACCATAAAATTGAATTTATGGCACAAAAATGGACTCCAATATTGAAGCTGCCAAAGTCAAAATTCTAAAAACCAACAAGCAGGTTCTCGACTTGTACGGGCACCTGCTAAATTTCAAATTTTAATTTGAAAAGTTTTTGCTATTTCAAGGCAAATCAAATCTATTTGAACCATTGTAGATTAAATTTTGAATGATACACGTTCGATATGAACTTTATTAATGAAATTTGTGTAACTAAACCACTCGGCTAACGCCTCGTGGTTTAACGTTACACGCGTTTCATTATGGCGTTCATATCGAACTTGTATCATTAATAACTATTAACCATATATGAAATGTTCATTACTGACTTCAAAAATTTGAAAATGTCACATTTCTGTCTTTTCATTTTCCTGGTCCATTACCTATCCCAGGACGGGAAATGAGGACGGGAAATTTTTTCCGTCCTCATTTCCCGTCCACGGACGAAAAAAGGAGCAGGGAAATATTCCCCGTCCTCATTTCCCGTCCTCATTTATTTGGTTGTTATGAATTTTTATTTTTTTTTTTCAAGAAATTATAGTTAAAAATAAAATAGTATACAAACACAAACCTCGACGGGAAACTTCATTACTGTCTCGAGGTTCAGTAGACTATATAACCTCTCGATCAGCAATGAAGCATTTCCCGTCTCGGATTGTAATATACTATTATATCCCTTGACGATATAAAACATGGTGTCAGGTTATTAAGTGCTTTTGGTGCTAGTTTGTTGTAACAAGTCGGTGAAAAGTTCGCTAGTGTTATTATCCCTTTACAATCCGAGTCCACAGGTACAGGTAAAATTTATCACCTTTCAATGATATTTGATAGGGAAAGGTGATAAATTTACCTGCACCTGTGGACATCGGATTGTGAACAGGATATACGTTGTTTGTAAAAAAGTTACCTAGCCTAGAAACATGGAGAGTTTATTTCGGCCCCCGGAACCCCTTGTTACTGATGGCAATATAGCTGATAATTGAAAAAGATTTGTTCAAAAATTTGATGTTTTCTTGACGGCGTCTGGACTGGATAAAAAACCGGAGGAAACTAAAGTGGCCGTTTTCCTAAATCTTGTAGGAGATGATGGGCGCGAGTTGTTTAATAGTTTTACATTTACTGAGCAGGAACTAAAATCGCTAAACAGTATAAAGAAAAAATTTCAGGAATACTGCTCGCCTCAAGAAAATGTGATTTTTGAGCGGTTCAAATTCAACAGTATTGGCCAAAAAGATGGTCAAACCTTTGCTAGTTTCCTAACAGAATTGAGAAAAACAGTGAAAACTACAAGATACTCTCAGCCAGATGAACTGATTAGAGACCGTGTGGTATTTTTGATAAAAATACCCCAAAAAGACTCCTGAGAGAGTCCAAACTAACTTTAACCAAAGCAATTGATTTTTGCAGAGCCACTGAGGTTAGCAAAACACAGACCAAGATTTTGCAGAATGAATCACAGATTAATGCAATCAAAACTAGGAATTATAGCTTCCAAAACAGTAAGAAAAGTAGTACCGCTAATAGTTGAAGTGGTAGCTCAAGTCATGGCCTAAGTTTGTGCAAATTTTGCGGCTATAAACACATACTAAATGGTAAATGCATATGGGAAAACATGTGCAGCTTGCCAAGGAAAAAACCATTTTGCAGTAATGTGTCCTGGTGAGGGTCTAGTAAGCCACACAAAAAATCTAGCGAGAGACAGTCATGGAGGAAGCCTGTACACGAACTGGAGAAAGAGCACACAACAGAAGGAAGATGTAGTGACAGCTCTAGTGAAAGTGAGTCTTTCTACGTGGATTCACTGTGTGGAATCAGTTCTATGAAGTCTCGAAAAATTGATAAGGTGATCAGTGAGTACGACAGCAGAGACAATCAAACTGAGATGGTGAATGACTGGAGACAAGTTGTGCAGATCGAGAACCAAAAATCAATTTAAGCTTGAGACTGGGGCTGAAGTAAGTGTTTTGCCTCTACACGTTCTCAAAGAGTTAAAAGTTAGTTCTCTTTTAAAACCAACCAAAGTAACCCTTGTGTCATATGGTTGTAGTGGTTTCAGGATAAAACCTCGGGGTGAAGTAAGTTTGTTTTGCGAAGTCAACAACTGTAAAGAAACTCTTGAGTTTTTAGTTATTGACTCCACTGACCAACTACCTTTGCTTGGGTTATGTGCTTGTTCACAGGACTCGATGTCAATTTCAGGTCTCTCGAACATGTTAAGAAAATGTATGCTAGTGTTTTTGATGGTTTATGCCAGTTTCCAACTGAGCATCATATTTCTTTGAAAAAAGATTCCGTTTCACATATTTTTTACTTATATTATAATTTGCATATCGTTGGGAAAGAAAGGAACACTCGTTCTCCTGGGAACACTGCTCCCCTGTTTCAAGAATAGGGACTCAGGAGAGTTCCTAGAGCATTGCATGATAGATTGAAATTGAAACTAGAGCAACTTGAAGTTCAAGGTGTAATTAAAAAACTTGACGAACCAACTGAGTGGCTGAATTCTTTAGTCATAGTGGAAAAAAGTAATGGAGACTTGAGGTTGTGCCTAAACCCCAAGTATTTGAATAAGGCAATTCAGCGTGAACATTTTTTTATTCCTACTGTAACGTTTTCAATTTCTTGGCTAATAAGCTACCTTGTTTTGCTTTAGTAGATATGATTCCATATAGAACTACAATGAAATAAATGAATAAACAACTATCTTTTCTGTGCCCAGATTTTGTTACCTTGAGTACTGCCTTCTACTGAAAGTTTTTTTTTGGTGCAGGTTTGCAAGTTTTGTTAATTGATCTAGGAAGGTTTGATTCAGTACGGCAGGGCCCGCTGTTATTGATTAGAATCTTAGGAAAAGGAGTTAGTACCATCATCATATCTGTTTGCAAATCCAATCAATAATCTGAGGTTAGGATAATAATTGTTGTTTACTCTTTGACTTTTCATTTCCATCATGTCATTGAACAGCTGTTTTGTCTAGGCGTTTTCTTTAGACCTGTTCTACCTTTTGATATATGTTCTATAGGCACTTTTCAACATTCACCAGTCATTTTTTTACACAACCGATTCTCAGTTCGTACTTTTGGGGTGAAACTGAACACGTCCTTTTCTATTATTTTCTTCAATGTCAAAATTAGAAGTTTGACAGATGAAAGTCTTCTTCCGAAATCTAAATTCTAAATGAAGAATCTCCCTTTTGATCTGCGACCTCACGCTGAGTAGTCGTCCGGTCTCGGGCCTCGGCCCTAATTATTTTTGGGGCGAGACTTCTTGGAATTTTGTGCCAGGGAGCTCAAGTTTTAGACTAATTTCTTGCTGATAATTGTCTAGAGTCGTCCCTTGGACATTTTTGGATTCTGTTTCGGACTGTTCCGAGCAGCATTTGGAAGTTTAAGACTTCACCTTTGGTCTAGAGTATCCCTCAATTTGAGGGTCCTAGTGTCAGGCTATAGTTGGACAATCCTACTCCTAGTCTCAGGCTATAGTTGGACAATCCTAGTCTCAGGCTATAGTTGGACAATCCTAGTCTCAGGCTATAGTTGGACAATCCTACTCTTAGGCTATAGTTGGACAATCCTAGTGCTAGGCTGTAGCTAGACAGTCTTGGGCTATAGTTGGACAGTTGCTGGGCTGTATTTAGAGAGATTCTAGACTGGATCTGGATTGCTCTCAGTAGGTAGCCATTCTTCAGCAACTCTCTTGGTGCCACTCTGGCAGAACCACGTCGAGTTCTACGTTGAACGGATACAACGTGGATAGGACTCATGACTCACTTACCATACCTTAGCCTATCTATAGTGAGACCAAACCTGTAGATAATCTCACTTTGGAAACTTCTGGATTTTCACATTGGTGTGTATACATGTAAGTTGCACCTTTACTATTTAGGCAAATCTTATATAAATCATCTGACACCGAATTACGTCGGTAAGTGCCCCTTAAATAAAATTCTAGAATTTTACCCTGAGGTTGCCCAAAGAATAACTTTCACCTTTCTGTGTTTAATTTGCCTGTTGGTAAAGTGTAACCCATACTGTATTTTTCTTATCACTCACAAGTGTTAATAAACAGTTAAAACTGTTTATTTTAAATTCATATATTCATTATTTACATTTTTTTTTATTTATTCAAATATTCACAAATTAGGTACAAGCCTAATCCTAAACACCTTTTTTAATAACTTCGTGGCTACTTATTGGCGCAATAGTTAAGTCCTAATAATTACTTGGTGGCTACACTTTTTGGCGCCTTATTATTATTGTTAATATTTTTTAATAAAGAAAGCCAGATACATTATTGTACCTAATTAGTTGTTTTATTGTTAAGCGCTCCAATTGTACAGGTTTTGTTTATAACATCATTAGGTTATCTTCCTAGTTAAGTCACAATTAACTTTGGTGGCGCCCAAAGGTAAGATGTATACAAGGAACACATAGACCCATGGCCTCCGGACTGATGCTGAGCCGTATGCAGTATAATTGCCAAAAAAAGTACGTTATACTACTTCTGAGGAAAATGCTGTCAAATTATGTAATAAAGAATATTTTTCGGTGCTTGATATGAAAGACGGTTATTTCCAGATCAAAATTGACAATCAAAGTTCAAAGTACACAGCTTTTGGCACACCATTTGGGCGATTCGAATTTTTGCGTTTACCTTTTGGCATTTGTTCTGCCCCGGAAGTCTTTCAAAGGAAAATTTATGAAATATTTGGGAACTTGGACGGCGTAGGGCTCTATTTTGATGACCTTATAGTTACAGGTGGAAATCAGTTCGAACATGATCATAATTTACATTTAGTACTTGAACAGGCTCTCAAGTATAATATTAAATTTAATTGTTCGAAAATCCAGTTTAAATTGAAAAGTGTAAAATTTATGGGACAAATTTACTCAAAGGCGGGGGTAGAGCCGACTTTTTCGCCTGGTATTGGGCTTTTTTAAAAAAGCAATCAATTTTGAAAACTTGCTGATATGTTATTTTCGACTATAATTGTAAATTTTAACATAAAGTATACATAGGTGGACCCGTGAACCATAACGTTGAGGATTTTTTAATTTTGGCATTTCCCGAAAAAAATGCAAGAAAATACTTCTCTCAAACTTTTAATCTTAAGCCGTTTTCTTTAGCATTTTATGTGGAAATTTGGATAGAGCTAAAATTAAAAATTTGGTTTCATTCTGGTTGCTTACTAATTGTTTATTGGTTGTGTTGATGGTTACGGCATCGCGTTTTCAATTGTCTGTTTATTTTCACCAAAGTAGCGGCCAAAAAGTAAAAGCGGCCGTAATAGTTATTTACATTACAAGTGCGTTTATGAACATGATTACAATAACGAGTGTGAAAGATTAAAACGACGAGCTCGTAGACCGAATCGTTCTAATCACACGAGTTTTGTAGTCATGTTTAAACGCACGCGTGATGTACAACGTTTTATCTATAAAGCGAAAAATAGGAATGTTTTTTTAATTATTTTCGTTTATTAGTAGTTGTCTACCTTCATTTTACCTTTACAGGTTTACCTTTGACATTTGTCAAATCACCAAAAATCGTTGTGTTATAGATTCATGACCTCGTCCATAACACCACTAGTTGTGTTATGAATTCATAACCTAGTCTATAACACCACTAGTTGTGTTATGAGTCTCATAACACAACTCTAATACTAGAAAAATAGTTATGTAAAAACGTCATAACCAAACGCTTGTAGAGAAAGTAATAAAGCAAATGCGGCCGTGAAGTAAATGTGGCCGTAAAGTAAATGCGGCCAAAAAAGATATACTTTAGGAATGGTATTGAATCCGTAAAACTAATATTTTTGTGACAGTTGCCTAAAAAATAATATAGAATCTAATCAAAGTTCAGTACACTGATTGGAATCGCATCCGTCAGGGTACCAGTTCGACTGGATGTTTATAGTCACTGCTAAATTTACTTTTTATCAATTCAAATTATTCTAAAAAATAACATTACTTTCTCCGTAATTGAATGTACTTTTTCCGAAAATGACTTTACTTACATTTTCCTAAATAAAAGTAACTTTTTCCGAAATTGAGGTTGAAATGGTGTAGAATTGGGTATAGGCTCAACAAGCCTGCTGCTGGAACACGCTTCCAGGACTTGGACAGGCAAAATAATTCATCTCGCTCCAGTCAATAAAGGCAAAAGGAAATATTGACCCTAGTGAAACGGATCTAAAGGTACGGTTTGTTAGAACAGTGCGCGACGCACAACTCACAACGTAAACGTCAGTAGAATCTATTTAGCACTACAACCTTTTTTTTTTCAAGTTTCAAGGTCAAGTATGAACCCTGGTGAAACGAACCTTACTTTGACACACTGCACACTGCTGACGCTGTGCGTCACGCTCACTTGCGCAAACCCAACAAACCGGTCTATATAATTAACACTTGGTTGATTTCAGCAGACGTGCGTAACGTTCGACAGAATGTGAGTTGTGCGTCGCGCAGTGACCCAACAAACCGTACCTTAAGGCTGCTTACACGCTGGTTAGTTATCATCTGGAAAAAATGGGCCAATCCCAGGAACATTATAGGCTTCATCAGGGGTGGGACTCTATAACGAATAGAAATATTTCTCTATCTCTATTGATGTCCCCTCTCTATTGATTTCGAAAAGAGAGGAGAATACAGCAAGTGCCATAGCGATAGGGATAACGATCTCTATCCGTTACAGAGTCCCAGCCCAGAAGCCCTAATCTGGATATAAGGGGAAGTACACTAGATCTAATCAGGTCGTAGTGCGGAGAAGTCCATAACCCAAACACCCCAACCACCACAATCTACAATCTACATTCTTGCCGTACAAAAAAAATCGGATTTAATCATTTGTACTTGAAATCTTAGAGATCTATATACCTACTAAAAAATAAGCTGACTTGAGACAAACAAAAATTTTCATCCAAACTGAACAATTCTTACCAAAATTTTGAAGTTTTTTATCGCAGAATTAGCCGAATCCACATAACTTTGCCAATCGGCGCTAACCCAATCCAGCTGGCTCAGTCCCGGTTCGATTTTGTTTGACAGTTTGATGAGATGAGGCAAGAACAAAGGTCTCACTTCCAGTTTGACGTTTTTAACCGCCTTCAGAAAATCGTTTATCAAAAATTGTAGAGAGTCTTTGACCAAAGTGAAATGGTCGTTTTTGGTGTACAAGGTAAGAGCCACCATTGGTACCGGTAAGTCCATTTTAATCATCAAGTCGGCTTCTCTTATAAGTAACGGTATCGTCGTGTGTAAGTTGACTTTGATTTTTTGTTTTTCTGGACAAACGGCTAGAAGGTGTTTAGTTAAACAACCATCAGCATCTGAAACCTAATTTAAAAAAAAATGCAGTAGTTTTCTAATTTAAAACCTGATTTTCCTACGTGTTGGTTCATCCATAAGGCAACCATATCAGTTTCGTAAGTTTTAAACATATTTTCAGCTGCCTTATGTCTTCTGGAAAGTTCCACAGTGGCTGGAAGGTTTTTCATTATGTGATGAGTAGTGACGTTGGATAGCAGTTCTTCTAAGTGAGCTGCTAGGCAACGAGCCCATTTTATACGACCTTAAGAGAAAAATCAATCAGTAACAAAATATACTCAACCTGTAATGTGTGGAATTGATGACAAATTGTCGATGAATCTAGTTTTGAAACTAAAATGGAGAACAAGGAGCTATAAAGAGTGTAGGAGTTGAAGAAGTTATAGAGATGAAAAAAAGCTGAAGGAGATAATAATGAAATCGTATTATGTTCTACTACATAATGAATTGTGTATTGGATGGACAATTCTTACCTGCAATAGGTGGAAACATCCTAGGAACAGGTGGATCGTCTTTCTGCTTCTTATACATCCGTATAATCCTATCGACTTCTTTTTCGCAATACTTCAAAATCCTGTCGTATTTCTCCTCCATTTTGGCCAGAGGTATTTTCTCGCTGACTTTTTCGAACCGCGTCAGAAATCTGATTCCCTGAGGTGTTTCCCAAACACTATCGAAATTCCTTTCGATTGTGTCGGCGATTTTGTCCTTCAGTTCGTCGGTGTGTGCCAGGAAGTTTTTGAAGTCGGTTTCGAAGTCGCCGTTTCTTTGATCGAGGTAATCGTATTGTTTGTTCATTACTATTGATTTGATTTCGGTGAAATTTTGAATTGCTTCATCGAGAGCTGAAATAAAAGCCTAAGTATATTATTATAAACTACTCTTGCTTATTATACCGTCTCCTAACAAAAGACCTTCCATTCTCCGTTGAAACAGGCCAGAATAATCATCAATTAAATCAAACATTGATATAATCTTTGCTAGTCGTCTACAAAAAGCATCGAATTTTCCAAATATATAATTTTCAGAAAAGTTAAATGGCCTTGTAGATGGTAGAATAGTTTGAGCCTTAACTATATGATAAGTTTTCCTGTAGACTTTATTCAAAATTATACATTGAGTCAATTTGTCTTTCATTAAAGCCCTTTCTTGAGACCATATAGTTTCTTGGCCTCTACAATTTATATAGCCTTTACAAGTTTCAATCATTTGATTAGTTATCTGGAAAAATAATTTTTAAAACAAAAAATCTTATGAAACAAAATGTTATTACTTTGACCATTAAGGCTGAACACCTCTCAGAAGTATTATAAAATTGTGACACATTATGTATAAGTTTAACCGTTTGTAATAGCCCCATTATACAATCCCTCATTTTAACAGGATCATCCAAATACAATGAATGGCACTTTGTTTCTAATGCTTGTATAAACTTAGCATTATCTTTAGATTCGTTATAGCAAAAAGTAATTTTCTTGTCAGTTTCCTTCCATTCCTTAAGCAATTTCGAACGGGCAATTTTCAAACACAAAATAGTCATTTGAACTTCCCTGGAATTCACTTGGTTGACTATTTGAGAAAATTGCGCTCCGCGCTTTTTCCAGTATTCCAGCTCGTCTTGAGGACCCGACGAGTCATTTTCCCGTCTTATTTGTTCGCTTTCTTTTAGAATTTCGTCCAGCCTTTTGCACCAACTTTTCACGCGTTCTTCCAAAGGTTGTACTTGATCAGGTACCTTGGCCATTTCCTTTATTTCATCTGAGTGCATTTTTCTCATCATCACTTGACCATCGTCGAAGAGATTTCCTTCGTTGGCAACTTCTTCACAAACTAAAAACAATTTGTAATTTAAGTAGCTTAAACTAATAGTAATGGTTGCCTTTTAGAACGCTACAAAATGATCTGAGGCTGGGTAGTAGCTGATTTTTGACCATGGGGCAACTTGCCGCGTCATCTTCGCAATCCAGACTGGGGTGAGCCAAAGCTTCCATAAAGACGTGTTCTATGACTCGTTCTATTGTAGTTACCATTCCTATTCTTTGAGCGTCTACTACTCCACAGAATAGATCCTAGAAAATTTACTCAACATTAGTTAAAGCTGCAAAAGCTGCAAAATCGAAGATTGAAAAGAACCTGATATTCTAACTGGACAGGACAAGCTAAGTGAGCAACTGGATACATTTTCTTCTGTAGAGAGTCACCAGTTTCTGTCAAAACACCACTGCATTCGAAAAGTTTGAGAAGCTTCAAGCCAATAACTTGATGTAGTTCAAGTGGAACAAGCTGGAAAGATTAAAATTGAAGAAACACCAAAGAGTATTTCATGTGAGTTGAAAGTAGTTGTCAGAAGAATATCAGAATTACATATGTGGAATCAGTTGAAGAAGTCAACTCCAGTTTTAGGGAACCCACATTTGAGAGGTGGGTCCTTCTGGAACTTCTTCAGGAGGCATTGGAAGTGAAATTTCCCAGAGATGGTGAAGAATTGAACAATTTCAGAACTTCTGGATATTGATGGTTATTAGAATGAAGTCAGAATACTAGAATGGAAAAAAAAGCAGATTCACGAAAATCAAGAAGAAATGTTCAAACTTGATATTCTGGAAGTTAACAAACCCTTTCTAGTAAAATTTGATCCAGCAAATTATTGTCACCAGTCACCACAAAAACGAATATTCATCGTTGTCAGGTAGTCTTGTTCAAACCCAGTTTTTACCTTCTTGCACCAATAAATGTATAACCTTTTTCTACTGCAGTCGTGATAGATAATTGATTCTACATCTCCGCGCTCTGAAGCAACAAAAGGTCTGTTTACAGCTATACAGGCAGTAGCGGTCCATACATGATTATCTGAGGGGGGTAATGGATAACGGGAAAATCATGTGTAAAAAATACTAAAAACTCAAAGCGATTGAGTTATTATTAATAGAATTGTGATTTTTTTTAAATAATGATATTTTGTAAAGTGAGACTTTACAAATAATTTTTTCATTCAAAAACTAAAATGAGTGGACCGTTGAAATTTTGAGGACTTTTTCCTGAAGGTTCAATGTAAGAAATAATGAAAACTCAAAATGATTGAGTTATTATTAATGGAGTTATGTTTTTTTTTTTAAATAATGATGTTTTGTAAAGTAAGACTTTACAAACAATTTTTTCACTAAAAAACTAAAGTAAGTGGAAAGTTGAAATTTTGAGGACTTTTTCCTGAAGGTTCAATGTAAAAAATACTGAAAACTCAAAGCGATTGAGTTATTATTAATGGAGTTATGATTTTTTATAATAATGATGTTTTGTAAAGTAAGACTTTACAAACAATTTTTTCTCTAAAAAAAAGTGTGTGGAAAGTTGAAATGTTGAACACTTTTTCACAAAGGTTCAAGTTAAAAATTACCGAGAACTCAAAGCCATCGAGTTATTATTAATGGAGTTATGATTTTTTTACATAATAATATTTTGTAAAGTAAAACTTTACAAACAATTTTTTCACTCAAAAACTAAAATGAGTGGAAAGTTGAAATTTTGAGTACTTTTTGCCAAAGATTCAAAGTAAAAATACTGAAAACTTGAAGTGATTGAGTTATTATTAATGGAGTTATGATTTTTTTTAAATAATGATGTTTTGTAAAGTAAGACTTTGCAAACAATTTTTCATTCAAAACCTAAAGTTAGTGGAAAGATGAAATTTTGAGGACTTGCTCCTAAAGGTTCAATGTAAAAAAATACTGAAACCTCAAAGCCATCGAGTTATTATTAATGGAGTTATGATTTTATTTAAATAATGATGTTTTGTAAAGTAAAACTTTACAAACAATTTTTTCACTCAAAAACTAAAGTAAGTGGAAAGTTGAAATTTTGAGGACTTTTTCCTAAAGGTTCAATGCAAAAAATACTGAAAACTCAAAGCCATCGAGTTATTATTAATGGAGTTATGATTTTTTTAAAATAATGATATTTTGTAAAGTAAGACTTTACAAACAATTTTTTCTCTCTAAAATTAACGTGAGTGGACAGTTGAAATTTTGAGGATTTTTTTCTGAAGGTTCAATGAAAAAAATACTGAAAACTCAAAGCGATTGAGTCATTATTAATGGAGTTGTGATTTTTTTAAAATAATTAGGTTTTGTAAAGTAAGACTTTACAAACAATTTTTTCACTCAAAAACTAAAGTAAGTGGAAAATTGAAATTTTGAGGACTTTATCTTAAAGGTTCAATGTAAAAAATACTGAAAACTCAAAGCCATCGAGTTATTATTTATGGAGTTATGATTTTTTTAAAATAATAATGTCTTGTAAAGTAAAACTTTACAATTTTTTCACTCAAAAACTAAAATGAGCGGAAAGTTGAAATTTTGAGGACTTTCTCCTAAAGGTTCAGTGTGAAAAATATTGAAAATTCAAAGCTATTGAGTTATTATTAATGGAGTTATGATTTTTTTTGAATAATGATGTTTTGTAAAGTAAGACTTTGCAAACAATGTTTTTATTCAAAAACTAAAGTGAGTGAAAAGTTGAAATTTTGAGGACTTTTTCCTGAAGGTTCAATGTAAAAAATACTGAAAATTTAAAGCCATCAAGTTATTATTAATGGATTTATGATTTTTTTAAAATAATGATGTTTTGTAAAATAAGACTTCACAAACAATTTTTTCACTCAAAAACTAAAGTAATTGGAAAATTGAAATTTTGAGGACTTTCTCCTAAAGGTTCAATGTAAAAAATACTGGAAATTCAAAGCTATCGAGTTATTATTAATGGAGTTATGATTTTTTTAAAAATAATAATGTTTTGTAAAGTAAAACTTTACAAACAATTTTTTCACTCAAAAACTAAAATGAGTGGAAAGTTGAGGTTTTGAGGACTTTTTCCTAAAGGTTCAATGTAAAAAATACTGAAAACTCGACGTGATTGAGTTATTATTAATGGAGTTATGATTTTTTAAAAATAATGATGATTTGTAAAGTAAGACTTTGTAAACAATTTTTTTATTCAAAAACTAAAGTAAAGGGAAAGTTGAAATTTTGAGGACTTTTTCCTAAAGGTTTGATGTAAAAAATATTGAAAACTCAAAGATATTGAGTTATTATTAATGGAGTTATGATTTTTTTTTAAATAATGATGTTTTGTAAAGTAAGACTTTACAAACAATTTTTTCGCTCAAAAACTAAAGTGAGTAGAAAGTTGAAATTTTGAGGACTTTTTCCTAAAGGTTCAATATAAAAAATATTGAAAACTCAAAGCGATTGAGTTATTTTTAATAGAGTTATGATTTTTTTTAAATAATGATGTTTTGTAAAGTAAAACTTTACAAACAATTTTTTTACTTAAAAACTAAAGTGAGTGGAAAGTTGAAATTTTGAGGACTTTTTTCTGAAGGTTTGTTAGGAATTACCTATACCAATTTTTTTTTTCTGGGTGGGGTAATTAGCCCCTCTACCCCCTTTTAAACTGCCCTTGTATACAGGTCTGTATACAGCTTCAGACCGGTCTGAATTCAGTTTTAGACAGGTCTGTAATATAGCTGTATACAGATATGTCTTAAACTATACAAACCTGTCTATAGCTGTATAAAGACCTGTCTGAAGCTGTATCGTACCTGTTCAAAGCTGTATCAGACCTGTCTCTAGACATGTATAGCTGTATACAGACCTTTGGTTACTCTGGAGCGCGGAGATGTAGAACCGGCCATCTATCACAACTATTGATAATCCCACTACAATACTCAGTCATTAATCAATAAAAAATAAACACTAATTGAGACTATTCTAATATACACACAGAACTCTCACTGAAACTGAAGCTGGTTATGGAAGTTTTGGAAACCCTTCCAAAACATGAAACCAAACTTCAGTAATGTGGAGTGCGACAAAATCTCGAAGCTGTCGGAGAATAACTTGAAAGACGAATTTGTAGTGACTACAGAAATTTTAATCAAGAATAACAACCATTCCAGGAGAGATCATCACTTAGACAGCACAACCAGAAACTTCATTTAAAACTTATCTGAACATCGATATCCAGAAATTATTGAAAGCCGATACCCTATACCCGATAATTGACTAATACATTGGAATGTGAATAAAGCAAAAGTTCATGGACCTTTTTTTTTAAGTGCTTTCAACAATTATTATTCCAAAGGAGCAGAAAATTTTCTAAAAGGATCAATAAATCATGCACTATATGATGATACCCACTTAACAAACCACTTAGCGACGCCCTTGATAGTTAATTAAAAGGGGACCAAATACACTAATTGACAGGATAATTCAACCACGTCAAATCCAGGTCAGAAAAAACAAAGAAATTCAAGACAATGGGGGAACCAATGATATAAAAAGGCAACTTTGGCAGGAGAAAAGCAGTGTTCGAGAAAGAGCGAGTAAACAGGTAGAGCTACTTCTGTAAAGTAAGCCAGTGTTGAGTAATCAAGAAACAAGTAGTAATCGAGAATTGAGAGACCTGGCGGATTACGAACTCTCGATTCGAACCGAAACCGCCACGTTACACCGAAATTTTGATTTCGAACGCACTCCATGCGAATGCATTTCCACGAAAGTCACTCGACTGGTCGATGCGTATTCACTTTCGTATCGAGTGTCCGTTTCGAGTCGTGTTTTCGCAATCCCCCCGCTGTGTCCAGAAAGTCAGAACTACGGCGTAAAAGAGTTGTCGAATTAACCGAGAGAATTTGATACAATTTTGATACTAACTTTTTGAAATCCTTCTTCAGGCAACTGTTTGCTACTATTGGTACGAAAAATGTAAATACAAATTCCGCCCAACGGCGTTTCCCAACCATCAGTCAAAAACAACTTTTTCTTGTAAATCGGTGCAACATTCGGCATCAGGGCTGCTCTACTAGTGCTGGGCTGTAGCTGTCTGCTGGTGCTGGGTTTGCAAGGCTCCACCGACGCCATGGCCTCGGTATCCAGCATGTCCTGGTAGAACCAAACTAGCTTCGTCTTCATGTGAGGAAGAAAGAGCTGGTTGATTTCGTCAAGCATGTCGCCCTCGAAAACGTGATCCATGATTTCGTGGCGCGGCAATCCGGTGGCGTCTATTAGGATTTGGAAGGTGAATTCTAGCCTGGGGTCCATTTCCCCTCGCCGGGCTTTGCGTTCGCATTCTTCACGTCTTCGCTGGAATTTTATTTGAGAGAAAGTTAAATATGATCAACTTACTTGATATATTTTAAACGAATTAACAAAATGTAATCGTCAAGAGGTTATGGGCCGAGATAATACAAATTTATGTTAAAAATAAATCAAAAAATACCATTAACAAATCATCAGTGCTATCATCGTCAGATTCGTCTTCGGACGTCAAGGTGCCGGCACCTCTAACACCGTGCACAAACATGGTTTTCTTCACTTTTAACTTTTCATTATTTCAAAAGTTCCCACTCGAGTACGTCCGGATATCTGAGCCGTTTGAAAACAAGGCTCTTTATACTCTAGGCTATTTTTATGTACCCTCTAAAAAGGTGATACGGCAATTATTCTCGTGCCAGGCGTTATCCTGATACCATAACAGGGAGTTGGATATCGGAATGTAATTTTTCGCTGGGTGGAATCACGAAATTGTGTTTTCTATAAGTATTGGATATTATTTTGTATGTTTTACAGGGGATTTAAGTTTAAATACTGTCATTTGAGAATGTTAGAATTAGAAGCTGACGATAGTTTGAAGTCCCCCCCAAGTTCATAGATATACTTTTCCAAAGTTTCTTGGCATTAAAAATTGCACTCATCAGTGTTGTACCTAACCAATGTCTTTTGTAGTCATAGAGAAAAGAAAACTATAGTTTTTCTTTCTCATAGAATATAGAATGCTCTAATTTTCATTTGCAACGACTGGATTGAAATTTTGCAAATAGAGAGAGAAAAGATTGAAATTTACGTAAAAAATTGAACATTTCATTCTGCTCATTCACCTTGATAAACATCCAAATAAAAACACTTTGAATCTTCACAGCTTGAAAGCTATTGAAGCAGCGTTGAAACTACCAAATAGAGATATGTAGAATATTCAATTTTCCTCAATTCAAGCCTAATTACATCAAGATTGGATTGAAATTAAAGGAGTTGTGAGTAGGTCAATGTCATTTGGGAAAAAATCTAAATTCCATAGAACGACTTTGAGATACGTTTTAGTTTTCTTTGAGGAAAATTTTGCAGGGATTGGATTGAAATTTTGCAGATGAAAAAAGAACAGATTGAAATTTATGAAAAAATTGAAAATTTCCTTCTGCTCATCCACCTTGATACAAATCCAAATAAAAACACTTTAAAGCTTCACAGCTTGGATACTATTGAAGCAGCGTTGAAACTACCTAATAGAGAATTATAGAGGATTCAATTGTCCTTAATTCAAGCCTAATTACATTAGGATCGGATTGAAATTAAAAAAGTTGTGTTCGAAAATGTGTGACAATGTCATTTTGGAAAAAATCAAAGTTCCAAAAAATGAGATTGAGAGACGTTTTTGTTTTCTTTGAGGAAAATTTTGCAGGGATTGGATTGAAATTTTGTAAATAGAGAGAGAAAAGATTGAAATTTATGAAAAAAAATTGAAAATTTCCTTCTCATCCACTTTGATAAAAATCCAAATAAAAACACTTTGAAGCTTCACAGCTTGAAAACTATCGAAGCGGCGTTGAAACTACCAAACAGAGATTTTTAGGGGATTCAATTATCCTTAATTTAAGCTTAATCACATTAGGATCAGATTAAAATTAAAAAAGTTGTGAGCGAAAGTGTGTGTCAATGTCATTTTGGAAAAAATCAAAGTTCCAAAAAACGACATTGAGAGACGTTTTATTTTTCTTTGAGGAAAATTTTGTAAGGATTGGATTGCAATTTTGTAGATGACGCGAGAACAGATTGAAATTTATAGAAAAAATTAAAAATTTTCTTCTGCTCATCCGCCTTGATAAAAATCCAAATAAAAACACTTTGAAGCTTCACAGCTTGAAACCTATTGAAGCAGGGTTAAAACTACCAACTAGAGATTTGTAGAGGATTCAATTGTCCTCAATTCAAGCCTAATTACATTAAGATCGGATTGATATAAAAGAAGTTGTGAGCGAAAATGTGGGTCAATGTAATTTTGGAAAAAATCAAAATTCCAAAAAAACGATATTGAGATATGTTTTAGTTTTCTTTGAGAAAAATTTTGCAGGGATTGGATAGAAATTTTGTAGATGGATTGGGAGCAGAGTGAAATTTATGAAAAAAATTGAAAATTTTCTTCTGCTCATCCACCTTGATAAAAATCCAAATATTTAACTTTGAAGTTTCACAGCTCGTAAACCCTTGTAGCAGCGTTGAAACTACCAAATAGAGATTTGTAGAAGATTCAATTGCCCCTAATTCAAGCCTATAAACATTAGGATCGGATTGAAATTAAAAAAGTTGTGAGCGAAAATGTGTGTCAATGTCATTTTGGAAAAAATCAAAATCCCAGAAAACGACATTGACAGACGTTTTAGTTTTCTTTGAGGAAAATTTTGCACGGATTGGATTGAAATTTTGCAGATGGATATAGAACAGATTGAAATTTATGGAAAAATTGAAAATTTCCACCTGATCCACCTTGATAAAAATCCAAATAAAAACACTTTGAAGCTTCACAGCTTGAAAACTATTGAAGCAGCGTTAAAACTACCAACTAGAGATTTGTAGAGGATTCAATTGTCCTTAAATCAAGCCTAATTACTTTAAGATCGGATTGAAATTAAAGAAGTTGTGAGCGAAAATGTGTGTCAATGTCATCAATGTTTCAAAAAAACGACATTGAGAGACGTTTTATTTTTATTTGAGGAAAATTTTGCAGGAATTGGATTGACATTTTCCAAATGGAGAGAGAAAATATTGGTTTCTGGCAGATTAATGTGGTATGCCAACCGGACAACATTGAGAATGAGTCCTGGATGTTAACAAATGTGTCCTTTGGAGGTCCTTGGAAGGACGAATTTTGTCCTTGATTTCACCAAAAATGTCTCAAATATTTGATCCCGAAAACCTTTAAAATCAATCCAGAAAAACAAGTACAGAGATTATGAATCTAATGTTTAAAATGATAATTTTTGATGAAAGGACAATTCCTTACCATTGCAGATTCTTCACTAAACGATCTGCTAGGCATCGCCAGCCTACGTAAGCCTTGCAACAGAATAAGCCGGCTACCGATTCTTCTACGTTTTTGACTTTTCGCTGCTCCATCTTCCATATTTCTAATGGATGCATTACTTTGTGAAAAGTGCACAAAGATTCGAAGTTGATGACACAATGACAACACTCAAAAGACTAAGTTTTGTTAGCATAACACATTATATACCTATCAGGCGTGACTGAGCTATTGAAATCCATAATAATGTTTGATCGAAGAAAAATATAATAATAGATTTACTTTGGGATAAAAGAAAAATTCAATTTTATTATATTAGCCTCGCGCACGCTTTTAGGCATTTAGAATGTCGTTTGGGTTTGGGTTTTTTTTTTTGATGGGACATGATTTATGAGAGGTTCGTGCTATATCTAAGAAGTATTGCCCTATATAGGATTTAAAAAAAGAAAACTCTAGCAGGATCAAATATTAAAGATTCGTCTATACAACTTTATGAATCTACCTTGTTAAGCTCCTCTTCGTCTGCCATTTTTTCTATAGAGTTGACAGCTCTCTAGAGTCTGGTTCGTAACAAAATAACTGTAGCCCCTTAAAAAGGGGCTACATATGGTTGAATCACAAACCAACTATCTGAAAAAAAAAACATTGACTGAAAACTCAAATAAGTTTTCAACTAGAAACACTTTTGTATCAAATAATAAGACAAATCCTATAGAGGTAGGTACATTTGCAAATAAACCAAAACAATAATTACCGGATATGATTGAACTTTTGGCTCGAGTAATCGGACCGCAAGATGGTAATCAGCATTTATAGCAGAAACTCGGCCCCATCCCCTCTCCATTGGCATAAATGATTTTATTAATGGAGTCACGAAATAAAGCAAAATGCTATTTACCATATAGATCTTTTCCATAATAATTGGGCATCAACCTATTTATTATATTATCGGTTTATTAGTATCAGCCGTACCTGGCTTTGCGAATATTTTATAATCTTGGCGATTGACGAATTCTGGAGGTTCGTTTGACATGCAATAATAATTGTATATGCAAACATCTCTTTTTTTTTTTAAATTAAATGCTAGAAGTCAAAGGTATATTCCAGGTATTCTTTCGATCTGAACAAATTAACTGATTGAAGGCACTGGAGGTTTGTTTCAAACAATTGTCATCTGGTTTTACCACAATTTCATTGGCCCTAACTGTTTTTTTGACGCCTCATACAAACAAGATCGAGACGTTAGTAAATTCGTTAGAAGAATTCCCTAGGGAGTTTGGTACCTGTGCACAAAGGCAAAATCTGGTTCGACCAGTTGCTGACGCTTCCTAGACGGCGGAACATAGCTGTCTACACGGTACTTCTTTGTCTCTAATTTGAGGCACTCTGCCTCAAGCTCTTCAAGGGTATTAACTACAGGCAGTTGAGTTGAATAAAAGGGAGAAAGATTACGACAAAGAATGTCCAATTGAGCTATTTCAGGTAAATCCTCATACCGCCTAAACAACGCTTGCATGCAGGACATATAGTCCACAATGCTCTCAGAGGGATCTTGAGTTCTGTCCAGAATTTCTCTGAAAAGTCTTGACTGGAGGCTCAAAATGAAGACGCAATAAATCAACCATTCCATTCTAGTCGTTAAACCGTGCGTTATTGGCTCTAAACCAATTCAACACTCGACACTCGAATAACTCTATAGCTGAATCTAAGTTCAGTAACTCTTTCCAGGAAGTTATGTAAAGAGAGCTTCTTACTATCTCCAGAAAATTTGATATTCCACTTTTCTACATTTGAATTTTTATTAGGTGGCTGGTGGCTGAGAAGTCTGAGGAGGAAGACAAGTTTGAAGCAGGTTGAGACGAGTTGAATTATGTTGAGGTTGTGGAGGATGGTTGTCTCCATCTAAGTCAGTGAAATGGCGACTAAGCTCAGAATCTTGCTTGGACGCATCTTCAAGGGAGTCCAATGACACCAAAATTTCAGTGCTCTCGCCAGAAAGGGTACGAATAGCACTATTTGCTTCAGTGAGGAAAGCACGAATTAGAGATTTTTCATCAGAAAATTTTAAAGTATAGGGTGGATATGTGAAGCTGCCAGTCTTTTCCAGTTTAATGGGAGAACGCAAAGCTGACCTTAACTTTTCCACAATTTTGGAGTCATCCACTGACACACCACGGACAATAAGTTCGTAAATTAACATCTCCTTCCGGAGGTATGAAATATTCATTCTGTAACCCATATTACCACAAATGAACTGACTCTATTAAAAGGTAACCAACAACAATAATAATTACCAAGAGGAAAAAAAAAAATCTTTTTAAAAGAAAAATCAAGTTAAGAAATAAATAATAGTAGTAATAGGTGATTAGGTTTTTTTTTTTATCCGACCTTGATTGTAATAATTGTTTAATATTAACGTAAAGCACCTCTGCTTTAAATTAGGTACTGAAGGCAAGAAAGATACTTGGCTTCATGCAAACTCCAAACCCAATTCTAGGATAGTAAGTATATATTATTTTCAATGATTTAAGAAAAAAAAAATAAACGCAACCAACGCATTTTTGATTTTGGCCCCACGTTGGGCGTCAAAAAATTACAATCAGTTTGTTCAGATCGAAAGAATATCTGTATTATCACCTCAGCTAGAAACGCTATTCTTCATTTTTAGACTGTGATCTTCAGATATGAGCTTCAGATTATCTTTGATTTGGCGTATTGTCTTTGGCCTATGTATTATCAGTGGTCTACTGTTGCTCTTGCCAATGTAGCTCTTTTAACAGTCTCAGAAATCAGTACGATGTTACTTAACAACCACGTCGTCTTGTATCCATAATACTCATGGAAAACTGTTCCTTGACTTCTGAAAAACAGAGGTTTGTATGAATAAGATCAGACGTATAAGATCATTTTAGAAATCCAACGATTTCATTGTGGTTGATGATCAGAAAGTTGGACAGCCAAATGTTGATATTGGTAAGGAACTATGGAGCTAAGAGCAGCTAGTATTGGCCAAATAAGTTAACTGATATGAACAATAATCAAGTGAGGAGTAATAGTAGCATTAAAGAAAAAAATAATTGAATGCGAGAAGGAACAATGTATCGGCTTTTCTTGGACAGAATATTCAATACATGGAAGTTTGAACGACTAGATGAGTAGAAGAATAATTGAAAATGGAATATAATCCATAAATATTCTTATAGACACGTAGGTAATATTGATGTAAACTTTGCTAAAAGAGCTGGATAATGTTTTGGAATTTGTAGAAGAACTAGCCCAATCTATTTCCGTAATCTACTGATGTAAATATAGCTGAGTACTTGATAGAACATTTACAAGAACCTGCTCCATTGACGTTTAAGTCTTTAATAGAAACTTTGAAGGAATTTGCTAAAGCTAGAATTAAGCATAACGTTATAAAAAAATTAGGAACTACTTTGAAAGAAGTTCAAGAATTGAACATAGAAAATCAAATAAGGCAATCAATTGTAGAGGAGCTGATTTATTATTGTTCCAGCTATTGATTTGGATATCAAGGAGATTTCTTCTAAACATATCAGCAATGATGAGCTCAATTACTTGGTAAAAGCTCCAGAAATTATTCTGAAGATCAACGAATTCACTAATAGTAATTCAACGTAAGTAAGTGAGCAAGTTTTGAATGAAATTACTGAGTTTTTAAATGGCAAGCAGGCAAGCAGATTGAATCAACAGCTGACATAATAACGGCACATGTGCTGTCGTTGGCGTTGGTCTACGTTGGAAATTCGGTCTGTACGCGGCTTAAGATTGAAATTTGTTTTTCTGTCGTTCTAGCATCAACAATTTTGAAGGGAAATATTATAGCATTGACATTTTAGAGCTAATTAAGAAAATTAACAAACATTTTGATGCAAGGATAAATATAGTGTTGAGTAAAGATTCATAATTAATCTTTAATAATTATTATTGTGAATGAATTTGCGAAATTACACAGCAAAAGTTTTGTTTCGTATCACTTTCGCCTTTTGTAAAATACAAATATAGCAGATGTTTTTGAGAAATGGGTTTAGGTTAGGAAAAGCTTGCATTTAATTAATTTGAACAAACTTCTTGTACATTTCCTTTACTTTCTTCCATAAATCAGGTTGATTGGGCAAGAGCCGGAAATAAACAAAAATTGATGAACAGAGAGATAGAATTAATTGAACAGTTTCCCAAATTTAGACCTGGTTTGGCCAGCGTTGAAGAAGTCAAAACTGATAAAAAAGAATAAGACTATATAAAGTGTATAAAATAAGTTTATTATTATTGTAATCAATAATTCAAAGATACTGGTTCAGGTTCAATTAACAAGTCCGAGTTCTTGTACATTTCCTTTACTTTCTTCCATAAATCAGAATCAGGTTGGTTGGGTTGGTAATGGGTTTGAGGTGCAACCTTGTTCCTTACCCTCCTTGTTCTTGCAACATCATGCCAATGGTTTTGGATTTTCTTAATTCGATCGAAACACAGCTTTTTTTCTTGCATAACCTTATTCAAAAAATCGTAGTTTTCCGTTAAATTTTTGTAAGTGTAAACTTTATCCCAATCAGTAGCTTTTTGTTGAATCGTATATCGGGAACATTTGTGAATTTTTTCTTGGATTTTGGAATATTTGTTAGCAGACATGCCTGTTTGCAAAGAATTCACTGGCACTGCCGGTCGGCATATGTAGCGTCCATAAAGCTTGGCTGATTTGAGTGATTTGACTAAGGAATTTTTAAAAGACATTAGGCGAAAATGGAATGGATGAATGCAGACGGAAATTTTGATGATGATGATGACAAATTGATTTTGATAGTTGATTTTGACACAAAACGGTGGCAATATTATTGAAAGTAACGGGTCTTCAAAAAAAAAAAACATTCATAGATTACTATGGTTTTTTAAACAAGACCCGTTATGTGATATTTTTTCTGTTAACAGCATTTAAAATCGATTAGTATCATACCGTGTCAACCTCGAGTCGCATGTCTCTATATTATGCAACTTATTGGGAAAAATATGGAGCAAAAGAGCGAGCGACAAGCTCCAACTGGCACTGGATGTTTCCATAAGTCGCTGGCTAGCGCAACTTAATGGGATCTCGAAAGCCAGTTTATCAAAACGCTTTTATTTTTAGATCTATTTATTATTTGTGTCAGGAATGGATAGAATTTAGGATATGCCGCATTAGATTTTGAGTGTGACATATTTGTAAAAGAATTACTTAAACAACAAAACAAGATATTCATTGTTCAACAAAAATAATTAGCCTGGTATAGAAAGGGAGAATGATTGTGAGAACAAAAATACAAAACTAATTGCGCAGAGAAGAAAAGATTGATAAACAACTTGGATCCTGGAATTCCTGGATCATTGAACATTCCAGAGGTCAAAAAAATCAGCAATAAGATAGAACAGGCTGATAAATCATTCATTATCAGAATTATTGACATCTTGAATCCATAAGTTTCTCCGGGGTACTTTTTTTCTTCATCAGTTTTCAACATCCATAACAGAGATTTCTTGATGTCGTTGGAGCTTCCTATTGACCTCTCGGCTCTCAGCTGCAGTTACGTTACTTACAGGTTCTTTTTGTGTATTTATTGCAGCTATATTTCTAGCCAAGGTTTGAACAAACTAGACACTTTTTCGATTTTTTGGAATTTCATATTGAAATGATCAGCTTTAAGCTAATTAGCTTGTTTCAAGATATTTTGGGTTTTTGATATTAATAAGTTGATGTGATGAATTATGTCAGCTGTTGATTCAATCTGCTTGCCTGCTTGCCATTTAAAAACTCAGTAATTTCATTCAAAACTTGCTCACTTACTTACGTTGAATTACTATTAGTGAATTCGTTGATCTTCAGAATAATTTCTGGAGCTTTTACCAAGTAATTGAGCTCATCATTGCTGATATGTTTAGAAGAAATCTCCTTGATATCCAAATCAATAGCTGGAACAATAATAAATCAGCTCCTTTACAATTGATTGCCTTATTTGATTTTCTATGTTCAATTCTTGAACTTGCTATAATATTTCCCTTCAAAATTGTTGATGCTAGAACGACAGAAAAACAAATTTCAATCTTAAGCCGCGTACAGACCGAATTTCCAACGTAGACCAACGCCAACGGCACATGTGCTGTCGTTGGCGTTGGAATTTTTTTAGCATTGGAAAGGATTTGAGAACATCAGCCACACCGCCATACACGCCAAAGCCAACGCGTTCCAACATAGTTCACATAGTGTCGTTGGCTAGCGTTGGAAATTCGGTCTGTATACACGGCTTTACAAAACAAAGTAATATCGATAACTTGCAGCAAAGTTTACTTGTAGCGCTGGTTGCTCGTTAGGTCTAATTGAGTGGGCCTATATTACGGCCTTTCACGGCGACTCATTGGTTGGTTGCCTGTAGTTTCGCTGTCAATCTCACAGAAGTAGGTATCGTAGCTGGGACAGATACGATATGGATGACGATGCTGTTCCTGGGTGGTCTCGCTAGCCTGCTTGTCACACTTTTACACCTTGTTGACTTTTCACTTTACACAACACTACCATCGTGGCTACTGGCTCTGGTTGGCTACTGCTACCATGGTCTTCTGATTGCTCCTACTGGCTCGTCGGAGTTTCATTAGCTAGGACGGCATTATCCAATTCTTCCATTTCGATATGGATACGTGGTAAGGGACCTCTTCTTCTCCTTTTTCCGAATTTTCATCATTTTCTAGGTTTATATTCTCTTCTTCAATTTTGCTATCGCTGTCTCCTATCTCTCTGTGCCTCGTGTGTCGGGTAATTTTTGTCCCCAAGCTAAAAATGTATCTTCTTTTTGCGCTTGCGCCCTTATTTCATCATTTACGTCATTAATTTCATTTCGATCGACAATTTCTTCATTCTCGTCTCTTATCATTTCTCTATCCGTGCGTTCGTTATTTTGGTCTGAGTTCTCCGAGCTTGACTTTACCGTTCGTTTATTTAAAAAGTGTACTCGGTGCAGCCTCATTCGCGTTCGTTTATTAAAATTTCCGGTACTCTTATACAGCGTTCAACTGCTCCGTTCGCTCGCTGGTCACGTGATTACGGCTCCGCTCAGCTCGCTCTACACTTTGAGCAAAATACCGAACGCAAGGTAAGTATCAGTGGAAATTCTCCCCTGGGTAGAACCTCATTGTCCTCCTCTTCATCGTATTCACTATCTCCTTGATCTGGTGTAGGATTTATAATTCTATCTACCAACCCTTTACATGGCTTGAGTCTTTCTGCATGTAAAATCTGTTCTTTCTTCCTGTGCAATTCCTTTATTTTGAATGTAACCGGTCCTAACTTCTGCGTAATTCGACTTGGTCCTGATCATTTACAACGGAATTTTGGAGCTAAATTCCTCCATGTAAAATTGGATTCCTTATACATAAACTAAATCCCCGACTTGGAATTCTTTCCTGGTTGGTTCCGTATTGTGTTTCTCGCATCTTTTATCGATAGAAACTTCTATATGCTCCTCTGAGCTAACTCGTAGGCGTTTTGCATTCTGGTGACTATTTCTGTAGCATAGTTTTTGTCTAAGTCATATTTTACTGGCCCATTTGGCAACAATATGTGTACTGGAAGTTCATTATCTCTTCCAAACATCAAAAAGTATGGAGATTCTTGGGTTGCCTCATGTGGCAAACTTCTATATGCAAAGACAAAAGAATAGCACTTTATCCCAACTATCATGGTGATCACTTTCCACGATAACTCCGTCATCAAGTAATTTTTGGATTTCTTGCTTCATAAACTCCTGTCGATGATAAAGTACTCTATATAAGGTCTCTTTATGATTGGCTGCACATCCTTCGTAATAATTCTATTGTGAGTGAGACCCCAAATTCAGAAACTTGGCAAGATATTAAATTGGCGACTTCAGTTTCTGACTGGAGACACAGTTTAAAATGGGTCATATTTGCGGGTGGAGAGTAAAACACAGAAATATTGTGGTGTCGGTAATAAATAATCTTACAATAAAATTGTTAGATTTCTAATATACATCAATTAACTGTTAAGGAAAATTTATATGATTCCAAGTAAAAATTTTTTTTTACAGTTTGACTCGACTCATACTTGTGCCTTCACAATTTCCGGCTGAACATAAAAAAACTCTACTTACATTTAACAATAATATATTTACTGCTGGCCACACCTAATTACACGGAAATCTTATTGGTCGAATAGTTAGGGAGACGACCGCATTTTTCCTACCCCGATCGAGTTATGTGTCGACACTATTATCAATATATAGTATTATGTGCATCTATTAACCTGTATTCCTGCCTGAGAGCAAATGCTGCCGGAAATATCTTTTAACAAATTATTAACAAATTGAAAAAAACGTAACACTACCCCCATCGAGTTATGCCCTAAGTAGGGTATCAGATTGAAGGTCTCGATGTCCCCTATCTAAAAAGTCGATCCTGCCTCGTGAAAACTTGCCGGAAAAGGGTGGCAGGGCAGCTTATTGGAGCAAGGGCCCGCGGTCTCAGCTTTGACACCTATCAAAGTTTTACCCTGAATGATGTGTCAAATTAAAGGTGTTGATAAGTTGATTTAAGGTCTCTTCGCACAGAAATCCCAAACTAGAAGGAGTGAATTTCATGGGTTGAAACTAGTTTCCTGACTGTTTCCAACCAATGAAATTCGCTCTGACTGGTTTGTGATTTCTGTGCGAACAGACCTTAAATATACTTATTGACACCTTTAATTTGACACATCATTTAGTGCAAAGGGGACATCGAGACCTTCAATCTGATACCCTACTTAGAGCATAACTCGATGGGGGTAGTGTTACGTTTTTTTCAATTTGTTAATAATTTGTTAAAAGATATTTCCGGCAGCATTTGCTCTCAGGCAGGAATACAGGTTAATAGATGCACATAATACTATATATTGATAATAGTGTCGACACATAACTCGATCGGGGTAAGAAAAATGCGGTCGTCTCCCAGACTAGAAGGAATTTACTTTAATTATGAACACTTAATAAAAAACTCGAATATTTTCGCGCTGTTATTTCACGTCGTGCTTCTTCTCTCGGTAAATTCGACAACTCTTTCACGCCGTAGTTCTGACTTTCTGGACACAGGTCTCTCGATTACTACTTGTTTCTTGATTACTCAACCGACACTGGTCTTTCACGCCGTAGTTCTGCCCGTTTACTAGCTCTTTCTCGGACACTGGTTTTCTCGAACATTGATTTTCTCCTGCCAAAGTTGCCTTTTTATACCATTGGTGCTTTCATTGTCTTGAATTTCTTTATTGTTTCTGACCTCGATTTTTCGTGGTTGAATCATCCGATCATCCGTATTTGGTCCCCTTTTAATTAATTATCAAGGGCGTCGCTAAGTGGTTTGTTAAGTGGGTATCATCACCCACATAACAAAATTGCATTCTTAGAATGTATTAAGAATGTTCTTTTTTCAGGAGGAATGTGCCTAGAATGTTCGCCAAAACCATTGCGAATGTCCTGAGAATGTTCTGAGAAAAGATTGTAGAAATACTGTTTGCAATACCCAAGAACTTCCTGAGAAATCCATTAGGATATTCCTAGAATATACCTATGAGATTCTCAGTACATCCTGAAAGGAATATTCTTGTTTAATTCTAAAAATATGCTCGATATGTATAGGTATTCTCACATTCAAAGAATGTTTCTATGACATTATAGTTATGTTCTCAAAAGAATATTATACCAATATGCTTGAAATATTCTTAGAATATATCTACATATATCATTCTCAATATGCATCCTAGACATAACATTCTTGGTTGATTCTAAAGATATACTTGGAATGGTAATTTTCGTTTCCAAATAATGCTCCTTTCAGTCCTTTTATATTAAAGGAAGTGAAAGAGTTGTTGGAAAACTTCTCTGGAAAACACAAGTATTTAACCAAAGCTCCGGTTTCGAGCTTGTTATGCTCTCGTCGAAGCACGCCAACTGAGAGAAACAGGTTCCAAGGTGATTCAAACGCGAGGTAAGATGTAGATCTTTAATAGCACGTGGCTCCCTCTCTTGGAAGTCCTACAAAGCAAAAGGAAAAGAATATACCTATAATATTCTTAGTAGGTTCTAGATAGAGCATTATTGTTTAATTGTTAAATTATGATTTTTGAGTAGGTACTTGAGATAATTGACGTTTTCAATTAAAAGAGATGGACAATAAAGTATGAAAACAATTATTTTCCCGCCAACATTTGCTTGCTTGTCAATGCCAGTGTGTATTGGGTGTTTTGAAAGAAAATGTGGGAAAAGTCACTACTTCATTTGCAGAACTTCGCTATGGAGAAAGCGGTGGATTATTTTGGAACCAAACAGCTCCCGCAAACTAAATTTGAACGTGGATTAATTTGTATACTTGATAGGCCGTGGATTTCCCTTTTTTTTGCAAGTATTCTTTCTGATTTTATGTATCCCAAATTTGACAAATGTAGGATTTGATGGAAACTTATGGGGAAAGACACGTCCGCCGGTAAATACGAATTATTTTTACAAAAAGGCACACTACACAATCACCATTGTTAGGAAAAAACTTTGAAAAAACCGAGGAAATAATAGTTTCCTGTTTCCACATGTACAAAAGTATTGTCAACAAACCACTGTCAGCAGCTGTCAACCGTTGTTTTCATACTCTTTTGGCGTCTGACAGTTTGACGCCAGAGAGAGAGGTTTTTAAATTGAAAAGGTCAATTAGGTGAACAATATGAAAATATTCCTATCATGGTAACCTACCTACATAAACTTCTCAGCACAACTTGGTAGGTATATTCTTAATACTTGATAGAGATATTAGCCGAAAGAACATTTTTTAGGGTACATTATAATAATTTTCGTATGACACAATATTCAAAGTTTGTTATATAAAGTAGGTTCTTAGCACAATCTTTCAGGTAGGTGCATAGAAGCAACATTCCTAGTACATAAATAGAACGTTCAAAAATGAATATTTCAATCGAAACAATCTTAGGATCATATTCATTAAACATTCCTAAAAGAACATTCCAAAAAGCACTTTGAGGGAATATTCTGAGAATATGAATGTTCTTTCATTGTTATGTGGGCATATAGGCTCGTGCATGATTTATTGATCCTTTTAGAAATTTTTCGGCTCCTCTGAAATGTTAATTGTTGAAAGCACTAAAAAAAAATCTCCTCTCTCAGAATCACCGCAGAAAACCATCTTGGTTTCTGAATTCCATGTCCTTTTACTGAACCTTCATTAGAATTTCTTTTTAATGGACCCTCAAAATTCCTTCAGAATTTCTCTGGAAGTTCACTGTCTTTCCTCTCCAAAACTCGTGCTACTGGCGAGCTTGTCAAAACTTCATCACAATCCGCGTATTGCTTAATTCACCAAAATGGTGCACCGCCACGGATGCGGTGATTGAAATTTACCAATTCCAATGCCAAATCACAGCTTGTCAAACCCTGTTTAATTTAACAACACTGCTTGTTCTACCATTCCACCACGGTGCCTACACCTGCTGAATTTAGCCACACGCGGATTGTTTAATGTGTTGAGCCTTAGCCCTTGAAGTTCCGCGCAATCATCGGCGGTATAATAACCTTTATTCGACAAAATCTCGTCCTTCATTGGACCCTCATTAGAATTTTTCTCTAATGAATGGAAAACCTTCATTTAACAAAATTTCGTCCTTTACTGGACCATTAATACCTTCATACTTTCGAAGTGGAATGGCTCTATGGATTTCACTGGAACCGGCCGGTTTCCTCGATGAAGTCATAACTTTCTCTTGGGTTTATCCAAGCTGTAAGTTGGATATTGGTTTCACAGCGACTGCATATCGCTGTTAGACCCTGATGCAGTCACGTCGGATCCTTCCCTTTTGAAAATGTTATCGTCTCTTCTTTTCTTACATTATCTTCCATTTTAACACTATTTCCATTCCTCTCCAAATTTTTCACAAAATTTTTCAGCTCGTCAAGCTCCATTTCCAAGTTCCTAACTTTGGTCATCAACTCTTTTTCTACTTTCTGTATCGCATGATCAACATGAAATTTTTCTTCAATTTTTATTGTAATTTTTGAATCTTGTTGTAAACCTAATAATAATGAGATGTAGAATTGTTTCATCCCGAAACTAGTTGTTTAAAAATTAAAGATGATTGGACATAAAGACTTTGGCCTCATTTTCGTCGTAAAGGTGAACTCAGATTTGTATTCAGTTAATAATTTTTTCTCAATTGCTTTTGCATGTCTTTCTCTTTATTCTTCAATTTTTGTTTATTCCCGGCTCTTGATTATGCCAGAAAAGAAAGCATGCTTCGATCAAATTTAAATAATGCAAGAGCATTGCCACAATGTTGCAAGTAGGGCTTCGCGAGACCACAAAGACTAGTCTTGGTCTTGGTCTTGCTACCAAGACCAGTACCAAGACCAAGACTTTCTCTCGAGACTCTCGTCTTTGTCTTGGTCTTGCTACCAAGACCAGTACCAAGACCAAGACTCTCTCTCGAGACTCTCGTCTTTGTCTTGGCCTTGAAAACAAAAATCGACTCATCAATAGGTATTTATAAAAATATGCAAATTCCTATATCTACTTTAAATGTCTTTTAATTAAATCAATTCATCAAATTTATTATTTTTTCAAATTTAATTGAAGTTGCAATTTTAATCAGACCAATTGCCCACTCGACTCTAGCATTAATCATAATGCCCGGACCAACAGTACAGGGTGATTTACACAATCCGTGCATTAGCTTGCAGGTGGATGCTATTTCTACTAATCCACCTGCAAACTAGACACCAGCTTCCAACTTTCAATGCACGGACTACGTGAATCAGGGTGTATAATTTATTATTTTGTCATATCCCTTTGGACACTTTTTAAATTGCCCGGACATTATAAATAATTTAAAGTGTTAATTTTAGTGGCATGCAGACGCATTAATTAAAAGGTGATGAAAAATTTTCCTGTCTCGACTGGGATTTGAACCCAGGACCCCTACATTTCCAGTGTAATGCTCTACCAACCAACACTGGAAATGTAGGGGTCCTGGGTTCAAATCCCAGTCGAGACAAGAAAATTTTTCATCAACTTTTAATTAATGCGTCTGCATGCCACTGAAATTAACACTCTTTAAATTATATAACAGACGATAAAAACTTATAAATAATAAAATTATAAATAATGTCCAATTATTTACATTTAATTTATTTTCCTATCCCTATCTATTGTATTGGAATTTCCAAAGATAATTATTAATTAGGTACACAAGCCCCACATCCCACCCAAACTAACATAAATCTAATTATTGTGAATAGGCTAATAAAATTCAAATGATCTATGTGACTATGTGAGGGTTCTCGAAAACCTTAGTCGGGCCTGAATGTTCAGGTAGGTAAGGTATAGGTTTATTCTTATGCTTCAAATAGAAATTTATTTTTTTCCTCGGTACAGAATGGTAATTTTATGGTGTGTTCATCAACTTTTCTGTTCCGTTAATGAAAATTCCTATTTAAGAATTGATATTTGTTTGATCCCCTGTATTATGGAATGCTTTATGCGGTATTTTTTGACATGAAACGCTCTTGCTGGTAAAAATAGCCTGTGAAGAAGACCAAATGCATGGTCGAAACGTCGGCATAATTTTTTCAGAAACGGAGTTTTATTTTTTATTTCTGAAGTCCTAAACCCATTATCTCTGCTCTGTCATTAGGTCGTTAGGTATATTTTAATAATTTCGTATACATTTTTTTCAAGACTATCAAGACCAAGACCAAGATTGCATTAATTTTTCGAGACCAAAACCAAGACTGACAAGTCTTGGTCTTGATCTTGCGAAGCCCTAGTTGCAAGAAGGAAGACGAACAACATCGCACATCAAACCCATTCAACCTAATTTATGGAAGAGAGTAAAGGAAAATGTACAAGAACACAAACTTCTTTATTGAATAGGTATATTTATGTTATTGATATATTTATTTTATACACTTTATAATCTTATTCTTTTTTATCAGTTTTGACTTCTTCAACGCTAGCCAAAGCGGGTCTAAACTTGGGAAACTGTTCCCAGGGTGCTGCCAACTCAAATTTCCTAAACTCTTGTGCCAATTCCAATGGTTCGACCACGACACGTTTCTTTTCATCATCATACCTTACCTAAAAGCAAATACATATAATTATTCAATGTTGAAACTCTTCTTGTAGGGTTTCACCTCAACATAACCACTAAGTGGAAAGTCCTTTCTAAACGGATGCCCTTCGAATCCATAATCAGTTAGAATCCTCCTCAAATCTGGATGATTAGCAAAGAATACTCCGTACATGTCCCAAATTTCTCTTTCGTACCAATTGGCTGCTTTGTAGATGTTATTGCAAGACTCAATTGGTGTTAGTTCATCGGTGTAAGTTTTAACACGGATTCTGGAGTTGAAACGTAATGATAAAATATTGTAGATGACCTCGAATCTGTTGGGCCTTGAGGGTACATCCATACCAGCTATATCGGCCAAATTTTCAAACTGGCAATTGTGATGGTCTTTTAAGAATTGCAATACAGGCAAGACGCCTTCAGGAGCAATAAGGAGTTCTAATTCGTTTCCAGCAGTGAGCTGGACTTTTTGTATAAACTTTGGGAGGCAATCTGCTACGTACTTTCCAAAATCTTTCAGCTGGGTTCTTTGCATAGGGTCACTTTTTCTTACAGTAGCTGAAATTATTTGGAGAATAAGTGGTAAAGTGATGTTTGTTAAGGGTACTTACGACGCGTTTCTACTGGAGCCTGGGCACTCGATGTTTCGGTGCTTTGGAATCTGGCAAAGTTACAAGCAACTGAAAATAATCCTGTAATTAATATGGTTTGGATTTTTTTTGAGTAGATATTTGACTTACCAACATTTCGATTGGAGGATGTGCGTAAGGTTTTGGTGATTTGCCTTAGGATTGAGGCCATTTTCCCCAAAGAAAATCTTAGTACAAGTGTTATCTAATAATTTTTAACTTTTCAATGTTTTGATCAGATGGGATTTTTTGAGGTTAGGCTGACTTGACGGTTTCACTGAATGCTGCAGTGTTGCCAAACTCTCTGCTGAAAAAAGCAAATATTGTAACAAAATGAAAATTCACACTAAAATCAACGTAAAATGGAAAGAACTAAAAATTATGCGACAAATAAGGGAAATTCTTCAATAATGGATATCCCATTTGCCGCGTAAACAGGAAAAATCTTCGCTGATTTAGCAACAGTGACTGGCTGCCAATGCTAACAAAAAGAAGAAATTGAGTTTTTCAGAAAAACTAACCTCAAACATTTACCCCACAAAAATGTTAAAAATCAAAAATATCTTAACTTTAACTGAAAAATGCGCTCCAACTATACGTTTATTATCATCAGCAGTGCCCCAACCTTCGGAAAGCACAACCCAAATTGAAACAGGTAACAATTTCATCTCAATTTTTTATACATAAATTCACTAAACCACTTTAGCTCAAATCCCTTCAGACCTCCAACAAGAAGTCTTAAAACACCCAGATTACTTTCAAGTCCACAATCTATTCACTGTCAAAGACCTCTTCGATGCTAGAATACACTATGGTCACAAAGAAGGCTCACTTGACCCAAAAATGCTGCCTTACATTTATGGTTCTCGACTGGGACACACTATCTTCGATTTGGACAAAACGGCAGAATATTTACGACGCGCCCTCAATGTAGCAGCTCACATAGCTTACAGAGATGGTGTTATTTTGTTTTTATTAAGGGGAGCCCAAAATTCTCATTTAGTTGAAAGATATGCCAAAGAATGTGGTGAATTTGCCCATACGAGATTCTGGAGAGGAGGCATTTTCACTAATTCAGAGAAGCAATTCGGGGCAGTCACAAGATTGCCTGATTTGTGTATTTTTGTGAATACTTTGAATACAGTATTGACTCAGCATACTGCAGTAAGAGACGCCGCTAAAATGGGCATTGCAACTATAGGAATTGTAGATTCAAATTGTAATCCAAATCTTTTAACTTATTTAGTGCCTGGTAATGATGATTCACCTGTAGCTGTAGAAATGTATTGTAAATTGTTTAAGGAAGCTATATTAAGAGGAAAAGCTAAAAGAAAAGAACATTTAGAGATTTGAGGTAAATAATAATTGTATTTTAATTAATATATAGTTGAACCATTTTTTATATTTAAAAAAAAAACACCGAAATATTAAATTAACATAGATTACAACTTAGTTGTCAAATGTCTTTTTTTTCATTTTCTGATACAGTGTGGTGATTTTCATTATTTTCATTATTGATTACGTGTTCAGATTCATTGATTTCATCATCTTTTTGTTTTTTCAAAAATCTACCGCCAGCGTAGCCTGCAAAAGCACACCCAATAGCTGCCATTCCTCCCACTTTAAGGCCTGCCAGTAATCCTATGGGGCCACCAAGTAGAGTGCCCACAAAGGCACCCGTAGCTGGATATGCTACAGCATTGAATCTGGAAAAGAATATTGTTATTGGAAAGGGATTTTTTTTTGGGTGGAAAATATTACTTATTAGCCTTGATAATGTTTCTAAAACCGCTTTGAACATTCTCATCAGATAATTGAATATTGGATTCTACCTTGAAAAAATAAAAATAATCTCTTTACTTTATGTTATACAGGGTGTCCTTAGATAAACTGTCACATTTTGCAGGTAAATATCTCGAAAACGGGAAAAGATAACGAGATGCGGTTTGTTCTGGAAAAAGGATTTTTTAAATTTTTTTTTTTTACATTAATCAGAATCAGAATCGTTTATTGGTGCTTAAAAATACACAGTACAGTGTTTACACAAGTCAAAATAATCAAATACAATTTAGTAATCTAAAATTACAATTTCATTAAAAAATTAGACTAACTATCTATTTCACATGATTTTAAATATCTGCTTTACAAAAATATAAAAGTTATGTTTAAAAATTCCAACAACAATTACAAATTTACTGTCACTCACTAATACAACATTTATCAGGACAAGGACATTTAAAAGTTTGGAATCAATAAATAAAATTAAAAAAAAAAAAAAAAGCATATAGCAATGACTAGAGACAATTTTTGGTTGGTGCAACTGTAAAGAACAATTGATATAATAATAAAATATGAAAAATAATTTATTTGTTTGTTTTAAATAATGTTTGTGCCTGTCCAGCTGAGTGTGGAATTATAAAATTCATCTAGACTGTAAAACGCCTTAATTATGAGAAAATCTTTAATTTTTTTCTTAAATTCGGAATTATTTAGTTGTATTACATGCTCTGGTAGTTTGTTAAAAAGTTTTACAGCATGATATCCAGGTCCACCCTGACATCTCTGTAAACGATGGTAGATGGGTCTTAAGTTATTTTTGGTTCTCGTGTCATGGCTGTGAAAATCACCATTACACATAAATGAATCATAATGGTCCCTAACATAAACCAGATTTTGCAGGATATACTCACAGGGCAATGTCAAAATTCTGTTGTCAACAAAAGCCTGCTTGCAGTCATCTCGATAGCCCAAACCAGCCACTATTCTAACAGCCCTTCTCTGCATAGAGAAAACCCTTTGTGCTCCATTTGCATGACCCCATATTAGCAAAGCATAACCTATATGTGAGTGTAGCAAAGAAAAGTATGTTTGTTTTGTAACTCTAGATGAGACACATCTTGCCAAATTTCTTAATAAAAAAGTGTTTTTACAAAGCTTATTTGAAATTATTTCAGTGTGTGCATCCCAAAGAAGTTTTTGGTCAAGATGCACTCCTAAGAATTTTACACTGTTGGTCATGGGTTCTATATTTTTTAGAGAAAAAGTATAGTTTTGGGTTTTAGATTCATTCAAAAAGAGTTTGTTAGCAGCAAACCATTGCCTAGCCCTCAACCGTGCCTCCCCCGACATACAGACAGCTGTTGGTAGATCTGGATGCTGAACTTGACCTGTGGTATCGTCCGCAAATTTTACATACTTTTCGAACTCCGCTATTTGACTGACTAACAAATGCTTTTATACAAATCTTATTTTAAGTACCCTGCCTGTAAATAGTAGATGTAATAAATCATTAAATTATATTGAAGATGTTAACACTAGGTTTAATGCTGTAATTAATAATTTAAAACATTTTTCTTTGAATGTCGATCTTCTTGACTTGCACAATAGATTTTTGTTTAAACATTTTGTTAATAATAGTTGTTACTTGAATGTAGCGGGACTGTACAAATTGTCTACTTTATTAAAAAACTCAATCATCACATATTTCTCAAAGGCTCCAATGAGCAATTTAAGGCAATTGCATTTTTCAAAAATATCAATAGGCGATTTGGGAAGGTTGACTTCGGGTGTCTCAGCTGCCTCTCTGACGAGTGATGCGCCGAGAGAAATCGAGATTATAGAAACTTCAACCTCTCACTCTTTTTTAGACAACCTTCTCAAAGAAAACACCCAAAAAATATAACACTGTTATTATTGAATATTCAGTCTGTAAGAAACAAGGTGGACGAGTTGACTATTTTTTTGGAAACGCAAAACATGCCGAGCATTTTATTATTGACAGAGCACTGGCTGAAACCAGACGAGCCATGCTACATTCCCAATTACTTGGTAGTCACTAGTTTTTGTCGAGGAGAGTCTGCACATGGGGGAACAATGATACTTATGACTGCTGAGTTGTGTGAGTCTTATTCTATAGTTAATATTAGTAAATACGAATTTTTACTCGTTGAAGGCGTGTTTGAGTTTTCAATAGTTCATTTTACTAAGATAAATTTGTATATTCTGTGTGTATATAGACCTCCAAGCGGAACCATTAAAGAGTTTATGGACAGACTGGAAATTCTTTTATCGGACTTACCAGTAAATGCTAAAATCTTAGTGGCCGGTGACTAGAATATTAATTACGAGGATTCTGGGTCAATGTGCACTCAGAATCTGAAGGACTTGCTGATTTCTTTTAATTTGCAGATGCTCATTAAGCAGCCCACCCGTATCTCAAAATATTCCAGTACCACTATTGATTATCTTTGTTCAAATTTTTCGGACATATTTGGGGCTGAAACTATTGTGATTTCCTCGGGTCTCTCTGACCATGAGGCTATAATTTCATCTATTTATGTACACCAGGAAAAAAAATCAAAAACCTTTAGATATGGAAGAATTTACAGTACTAAAAACTTTGGACATTTTAGGGAACAAGCTGCGAAAATAAATTGGCAGGGATTATTGAGATTGGATAACTCATTAGATAAATTTAATAGTATAGTTGTTGAAATTTTTAATGCAAATTTTCCTGTCCGTAAATTAAAGCAGAAAAACAAAAAGCCCTGGATTACCTCGGGAATAAGAAACTCCTCAGTAAATTTAAGATGTCTGCATAGGATAAGAAAATTCACTTTAAACCAAGCTTTCTTGGCCTATTTTAATAGGTACAAAAATATTTATAGGAGTACTATTAAGACAGCCAAGAAGTGGTATTACAGGGATAGGATTGATAGGGCGCAAAATAAAACTAAAGAGAATTGGAAAATAGTAAACTGTTTGCGGGGAAAATCAAGTTCAGCAAAGACTAAAGTTGATGTTGATGCTAACACATTAAACGATTTTTATTGTTCCGTTGCTGATGGACTAACAGCAAATTTAAATTCACAAATTGATCCAATGTTGTACCTGCAGGAGGTTTCTGTACCGAACAGTTTTTATTTGATACATACTGATATTGATGAAATATGTGGTATCCTTGGAGAGATAAAAAGTAAAAATTCCTCTGGCATAGATGACCTTACACTCAGAGTGTTTGCGGCTTTGCCCAGACAGGCTTTGGAGATTATGGTAATGTTAATAAATCAATCTTTTGACGATGGTTGTTTTCCTTCTAGTCTCAAGACCGCTGTTGTTGTTCCGCTGTTTAAGGGTGGTGATCCGAAAAACCCTGCTGATTTTCGTCCAATCTCAATGTTACCTACGCTTTCAAAAATCATTGAAAAGCTTGTAAAGAAAAGAATGGTAGCCTTCATGTCTAGTCACAATATCCTGACTAGTTGTCAGTTTGGATTTCAAGCCTCTAAGGGTACTAGCGATGCGGTGTTCAGGCTTCTGGAGAGTGTGTACGTCGGTCTGAATGGAGGAAGTATGGCTGCAGCGGTTTTCTGTGATTTTTCGAAAGCATTTGATTGCGTAAATCACAGAATACTGCTGGAGAAAATGCATCAGTATGGTTTCAGGGGAGTGGCGTATGACTGGTTTTCGTCTTATTTGTCAGGTAGGAAACAGGTGGTTTGTTCTGAGGATGGTAGCTCAGATGAACTGTCAATGAGACACGGTGTTCCCCAGGGTTCGGTTCTTGGCCCAGTTCTTTTTCTATTGTACTTGAATGACTTGGCTAGACTAGATATTCGAGGCCGTTTTACCATTTTTGCAGATGATACGACCATCTTGTGGCTTGATGAAGATGCTAGTTTATTAAAGGATATCATAATTGAAGACCTACGACGTGTGAAGGAGTGGTGCGACGCAAGTTTACTTTGTTTCAATTTAAATAAAACTAGTGCTATTTCTTTTAGGTTTGTGTTGGATGATCTGAATGTGGACAATTATTTCGTGGCAAATAAGGCTAGCTGCAGGTTTCTGGGCTTGCACATAGACTCGGATTTAAAATTTAAAGAGCATATATTGTGTCTGAACAAGAAATTGGCATCTGGATGCTTTGCTGTTCGTATTGTCACGGGGCGGCTGGGGTCACTAAGTCGGTATATTATTCACTTGTCGAGTCTCATTTGAGATATGGGATTGCATTTTGGGGTTTTTGTAACAAACAACTTTTTAATTCTGTGTTTGTCCTACAGAAGAGGGCGCTTAGGTATTTATGCAAATTGAAGGCTAGGGACCATTGTAGGCCATTGTTTGTTCAGGAAGAAATCCTTACATTGCCATGTATTTTTATTTTGGAGACTGTCTCCTTGGTGCACAAAAAGTATAGAAATTTTATAAATCCCAACATCCACAACACACGTTATGGACATAATATACCATTACCAATACCCAGGAGTGGTTTTACTAAAAACTCTTTAATATATGAAAGTTTAAAGATATACAATCATTTGCCGGATGAGTGGAAGGGTCTCCATGATCTTAAGAGTTTTGTAAAATGTGTAAAGTCCGTTCTAAAATTGAAGGCATACTATAGTTTAGAAGAGTTCTATAAGGATGTTTTTTAGTCGTTTAATCTTATATTAATTTTTACTTTGATTGTTTTGTTTAACTATTATATCGAGATTTTAAAAAAGTATTCCTGTTTTTGTGTAAATTTTGTATTTTAACTTAATTTTATCTAATCGGAATAGTATTTGTAGTATATTTGAACAATTGACTAGCCCTAAGTTATGTGTCTATAATTTATTTTGTATTGAGTATTGCTAAGATTTAGAATTTAGGGTTAAATTTATATTTTTTAGGCTTTGTCAATGAGTTTATTCTTTAGACAATAAAGCGTTATTTGATTTTTTTTTTGATTTTATCCCACCCTCGCAATTTAAGAACTCGGTTAAAAGACTTTTGGTGGAGAGGGCATATTATGAGTTGGGTGACACTTTTTAACTTTTAACTTATTTGGAATATATTATTGTATTTTTTGTATAGTATTTCAATTTGACTATTTGTATGATTTTTATTAATTGTAAGTTTTATTGTATTTTTAAACCGTTTCACTTCCTGCTTTCTGTTGAGTATTGATTTGGTCTCTCCTGTTCATCTGTTGCTTTTTAAAATTAAAATTTTATCTTTTTTTGAAGTTTACCAATATTCATGTTAGACTTAGACTTAGTTGTGTTTGCTTGTTTTATATTTTATATTTTATATTTTGTATGTTGACCTTAGGACCTGTAATGTTTAAATCTATTTTGACCTTTATTATTGCACTTCTACTTATTTTTTCTATTTTGGTGTCATATCGAAGTCTTTTCGACACTGAAAGTAGTTTCGAAAAGAAGCTCTTTGTGACACTCCTTTTTTACTTATCGGAGGTTGGTAACACTAGCTGACTGATGGCCATCGAACTGTCATTCGCGATTTTATAATCAATGAATAATAGAAGATTTCTATATTTGGCATGTAGTGTTACCAACCTAAACATATGAAATCAGGAAATATGAGAATAAAATTTCCAAGAAAAATTTGTTTTTTTTTAATTAAACAATACCAAAATAGAAAAAATAGTATAAAATATTCGTTTCATAAGACATTTTATAGCACTCGCCCTTTAGAAAACTCGCCTCCGGCTCGTTTTCTAATATAGGGCTTGTGCGATAAAATGACGTCTTATGAAACTTGTATTTTAATGTACTAATGTAATACTTTTTTTATTAGCTTTGTCAACAAAACTTGATTTTATGACAATAAAGCATATTTTGATTTGATTTGATTGATTATTTTGGGTAGATCATTAATATAGATTAGGAATAGAATAGGACCCACAATTGAGCCCTGTGGTACGCCTATGTTTATTTCTCGTTCGCTCGAATTAATGTCATTATAGTTAACAATCTGAGTTCGTTTAGTCAGATAGGATTTTATTAGATCCACACTGTCGTTTGAAAATTTGTAAAAAGGCAGTTTTTTAAGCAGGATATCGTGCGAGACACAGTCAAAGGCCTTGCTACTTGCTACTTGTGTCTTCTTCTGCCACTTCAATTTTAAAGGAGCTTTTGTAGCTGTTGCTCTTCGTCTTCATTTTGTAGCACTTGGAATCAGCTGCAGCACTATTTTTTATGTATTCTTGGACCTCTTCTTCAGTCACCGTAGACGAGAGTCCAGTGAGAAAAATGATTAATGCCAAATCCTGAAATTTGCTGAAATATGGTTTTACAGACATGCGAGTTTTTAAAATAAAATGATTGCCTTATTTCTCGCCTTATTTCTAATAAAACACCCTGTGTATTTTGTCATCGTCAGAAAGCCTGATTTTTCTACTTCACAAAAATGTATAATTTTTTTCAATTATCTTGGAACTTGCATCATGAAAATTGCACTTTGTCGAAGAAAATACCATAGACTGACCAACAAAAAATTGATAATTAATTCGAGTTTGATACTTTTATCAACTAATGGCCTTGCGAAGGCGTTTGATACCGTGCCTCATCAAAAACTCCTTGATGTTTTATCACATTATGGTGTTCGAGGCATGGTATTGGAACTGTTTAAAAACTATCTCTCCGAAAGAGATCAATTTCTGAAGCTAAATCAAACACTGAGTCACCCCTTGAAAATAAAAATTGGTATCCCACAAGGCACCATCTTAGGACCCATTCTTTTCATTACCTACATCAATGACTTACTAAAATTGAACATAAATGGTAAGTTAATATCCTATGCTGACGATACGGTTATTATCTTTACTGGTAAGACATGGGAGGAGACAAAAGAGAGAGTGTCGAGGGGTTTTGGCATCGTCAAAAAGTGGCTTGACTCATTCAAATTGTCGCTCAATTTATCCAAAACTAATTACATAGCCTTTTCTGTGACAGGCGCAAATAGACCTAATTTTATTGAAATTCAGACAAGCAAGGAGAAGAACAGTCATATATCAGCAGTGAAGAAAGCTAAATATTTAGGTATAGTTGTTGATCAGCATTTAAAATGGGTAGACCATATATCTTACCTAACAAAGAAATGTCGCTTCTTGATTCAAAAATTTTATATTCTAAGAGAATTTCTCACTACTAGAATGATCATATTGGTGTACAAATCTCTGGTAGAATCATTGTTGCGATATGGCCTTATTGTGTGGGGGGGAACATATAAAAGTAACTTGCAACCTCTAAATGTAATACAAAATTCCATCTTAAAAATAATGTTCAGAAAAGAAAGGCGCTACTCAACTAAATCACTATATGACAACAACATTTGCAACATAAACTGCTTATACATACACTCCATTTGTACATATATACATAGAAAAGAAACCCTAAAAAAATTCGTACACCATCATCATCAAACCAGAGCTAATGTTAATAGACACCTAATAATACCTCAAAATAGAAAAACAATAAATTTAAAATTTGCTAATTACTTAGCGCCAAAATTTTATAATATGATACCAAAGAAAATCAAAGAAATAGGTAGGATAAAAATGTTTAGTGAGAAGAGCAAAGTATTTATTGTAGATAATTATGAATCATTTTCTAAACTTATGTCATAGGATAAAAAAAAAATAGGATTAAGTTGCCATAAACAAATAATATTGTACTTTAACAAACCCATACAAAATATAATGTCCTCTAAGATAAACCTTTATTGTAAGAACAGGTTGTGTTTATTACTATATTATAAATAGTTAAGAATTTACTTGGTGCATACAGAGGTATTAAACCTCTAGGTGCCAACAAAATAATTTTTAAATACAAAATACATGCATTGTGAAAGAAAAAAAAAATGTATTGTAAAAAATATTTAAACCTGAATAAAGATTATTATGTTGCATACAATTAGTGCATAGTTAACTAATAATACAAGTATTAACCCTTTAACATTCTCTGGTGTAAACCTACTACCACCTTGTTTATTCCTTATTTTAACCTTAAAATCTGGTTTTAATGCATCCTAAAATCATCGTCATTCAAACTACGTTGATCCCCGACGTCAGTTTATCACAAGATTTTTCTGGATGCGGTCGTATTTTTAAAAGTGGTACACCATGTATACCAGTGGCCAGTGGGACTCGAGAAACATCAATTATGTTGTTTTGGGCTTCAATTCATTTTTTTATCAATATTTACAATCCGGAAGGGATTTTGACGAATCAAATAGGTAATTATTATCGATATATGTATACTGAACAGATATAAATTCAAATTTCTAATGCTGTACAACTTACAACTAATTTTGTGAATTATGTACACATTTTGAATTATTTTTTCTATAAGTTCTACTCCTAGTTCAAGATTCATATTTTGATACATGCTTCCTATACATATCTCCATAAAATATCAATCAAGTTTTCTTCCTGTTCTTTTTGCGCTAGGAAAATTTTCCCAAATTTTCTTTCAAATGTATACAATTGTCAATTTTACCATTGAAAATAATATTTTGTGGTGTAATAATAATAATGAAAAATTTTAAATCACACTAATTTTTATTACAATATTTTTCTGATTAGTTTTTGATTTTGTCAATCCAGTTTTCACAATATCCGATGATTAGGAAAAATGTGGGATCATATGGATTTGTTATAGAGTTTGATGTGATTTTTCTTCAGTTATTGTATATTTCGTTTTTGTTATAAATCTGTTTGAAAGCTATTGTGTTTTTTATTCTGATCCCCAGAAGTTCCATATTATTATTGCATTATTTATAGAGGTGTGGTATAGGGTTTGTACCAGAGAACACTACCTACATATTTAGTCCTAAATGGTCTCTGGTAAAATGGTTTACCGCCTAATATAGAGAAGAAAAAAATAGAAAACTCGATTGCTAGTGACATATCATCTTTTCTTGTTTCCAGAAGACTGCATAACTAGCATTTTCTGTTTAAAATAGTTTCAGGATAATTTTGCCCGTTAAAGGGTTAAACACAAATTAATTAATAATGCAAGTGCATATTAAACATAAATTAATTATTATCATTTTTTTTGGCCAGTCCATGATACACTCTTCAACAAACTGCAATTTTTATGTTGCAATTTCAAAAAATTATACATTTTTGTAGAAACGCTTTCTGGACAATGACAAAATATACCGGGTGTTTCATCAAGAATAAGGCAGTATGTAATTATTTCAAGAAATCGAATGTCTGTAAAACCAAATTTCAGAATTCAGCAATACTATGAAAAAAAACTTTAAAAAATCCTTATTTTCCCATAACAAACCGCATCCTGTTATCTTTTCTCGTTTTCCAGATATTTACCTGTAAAATGTGTCAGTTCATCTAAGGACACCCTCTATAATATGTAATAAATTACTTCATCCACTTGTTCTCCTTGGTCTTTAACCATTTTATGCAAATCTCTGTGTATTTGCTGCAGATCTTCGGATTTTTGTTGTATTTGCTCTACACTATTCAATCTACAACAAACCTTTTACACTTAACTACAAATAGAAAAAAATCAAGTTACCTTGCTTCAGCTTCCATAAATTTCAATTCATCTAAATTAGCTTGGATTTGAATGTGTGAAGCTCCTTCAAAGGGATTTCGTCTTTCATCTGCTAGGGATGTTTCTGGTTGATTTGTAGCTACAAGTTCATTAGCTGTCTTTTCTAAATCTTGATAGGTTTTAATTAGCTTTAATATAGAGCCCCTCAAGGACATGGTTTTGTTGTCGAAAGCGTCCAAGTCATTGTCTTCTACTTGAGTTCTTAGTGTGTCTAGTTCGTATAGTAAATCTCGAAGTTGTTTTATTGATCGCTTTTTTTCTTTTACTTCTTTGATTAGGAGTTCGCTGTTGTTATTTGCTACTAACTAATTGATAACTTATAAAAATGTGATTATTAACGGCTTAATAGTTACCTTATACACATAGGCTTTGTGCTGTTCTAAAATTCTCTGGTGATGTGGTAACACCTCTTCCGAAAACTTATATAGAGGCATTTCGAGGGTTTTTAGTGGTTGCTTGATGATGTTAGGATTGGTGACTGATGCCATCCTGTATTGTTTCATGGGAAACGTTCAATTTGGATCGAAAAGTTGTGAAAATATCATGAAAATGCTCTGTGTTTGTAAACAAAGACTATTGAAAATTGAAAATTTTGATTGCGCAGTTCAAAATGTTGTCAGGTCATCTGTGTTGTCATAACTTAGCTGATAAATCTACTCCCAGAGCAATATAGCGTTTTCTTTTGCTTTGCAAATCGAGTGAAAATAAAATCAGCTGATTGTCAGTCAATAACAACACAACAAGATAATTTTATTCTATTCAATTTATAACATATTTTCCTGAAAAAAGCCCCATAATAATGGCAGGATCTGCTCTTCGTCGACTCATGGCCGAATACAAACGTAAGCATTTACAAAATCAATAATTGAAGCATCTCCGTAATGTTATTTTCTTTTTGTAGAACTCACTTTGAACCCGCCAGAAGGTATTATTGCAGGTCCCAAAAACGAAGAAAACTTCTTCGAATGGGAGGCTTTAATAATGTAAGTCTTACCTGGTTTTTAGAGACTTATAATAGAGCTGAAATTGTTTTTTAGAGGTCCAGAAGGCACTTGCTTCGAAGGAGGAGTATTTCCAGCAAAACTCACTTTTCCTCCCGATTATCCATTGAGCCCACCGAAAATGCAATTCACTTGCGACATGTTTCACCCAAATAGTAGGTGTTATGCTCCTTCTCTAGTTTTTGGAAATATCTTACTTAATTGGATCTAGCAGAGTAACTTATTTGAACTATTCTTGGCTCTTGAATTGCTTTCTAGGAGTTTCTCAATGAATTTAAGAGCCCGTAACAATTAAAATTTGGACTATAAGCGGCTCTTGATAATTTTTCTAGAAGGAACCAGTATCTGTTAATAATCAAAATTATAATCAGTTGTTCAAATATTGATGATAAATTACTCAGGCGAATCAAGATCCTGTGAAAATCCACATTTGGACTATACGTATGTGCCATGATTGCCACTAGAAAAATTACCTTGTAGATCAAGAGCCATTAATAATCACAACTTTAACTATTCTCGGCTCTTAAATTATTTTCTAGAAGTTTCCCAATGAGTTCAAAAGCCGGTAACAATCAAAATTTGGACTTTAGATAATTTTTCTAGAAGAAATCAGTATCTGTCAATAATGAAAATTACGATCAGTAGTCCAAATCTTGATGATAAATTACTCAGACGAATCAAGATCCTGTGAAAATCCACATTTGGACTATACATATGTGCCATGATTGCCACTAGAAAAATTACCTTGTAGATCAAGAGCCATTAATAATCACAACTTTTAACTATTCTCGGCTCTTAAATTATTTTCTAGAAGTTTCCCAATGAGTTCAAAAGCCAGTAACAATCAAAATTTGGACTTTAGATAATTTTTCTAGAAGAAATCAGTATCTGTCAATAATGAAAATTACGATCAGTAGTCCAAATCTTGATGATAAATTACTCAGACGAATCAAGATTCTGTGAAAAACCTCATTTGGACTATTAGTATGAATGTCATTATTCCCACAAGGAAAATCGCCTTGTAGATCAAGAACAATACTAATAACCACAATTTGAACTATTCTCGGCTCTTGAATTGATTTCTAGAGGTTTCTCAATAAATTCAAGAGCCGGTAACAATAAAAATTTGGACTATAAGCGGCTCTTGATGCGATAGATAATTTTTCTAGAAGGAATAAGTATCTGTTAATAATCAAAATTATGATCAGTAGTCCAAATCTTGATGATAAATTACTCTGGCGAATCAAGATTCTGTGAAAAACCACATTTGGACTATAAGTATGTGTCACGATTACCACTAGCAAAATTACCTCGTTGATCAAGAGCTACTGATAATCACAATTTGAACTACTCCTGGCTCATGAACTGCTTTCTTAAAGTTTCTCAATGAATTCAAAAGCTGGTAACAATCAAAATTTGAACTATAAGTGACTTTTGATTCGCTAGATAATTTTTCTAGAAGGAATCAGTATCTATGAATAATCAAAATTATGATCAGTAGTCTGAATCTTGATGATAAATAACTTTGGCGAATCAAGATTCCGTGGAAAACCACATATTTTTGTGTTTATTTTAAATACACACAAAGGCCCAACGAATAAGTACTTTTTAAAATACCCTCATATAGGTACCTAACTCAAGACATGCACCTTTCCGTAAAAGGTCTAAACTTAATCAACATTTTTCAAAGCTACCTACCACAAATAAACGCAAAAAGCACGAAGATTTATTAGTTTCAGGTTGCCTGAGGTAGTACCTATTAAAAAAACCCCCATATATATCCGAAACTAGTCATAGGATCGGTTTGTACACATGAGAACTTTTACTCAGGAGGTCGAAATATACAACATACCAAAATTTGGTTAAATTTTGCGTTCAACCAAAATCCCATAAAAAGTGTGCGGAGTCCTTTGCAAGAAAATGGTAACTCAAAAGATGGAAATAGACAGAAGTCGAGATACAAAAATTGAGAAATAAAGATAAATTAATGATTTTTCTATTCCAGGCTCTTGAATTTTCTTTATTTAGACAATTTCGAGAGCCGGGAATAGACAAATATTGAACTGGAAAAATTGAGAAAGAGAAAAGGATGTTTTTTCTCATGTCACACTACATTTAGTAATTTAGTCAGAACTGGTAATAGGGTAATCAATCTTAATATTGGAATTTATTTTTGATACATCATACGGCGCGTTTCAATGATTTCAAATTTTTCTAGTATTGAAGTTCCTGTAAAAAACTTCACTTTTTTTCTAGTTTATTCTGATGGTAGAGTATGCATCTCAATCTTGCATGCTCCAGGAGACGACCCAATGGGCTACGAATCCAGTGCCGAAAGATGGTCCCCAGTGCAGAGCGTTGAAAAAATATTACTGTCAGTTGTTAGCATGCTCGCAGAACCAAACGATGAAAGCGGCGCCAATGTAGACGCGGCGAAAATGTGGCGGGAAAATCGAGAAGAATTTAGTAGGATTGCTGAGAATTTAGTTAGGAAAACTTTAGGAATTCCACAATTATTAGGTTAATAAGGGTTAATGGGATAAATTGAATAAAATACTGTTTTTTTTTGTTTTACTTATTTAATTTTCACCAGCTGGTAAAGGCTAATTTTTACAGTAACAAACTTAATAAACCATACAGGAACTAAAAAGTTGAAATATAACCAGCAAAATAAATATTACAGAATCAAAAATTAAACAAGCTTTAGATTTGTGCGCATCTTGATGATTATCTACTTCTAGTACTAACCATTTTAGCCAAAAAAATTGACTATAATTTTATTTTAAAAAAAATCTAAAGAGTAGAAAAACAAATTACCAACATCACAGTCACTTTTCCTTCCACTTTCATCTACAAACATATTTGTTTTTCCACTTGAACTAAATTGCCTGAAAACACATTTTCCTTTTCATCTACTTGTCTAATAGTTATCTATTCTCTAACCTAATAAAGTCGTTATTAATTTTAAAATAAGTTAGATCACATAAAAAACTTTGGTTGTTTAAAAATCTTACCTAGCTAAAAGTATAATTTATTATATTTGTTTTATACAGTTTATATGAGGCTAAACAACTACTACTAGAATACCCTTTTTCAAATTACTTCAAAAGTAATTTTTGCATAAAAGATTGTCTACTTACTACACCTGGCAGTACCCTTTTTAGGCATTAAAAATAATATATTCGTTGACAGGTATCATGTTATCCGACTGCAAATTCCGGCGTTGTTCCACATTTTCATTTTCCTCCATCATATTACCCTATAATATTAATTGAAATATTTCAAAAAAATGAAAAGTTGCGAATTCACTTACGTTTAAGGAAGGCGGCACAAAACTTAAAGTATTCTCTCCGGAGGATGGTAGATTGCGAGGATCCTCGCCAATTTCCAGGGGCAAGTCGGCAAAACTTTCAGAGTAGTACTGGGGCGTATTTAAATAATCGATCATACGCCTGGGCAGGGGTAGTTCCGGAATCAGATCACGACGGACGTTTTTGTGAATGACGAACCTGGGTTTTGAATAAGCTAGATAGATTAATTTTGATCTTTTTTTATGAGTTCTATTAGTGATTTAAATTGATGTACTTTCATCTGAAAAAACCCCATATATTATGTTTTGTTGAAATAAAAACTACAACTCAAAGAGTTAAAGTATTTCTTTACTGTGACTTGTTTGACTAATCAGAACGGTTTCGGAACCACTTTGTATACAAATTTCGGTTTATACGTAAAAATTTTAGATTTTGCGCAGAATCCTGACGGTAATATTACGGTTTCCTGCTGGGTTGGAACAAAGCTATTATGGAGCCTCTGGCAATCTGTGAAACTTTATACAGACAGAGGCTACTAGACACATAGGCTTCAATAGGACCAGTTGACTGTTGACTGATACTAATGTCCATGCATTTTCCTTGAGATCCTGGGTATATACAAGCTAATTGGTCTATATGTAATTACCTGTCCCAGGCGTTTATAAAGTAAATAATATAAATAACTGATAACCTAAGATGACCTAAAATAATTCATCAATGAAAAGTTTGCGGATGCTATACACAGCAGCAAACTCACCTGAAAGATGCAAGCATCCAAATTGAGCCAGCAGTAGTCGAGCTTAGAGACAGAGAAGAGAGATCTAAAAACTTGCTGATTTTCGGAACCCCAGAGATCAATGCAGAAAACAGAGATCAAAGGTTGAGTCAGGAAAAGACTGAAATCTTGGAAGCTCTGAAGAAGTAAGAAAATGATACTGAAAATATCGAGTTCACACTCTACAGATTGGGTAGATATGTACCAGATAGAGTTCGACTAGTTCAGACTCTTGACTACACAAGGACGTTCCTGATGAATGGTAGGTATACTGTATATCAAATTATCCCCAAAAACTGAAAAAAGATCTCCGCAGCTTCTTTCACTGGACCAACGAATGGATGCTAAGCCTCAACAAGAGCAAGTTTACTGTTTTTGGACATCGGTAGAAATAACCAAAAAATTGAGTACCTATACAATTGGAACATGCGTAGTCGCAGAAGTCAACCAACACAGGGACCTGGGAGTTATTGTTAGCTCTGACTTAAAATGGGAGCCTCACATTGTAAGCATGACTAAAAAAGCTAACACCTTAGGGCCGATACTTTTGCTCTCGATTAACGAATTTGATACGTTGTCAAAGTTTTGCATGGGCCAAGGTCTATAAATATGATGTGGTTAGAGCACATTCTAACCTCTGACAATTTTTAATGGCTGTCAAATCAGAGCAAAAGTACCGGCACCTAAGTGTACTTAATAAAGAGAGCTTTTAGTGACCACTCTGTGGAAATGATAAAAAGCCTTTATAAAACCTTTGTGCGTCCTAAGCTGGTATATTCACATGCTGTGTGGAGCCCCTACTATATAAAAGACATAGATATTATCAAATGAGTCTAAAGGAGAATCACCAAGATACGCCCAGAAGTAAACCACCTACCATACCATGGACGCCTTGAAATATTCGGACTAAGTACATTAAGAGAAAGGTAAGAAAGAGGTGATCTCATAGTCGCAGAAGTCAACCAACACAGGGACCTGGGAGTTATTGTTAGCTCTGACTTAAAATGGGAGCCTCACATTGTAAGCATGACTAAAAAAGCTAACACCTTAGGGCCGATACTTTTGCTCTCGATTAACGAATTTGATACGTTGTCAAAGTTTTGCATGGGCCAAGGTCTATAAATATGATGTGGTTAGAGCACATTCTAACCTCTGACAATTTTTAACGGCTGTCAAATCAGAGCAAAAGTACCGGCACCTAAGTGTACTTAATAAAGAGAGCTTTTAGTGACCACTCTGTGGAAATGATAAAAAGCCTTTATAAAACCTTTGTGCGTCCTAAGCTGGTATATTCACATGCTGTGTGGAGCCCCTACTATATAAAAGGCATAGATATTATCAAATGAGTCTAAAGGAGAATCACCAAGATACCCCCAGAAGTAAACCACCTACCATACCATGGACGCCTTGAAATATTCGGACTAAGTACATTAAGAGAAAGGTAAGAAAGAGGTGATCTCATTGAAACCCTTAAAGTACTAATTGGTTATTTCAGCCCAAAAATCGATCTGACACTCTGACACTCTTCCAAATTTCCCATACACAAGAACTAAGCTAAAGAAACTCAACAAAGAATGATCTGCTCTGCTTTTGAGAAAGAAATTTTGAGCAATAGAGTTGTATACAGATGGAAAAGCCTTCAGGAATCTACTGTAAATGCACCAACTAATAATAATAATAACTAATTATTATTAAGAGAAGTTCGTGTCTTATCGGTATCCAATTCGTTCGGAATAATAATAACACAAAAAATCTTACCTGCACATGTGCTGTAAACTCTGCACCTGTTTAAATCTGGAAAACGGATGTAACAGCTGGACCCTCACAGGACCAATCACAGGCCTCCTGTGCAGAAAAAATAAGTACCGACCACTTCTAGAATGTTCCACAGCATTCTCAATAAATTCCACAATAGTTTGCGATTTGAATTTCGTACAGCTGCCGAAACTGAAATTACCTACAAAAATTTTTCTTGGGATTTTGTTTTTTTCTAGTGAATTCCTAATTTTTTACCTTGAAAGTGTTCAATTCTCACGTGCCGCACGCTATTGTTTAATTTAAAAGTCAAAGAAAAAATGTAGTGATCGTCGCTGCTGTCTCTTACAATAAAAGATCCGTCTGGTTCGTTGGATAAGATTTTTTCAGCTGCTTCGCTAGAGAGCGGGCCCCAATACCAACCGTAGTCTTTAACTCTTTGTATGCTTGTAGCGAAATCCAAAGCCTGATCGTCTTCGATAATCGTATTTGGCATTTCTTCTTCTTTTTTGGGTAGTGGAGGCAAAGCCCGACTTGTCAGAGAGTTTTCAATATTACTAGAACCCAATTCGTATTGGATTTTTTCAGTCTCACATTTTTCAGTTTTTTCTTCGACAGACAAAAATCGTCTAAAGCGAAATATATTGCAAAGGGCCTGCTTAAAACTGAAAACTTTCCTCTTTTTCACTTCCTTTTTAACAGGTGATATTGTTAAAGCTCTAGAATTATTACAACTACTGTCTTTTACTTTCTTATTTTTAATGTTTATTAGGAAAGTGGATTTTTTAGGCCGATTCATTAACTAAAAAAAAAAAAACTATTAAACACCAACCAAAATCAATTAAAAATATCACCTGATGGTGCTCACTTCCAATATTCCTTGTCAAATGATACTTTTTATTTATATTATTATTATTGTTATTTGTGGCAACTAATGTACCATTAGCGCAATTATTTTTCTTCCTACAACTGAAATCCTTTGTGTCGCTAGAATCCGAACTGCTAGAGTAAAGAGTCTGTAAATACGTCCTCACTTCTTGCAGGGTCATATGAATTGGTTCATTACCACCTGCACTTGTTGAAGTACCGGCCACACTATGACGTTTATTTTCTGATTGATAATAGGACCAATGTGACTACAAAAAATATAGTGATAATGAGCAAATTTTTAACCTGTTATAGCAAAAATACATTACTTGTTCGCTTCTAGAAACACTTTTTCTACCACTCCTAGGTTGTTGCCTGCCATCCTCCTTCAACCCAACAGAAGTAGTATTCCTGCGTCTCTTCTTACTAGCCGCAGTCAACAAGTGTCCGCTCAAACAACTATAAGCCCCCCCTCTTTTGGGTTTAACTCCGGGTTGTTTGACCACATCAACAGGAACCGCGTAAACGTCACTATCAAATGGGACATTATATAGATCGCTAATCTGATTGGATGATAATGTATCATGCGAAACTGCTTGTGTAATGAAAGACGAATCGTCCACCCGTCTCGTATGCGACACTGACAAAGAATTATGTGAGGAACTGAGACGTGACGATCCGCCTAATGATGAACGCGAGGACGGCCGAGGCGTGTGGCTCACATAAGGAGAAGCCGAACTAGCGAAATTAGAAGCAGAACTAACGAAATTCGATGTGGGACTAGGATATGATTGTTTGTATGACATGCTTTGGCTCCTGTAAGGAGAAGAATAGCTTAGATATGTGGTGGATTTGCTTATGGTGGGCGGAGCTCGGGTGAAACCGGAAGGAAGTTCGGGCAAAGGGCGGATGGGCGGTTGCTTGTGGTGGAGGGCGCGCGAGGGCAAAGGAGGCGGCGATATAGGATGCTGATGTTCCAGATTGTTCGATGAATGGTACCTTGAAAACAAAAAAAGGTTCTATGTTTTGGAACTCAAAACGCAGGCGATAACCTACCTGGATCGATCTTTGTATCTGAAATCCAGCATGACTCTTTTCAAAATCTGATGGGTTAATCTATCACAAAAAAAATCTACTACTGGAGGTGGGGAGACGGATTGAGGCCGGTCCTGAAACTCCAGGGGCGGTTCGATTGGCGAGGTGGTTTGCTTTATTTCGCTCCAATTTGGTTGTTTTTTTAATGTATTGAAGTTTTCACCGCACATAATATCAGACATGCCATCTAGAGAGTCGTCTTGTGAGAGGGAGGAACGTTCTTCACAATCGCTGTCCTTTTGACAAAAAAAAAATTCGGAGGTCATACATCTCATTTTTTTAAATAGATAATTAAGTAGATTTTTATTAACGGACAATGGTCATTCACAAAAGATACCTAGCCTAGGTTAAAGTAACAATGGTTAAAAAAATGTAGTTTAAATACATTTATAAAAGATGAAAATATCACATTATGCAAACATTAGCAGACTACACAGTTGAAATCACAAGATAAAAGTCACAGAGACAACATAAATTATTATAATTCAGTCAGCTTGCGTTTTAGTGTATTATAACTTGTAGAGAATAAATCTATATTATCAGGTAGTTTGTTGGCATTTCTGGCCATTCTACTTAAAGGCGAAGAGTACCCATAATTAGTGCTATGAAAATTGATAGAGAAAAGGTTGTTATTCCTCAATCTTCTAGTTGTATTGAAACAGAAAGAAAACAATAGTTCTGCACAATCTATTTCACCATTTTTTTTGAAAATAATCCTTTATTATTTCTTTATAATATGTTAACAATATTTAACAGACTCTCCAATCAGTGCTGAAGGCGCTGGCCTCGAGAGTATAATTAATAAACATTTAACAATTAACCATACTTAAAACTAAAATAACATAATTATTTATTTTTCTAGCAACTAGCAACAAGATTTAATTATTTTTTATTTTATTCCTAGGAATGTTTTCAGTCTCCTAACGAACACATTGTAGTTATTTATCAGTCTTAGACTTTCCGGTAACGAATTATACAGTTTAGATACTTCGTGAATTGGGCTATAAAGACCTACATTTATTCGACTATAGTTCAGATATACATTATTATTATTTCTCGTATTATGACTATGTATTTCGTTGGTAAAGGTTATATTTGTATTTATTTTTTGTTGTTGTAAGATAATTTTATGCATTAGTTTACCCTGTTCAAGATTTAATATTTTCTCTAACCTGCAGAGACCTAACTCACTGTATAGGGTATCTGTGCTTGTAAGTATATCATAATTGAATAAAATCTTTAAGACCTTATTTTGTAAAATTTGAATTTCATCAAACCTAGTTCTAGAACAGGTACCCCATACTGGCAGTAGGTAACGCAAATGGGACAAAAAGAAGGCATTATAGATATTCCTTTTTGTTTTGATAGATAGATAATCTCGACATTTAAAGATAATGGGCATCATTGGAACAATTTTATTTTTAATTTTGTTTATGTGGCTTTGCCAATTTAACGACTCATCAATAATTAGTCCAAGATATCTAATCTCAGTAACCATCTCCAAAATTGTATCATTAATTTCAATATTTGTACTTTCAATCCGTTTATTTTTTTGCTTGAAGAGCATATATTTGGTTTTATCTGCATTGATTTTCAATTTGTTGAAGTAGAGCCAGTTACTGTATAGTTTAAGATCTTCATTGACTTCTTGCATAAGTTCTGTCTCATTTTCACCCGTGTATACCAAAGCTGTATCATCAGCAAAGGTGAAATACTGAGCTTTTAGGTTTGCACATCTAAGGCTCAAAACATACAAAGAATATAAAATAGGACCGAGGACAGAACCTTGAGGTACCCCATACATATTAGTTAGTAACTCGCTCTTTACATTACCTAATTTCACATATTGTTTTCTATTGCCTAAATACGATTTAATAAGGGTAAATATAGGTTCTCTAAAGCCCATCACAAAAAGTTTTCTCAGAAGTATGTCTATGCTGACCACATCGAAAGCCTTACTCAAATCAATAAAAACAGCTATAACAATTTTTTTTTCATCTAAAGCTTTGCAGGTGTAATTGACAAAATCAAAAGTAGCGCCTAAAGTGCTACTATTTCTAATAAAACCATACTGGAACTTGTCAAAAGTTATATTGTCATCAATAAAATTTATCATCCTGTTTTTTATAACTTTTTCGATAATCTTTGAAAATATACTTATCACTGAAATCGGCCTATAATTACTCATACACTTTGAGTCACCAGATTTATAAATTGGTGTAATCTTGCTTATTTTCAGTTCTTGTGGAAATATTCCTGTGGTAAGTATATCATTTACCAGTTTTGTTAAAATTTTCAAAATAAATTCCCGTAAATTTAGAACATCAAGTACCGTTACCTCATCATCCCCGGGTGCAGAGTTTTTTTTAAGTTCCGACATGATTTCATTAATTTCAATTTCATTTGTACCTTTTATATTTATAATTTTATTACATTTTATCTCTTCAAACTGTCTGTTCAAACCCTTCTGCAAAATGTCCTCATTCAAATCTCTTACAATTTTTTCACCTATATTTGCAAAATGCTTATTTAAACTATTTACAATATTTTTGCCATTTTTTACCTCCATTCCCTCAATCATCAATGATTCTATATCATTTGAATTGTGTTTATTTTTAAAGAAACTATTTACAAATTCCCACTGCTTTTTTATGTTATCACCTGCCTGATCCCATTTTTTACGAAAATATAAGTTTTTCAATGACTTGATTTTATTGTTAACTTTGTTTTTAAGCTTTCTAAATTCAGTATCATACATAACAACTTCCGGATTTTTAACTTTTTTTCTATATGCTATGTCACGTTGTTTCATCATTTCAAGAAGTTCTTGATTGATCCAGGTATTATTCTCTCTAATTTTAATAGTTTTGACATATTCCGATGCAGTCTTAGTATCTATAATTAATTTTATCAAATCCTGAAATGATGAAACTATGACATTGTTATTGTTGATCTCATCTCTAAACAGTGATTTAAATGTTTCATAATTTATCATTTTAATATTATGTCGAACCTTAGGTTTAAATATCTTTACATTTTCTTGAATCTTGAACATCAATAAATTATGATCAGATAAGCAGTTGGGTTGCACATTCAAAGAGGAAATAAATTTTGAGCCGTAGTCTGACATAACATGATCGATAAGAGTTTTGCTGTGTTGTGTAACTCTGGTAGCGTTTTCAACTGAAATTTCATTAATAATTTTAAAATTATTTAATTGGAGAAGATTTTTAAAGTTATGAACCAATTTAGAGTCTTCTAATAAGTTGATGTTAAAATCACCAACTATAACATGTTTTTTAGGATGTTTTGACAAAATTTTTTCTATATCTACAAAAAAATCTGCAATGTTATAATTTGGTGGTCTATATAAAACGCTTATTTTTAAATTATTCTCACCCACACTTACACACACCCAGTTGATTGCCTGGCTTGGATTCGACTGATCGATGAGACGACTTTTTATCGATTTTTTAATGTAGATTGAGGACCCTCCACCTCTGGCACCAACTCTGCATGAATGCACTGCACTATAGTTATCTAACCCATACAGAAAAGCATTACTTTCCTCCAACCATGTTTCAGAAAACAATAATATATCCGACTTATTTGCAATTGCAAAACTTTGTAAATTGTCTAATTTGTTGCGTATACTTTGAATGTTTGTGTATGCTACATTTAATAGAACTCGAGGCCCGACTTCCTAATCACTTACCAACTGATCCTCCCTCTGTATCAATAAGATTTTGGTATTATCTCCTTTTCTTAAAAATATGTTTCCATCTTTTATCCACAAATATTTGAATTCATTTTGTTTTTTAAATGCATTACATTCTTTATAGAGCTCCAAGTTTTTTTTTGTCAGGTCTTGGTTGATAAATATCTTATTATTCACATTAAATCCCAATGACTGGGTAGTTAGGCGGATCTTTCTGGGTGATTTCAAAAGCTTATTTTTGGTTTCTTCATTCTCAAACTTTATTTTAATTGGACAAGTTTTATTTTCTTCTCTCTTACCAATTCTCGTAGCTGTAATACGTTCATTGGATAAGTCAACCTGAAGTTCTTTACCAACTTTTTCAACCATTTTTTTCAAGTCTTCTTCGGCACAGAATGGGATACCCAGCATGATTACATTATTTTTGAGTTCCTTCTGCTCGCTCTTATTTAACTGAATCTTTATGTCAGTAATCTCATCTCTTAAGTCCTTGTTTATCTGTAACTGCTCTTGATATTTATTTAGCAAGTCATTGTATTGTTTGGCCATGATTTCCAACTTATCCATGATTTCGTTATTTGTTACCTGTTTTGGCGCTTTGTTTTGACACGAGCCACAGAACCACTTTTCTGATGATTTACTGACTTTTTGGTAGGTTTTAAGAGCCATTGACAAGCACTTCCTGTGTTTCCACCCCATACACTTTTCACACAGTAGCCCTTCATCACTGTCCGCAACCACCTTATTACAAAGGTCACATATTTCGGTTTCCGTCATCTTGGCAACGCTGTAGTGGTTGCACCGGTATTGTTATAAACAAAAGCACGAAATACCGGAAAAAAACGTAATTTTTCGTTTAAATTATTAGCACTATCTATGCACCTAGCCTTTGCAGACCGTTCGCCGTATTTTTCACTTTTTGATTTTTTAATATTCACAATAAAATCGCTGAAAAAGCACAATAGAAAACATAAGTCAAAATTTTCTCTCCGTTTTTGTAGAGATGTGATGTTTAGAAGATTTTGCAACTCGTAATTTATTTCATCTTTTGGTATTCTGAGTAAATACGCAATAAGTCTGAGAAGCTTTCTCTGAACTTTTTCCAGCTCAGTTTCATAAGCTTGATAGTGGGGAGCCTAAATAACGCAGGCATACTCCAATACAGATCGTACTACTGAACAGTACACATTTTTAATTATATTTATGTTGTTAAAATCTTTCAATGTTCGGAAAATGAAACCAAGGAGTTTGAGTGCCCTGTTCGCCGTAGCATTTACATGGCGATGGTGATTAAAATTTAGCTCATACTCCAAGGTCCTTAATATGGGTTTCTCTTGTTGACTGACAAACAATTATTTATTTTGTAGTTGAAATAAATAGGTTTTTTAATTCTAGAAAAATTTACAATTTTGCATTTATCTGTATTCAAAGCCAATTTATTTTCATGACACCACTGAGCTAGCTTGTCAATGTCTCTGAAAATTCAGACAGTCCTGTTGACATTTTATTTTTTTGTAAAATTTGCCGTCATCAGCATAGGTAAGAGAAAGGGAAGTTTCAAGCGAGTTGGAAATATCATTAATAAAGATATTGAAGAATAATGTAGACAAATGTCCACCCTGTGGGACACCTGAGTTGATCTCAATCTCAAACGAAACATGATGGCCAACCTTTACAGCTTGTCTTCTTCTGAAAAAATAACTTTCCGTCTACTAGAGGAAAATGAAATGGACACCAACGGACCGAAACTTAGAAAGCAGGATGCCATCATCCACCCTGTCAAAAGCCATGGAGAAGTCTGTGTAGACAGCATCCATTTGTCCACGATTCTCCAAGGCTTCCAACAGGTGTTTCTCATGAGTAAGAAGATTAGTGACTGTGGACCTAGCCTTTATAAATCCATGTTGATAGGGAGAAATTAGATTTTTGAACAATGGTGAGATCTTATCAGCAATAATGCACTCAAACACCTTAGAAATCATTGACTGCCCGGTAGTTCTCCACACTAGACCAGTTTAAGGTAACTGTCTGGAAAATGCTGCTCAAAATTTACCTGCAATATCCAGACCCTTGGACTTGGATCCAAGAATTTCAAAATTCTCCTCCATGTATTAAAGAGTTTTTACGCTATAACGAGACGAGACGAGACTTTGGTACTCGAGACCGAGACTAAGTCACGGTCTCGTCTCGAGATGTCGAGACAAGACCAACCTTAAGTCTGGTCTCGCGGCACCACTATGTGTAGGTAAGTTTATTAGGTTTGTAACATTAAAATAACAACTATTATCAGAAAGTAAAAATAAAGCTAAACTATGTATTGAACTAAATTGAAAATTTCAAAGTTGCAATTCAACTGAGAATTCAACTGAAAATTAGGAATTAGAAAAAAATTTCTAATTCATACTTATCCGTTCAAGTTTAGTGATTGCTTCAGGTATTTTACCAAAATATTTTTGAGATTTCGGACCAAAAGCATGACTGATGGGCTTCACAAGTAGTGTTGTAAAATGCTCGGGAATTTATTTTTGGAGAACGTTCTCCGAGCACGAACGAGAATAATGAGCATAAAACAAAAGAAGTAATGAAAATAATACACTTTTTTCTAGGCATTTTCAATAAAAAGTAAACACTATACTAATAGACAAGTAAGAGAAAACACTTCTCAATCGGACCTTAATTGGACTGTTAGCCAAACTATACTATTTAGATGCTTGAAAATGAATACTTAATGAAAAACCGACAAACGGGACGACAACAGTGGCGTGTGAATCCCTGAAACCAAACCTTGCTGGTTGGCTATCGACTGTCGGGAATTTTTCTTGATCCCCGGACCCCGTGTTGGAAAATAAATGTTATTTATCGTGGTAATTTTTATCAAGGAACCTTCTCGTTCGTGCTTTTGAGAAGGAACGTTCCCACTTAGTCTTGAACGTTCGCGAACGTTCTTCGAGAATAAACAAGAACGTTCCATCATTCACAACACTATTCACAAGACTTTTAATATTTACTTGCCTCAATTATTACTCCCAGATTTTAGAATTTTGGACCAAGACCATAAAAATCAGAAAAGAATGAAGTTCTCTTTTCACTTAGATGCAAAAGAATCATGTAAAATGTCTATTAAATCACCTTTGAAAGCTTCTGAAAAATACTTCAAGCAATCAGAAGCCCTTCAAACTTTCAGGATTTAGTTAATACCTAGGGTCTTCCGAGGGGTCTTCTTATCAAACAGAACAAATTGCAATATATTTTATAACACATTATAATATCTTATACAACCAGTAGTTAGTTACAACCTCGGTTACAACATAAAATAGTTACTTGAGCTTGTCTTATTGAAGCTGTATAATAGATATTTTATAGCATTGAATTGTGCTGCATTATAAGACATTTTTATAAGTAAACTTCAGATATTATCCAGGATACTATAAGACTTTCTTCTTTACAAACGCCTTAAAGTAGGGATAAAATGAATTCTTAGTGGTAAAAAGTTAACAAACGTAGTGGCCACATTAACAGAGCTTGTGAGAAAAAATATCAACAAAACCTTGCAAGCAATCGAAAGATTGTATAAAGGTTGTATAGTGACACAGGGGTCACATTAAGCAACTGAATTTCAATAGAACTGCTATACTACCAAACTGTTGTATAAAACTTGGCCCTTTTTGGTTGGTTGTATAAGGATCATTTTATTATTTCGTAGACCGTTATAAGAATGTCAGTGGTTTTACTTACCTCAAACAAGAAATGTTTCCTTCCACTCCTACTTTCAAAGCTGGTGTTTCCACTCGAAAACGAGCCTGTAGTTAATAGTAAACCACTATCGTCACTCAAAATAAAAGGCTGAGAATGCTGAGACCAACTGGAAGTTGATGGAGGTGATTCCATCTCACCAGAGGCTGTCAGTACCCAACTAGTTCATTTTGGATAGTGAAACAGTGCTTGGTAAGCCTGTAAAGGTTTTAGTAAGCAACATTACCAATAATTAAATGTATGTAAAAGGGAGTTTGTAAATAATTACAAAAAAACACACCTTTGTGGAGTAATGTTTGGTTTGTAACACAAAGAAGCCGAAAATCGAAGGAACAGTCTTTGTGCTGAGAGTGCGAGTTTCATTAATGCACCCAATGCTAATTAATTGGTTTATTTACATTTTTAATTAATTTTGCCATATTAAAATTAGATAAAAACTTGAAAATGAGTCATTTGACATTTTGTTTTGACGTTTACAAGTCGCCATTTTGGATTAATAGGATTGACAATTTATTTATTTATGTGGCGGCATCTAGTGACAATTTTAAAAAACTAGAGTTTAGAGCACTAGAGCAGACTTGGAGTGGAGTCAGAGCAGAATTTTGCCACAGAGTGAGTGCCGAACCCAGTTTAAAAATCTTTTATCAAGTGGAACTGAATTTTTAGAGTCAGTGGAACATGAATGTAGTTACTCTATTTACTCCGAAAAAATATGCAAGAACGGTTGATGTGCCATGGAGTACTTAGAGTGCAAGGAGTGGCAAGCCAGACCCAGAGTTGACACTGACACAAAAAGTGAGGTTACGTTTACGTTAATTTTCAAAAAAAATATAAAAATAAAAAATAGGAAATTTAAAATTTTGTTTGGTCACGTAGACCCAGCGAAAATAAACCGGTTTTTTATAGCATCCTCTATCCCCTAAGCCCAGGAGGATTATTAGAAAATAATAAGGTAAGTTTGATCAACTCAAAAACTGTTAAATAATAAAATTATACAAACCTGTACCTAGATGAGCATCCCTGATCCTGGAGATTTGGTTCCCAACGGAACCGCCGACGATAATATGACTACCAGCTCCATAGCTTCTCCAGAACCCATGGACCAACAAGCCCATCCAGAAGAACTGGCAATAGATGAGCCACTTGGAACAGAAATGGACCATTCACAACCACCAACAGCCCCTCCGCTACCAGTTTTAATCCTCTCCCTTGAAAGAGCACCAATTCCACACACACCAGCTCCAACACAGAATCACACTCAGTAAGAATATCTGCGTACTTTGTTGGGCATTGGCCAATTTTGATTATTCTAGGGGAGTTCGTTCTGCACCTGTTCCACCAAGGACAATATACAGAGCAGGGCCAGTACAACGTATCAATGGGAGACCGGAATTCGAGCCCAATGATAAACAGGAGAAATTTGAGCTGTGGAGTTCAGATGCTACAAGTCCGGAGGATGACGACGATGTTGATGTAAGTAACTTACTAAGAGTTAAACTTTTTGTTCGGTCAATCAGATGTGAACCTGCATTGAAAACTTGAGGAATTGATGAGCTTTGATTTGTGCTTAATTATTGTGTTTTCATAATTGACTGAGTCTACATCATGAAATCATGAAAAATTGAGCTTCAAAGATTGTAAAATCTTCAAATTCTTTAATCTTCAAGACACTGAAGTTTCTAAATCTTTGGTTTCTTTTCTACAATGATTTCAAGTCAAGATCTTTAGAATCTTTGAAGTCTTTGGAGACCCTCAATACTTGAGTCTTAATACTTAAGTCAGCAAAATTTGGAGGGCCATATAATCTTGATTTTTTTCAGCATCTTAATAATCTTGATCTTGAAAACATAAGTCACTAATAATTCTTTCAGATCTCGAGATTCTCTACTCTATTTCAGCAGCTTCAAATTTTTGAGAGACTAATTTTGTACTTCTTCAAAATCTTTCAGAGGCTTCAATTTTAAGTCAGAAACTACATTCTAAAATATTCAAAAAACAAGCCTTCAAAGATCTTTATCCAGTCCTAATTCATGAGCCTTTTGCCTGTTTGCAGTCTCTGGAATTTTCAGTCTTTGGCTTTGAAAAAATCAGCAGAGTTCTCAAACTCTTCAGTCTTAATTCATATGCTTCAGGACACTTAACAAGGTTTCTAAGATCTTTTAATAGTGAATATTAGGAAATTCGAATACTTATTCAAAATATTATTCAATAGTTATACCCTCAGAAAGTCTATTAAATACTGTTAAACAAATGCGTATTTTATCATTCCAGGACTTTGTTACTGGCAAGAAAAAGATCCGCAAAAACTGGAGCGACACAGTAAAAAAAGAAGCTATAAGATGCCTCACATTTACAGGCCAGCGTGGTATCACTGAACTAGACACAACAAAAAAATATTCAGTTTTGGAATGTTTCAAACTGTTCGTGGACGATGAGCTGATTCAGTTAATGGTAACGGAGACAAATAAGTAAGTAAAACACAACAATATTGGATTCTCAAATGAATTATCATTTTGCTAAAGGTTCTTGTTTCAAAAATATTTTTGCTTCATAATAGAAACGCAAGAGCCAATTTTAAACGATACGGTTACCATGAAGGTTTTCTCTCTGGATGGATGGACGTAGATTTTAAAGAAATGACGCAATTTATTGGTGTCATAGTGTTTATGGCATTCAAAAGGCTTCCTGAAACAATATCTTATTGGAGTACTGAGAGGATTTACTATAACTCTGTATGTTGCCGTGTATTTACACAAACCAGATTTCATAGGATTTTAGCTTTTTGGCATTTTGGTACTGATAATACTGACAGTGTTTATGCAAAAGTTAATCCAGTCATTGATAGGTTAAATGCTAATTTCAAGTAAGTTTATTTATTAAAAAAAATGAAATTGGAATTTATTTGAAAAACATATTACAGAAAATACAAGCAACCTGGCGACATACTATATGTTGGTAAAAGTACAGTATATTTAAGAAATAAATATATATTTGAATCAACTCCGGCTGGTAAATCTAAAAAAGGCTCAAAAATCCTAAAAGTAATGGACCATGATGCTTATACTTACAAACTAAAAATCCTTTCTCCTGAAACCGGTGACACAAGGACATCGCAAACAAAACATAACGTCATGGATCTTTTAGATGGTTTCCTAGGGCAAGGCAGACTGGTAATCTTCCACAATTTGTACATTTCTTTGGATTTGGCGCAGGAATTGTTGAAAAACGAATGCCACGCGATTGGTATGATTAGAAAAAATGCCAGAGGAACACCTAAGCAATTGGAACATAAATCGATTAAAGATGGAGAATTGATTGGGTATCAAAATGAAACAGGAGTTTCTGTGCTCAAGTGGCAATTATTGGGAGCACAATATTTTGGTATAACGACTTGTCACACTTTGGAATATGTGACTGCTAGGAAAAAAGGAAGAGATTCTTGTGACAATGTTTCAAGTACAGCAGAAGAAAAAGTTCCTGAATACTTGAGGGACATTTCTTTAAGTGAAACAATATTTGATGCTCACGAGAAATACAGTATTAATACTTCACCTCTAAACGAGCAAGTTAAATGGTAATACTTACTTAGCAAGATTTTTTTTAAATGTTTTTAACAATTATTTTTTTAGGTATCAACGTTTGGCTTGCGATGCGATTGTAAATGCAGCTACTATAAACGCATTGGTGTTGTACAAAAAAATAAACAAAGATAAAATGAAAATGTGGGACTTTAGGGACAAACTGTTCAGAGAATTGGTGGATATTAAGCAGTTGCCCACTATTTCTAGTGACGAGGAGACAGAAGAGCCTGATCTAGATGAGGACGAATGAATTTCTATGTTTTTATATTCTTAAGTTTTAATATTATTTTTTGCAATTCTTATAAATGTATGTATGTATTAATTTTTTGCTACACTGTAAGAAACCATCAAGCTGGTGGTGTTTAATGGTTGAAAAATAAAACTTAGTTTTTATAAGAATTTTCTACTTTATTTCAATAAAATTAGAAACATCTAGTTATATTGGATGGATTGGCATTTGCATGTTTTGGATCAGCTGCAGATGTTTCAAAAAAAAATTGGGGAAAATAAATCCTTCCTATATTGTCACAACCTCTCGGTGACAGGGGGTGTAGGGTGGATAGATGGAGAGAGTATTATAAAAATATGTATATTTTATATGAAGTCATGACATAAATCCTCCAGTTGATAGGGCCACATGTTTGACGCTACTTAGGAATGTCCGTTTAATGTTACGTTGAATGCTAACCGATATTTAACTGATCCTGATCTAGAGAGGCTTTCCCAGGGTGGCGGTAGTTGCACTAGGGAGACTTATTCCAGAGGGGTGTTCCCAGGGTGGCGGTACTAACACTGGTTTAGGTCTGTCTGTTGGGGCAGCACAAACATCAAAAAGAGGTGAGTACCTTATTGAATATTTGTTCTCTAATGACTTAGACATTATCAACAATGGTAACAAACCCATCTTTGCGAACAGTGTGTGCGGCAAGAAGTGTTAGACTTAACCTTGGCAAGCACACACATAAGCAACCAAATTAAAAACTGGTATGTCTCCAACGAAATCTCGATGTCGGATCATAAACATATAAGATTCGATATAGAGGTCAGAGAGACACGCCTTCTCGAGCATAGAAACCCAAAACTAACTGACTGGGGTCTATACAAAGATCTACTAAAAGCAGAAGTAACCGACTACCCCAACGCAATAGAAACAAAGGGTTTGTTAGAGTATATCACGAACGAAATAAACACTAATAATAACAGCTTAGGAGAACAGCTGTCTTGTGAAACAAAGGGTCGTAGATAGAAAAACGCCCTGGTGGAACAGGACGATCAGTTCCCTGAGAGTTGAAACAAGAATAAGGACGAAACGCACCAACCACTAGGGCGAATACAAAACTGCCCTAACTGAATACAACAAGGAATTGAGAAGGTTTAAAAGGAAATCCTGGAGGAATTTCTGTAAGGACAACCCTCAGACAAGGCGACTCCAGAAAGTCCATGCAAAAGACCACTCAAACGGCATTGGACTACTGCAAAAACCTGATGGCAGTTACACAGAGTAGATTAGAGAGTGTGAAACTGCTCCTACAATCGCACTTCCCAGACTTTGTAGAGTGTGAGCTAAATGGCAACAGAGTTTCGGTGGCTAAGGGCGTCTCACGCCTAAGCAACCGAACGAAAAGTCTGGCCAGAAAAATATTCACCTCAAACAAAATAAGATGGGCTATAGACAATTTTCAGCCCTACAAATCACCAGGAGAAGACAGAATTTTTCCAGCTCTCCTACAACAAGGCTTAGAAGAACTTATGGCTCCACTAGGAATAATATTCAAAGCTAGCTACCTACTAGGTTACATTACCACCAGCTGGCGGAAAGTAAATGTAGTCTTTATTCCAAAGGCTGGGAAACGTCCCACAGCACAGCC